AGCGACCTCTGTAGTTGTCGATGCCCAGGCAAATACTAGATCTCGACAAACAAAACAAAAATATGCCGTTAACAATTGAAAGCATTTTGCTGAATTAACATTCTGGGTTGATGAAAAGTATAATGCAATTTTAAGATGCAGAATATATCTTCCGAGTCGCGTCTTTTCTGCAAATACTTGAAGTACCTGTGGGCTATATGGTACTCTCGGGGCACAAATTTAGTGGACGGATGCTAGTAGGCGACCTAAGTTTAGCAGAGTTCTAGTGGGATCTTTAGCCATGGATGCCCACTAGAATCCGCCAAACACAGCGTCGCGCTAGGTATTGCTCAAGGCAGCATCTCACAGCCATTGCTGGCCGCGTCTTGCTCGCCCCGCCGCCGAGCTCCGATACACACCACTCTTGGGTGTCCCCAGAGACTCTTGAGCTAAGGCCGTAAGAAAGTGAATCCCTATTGCGACTCCATCAACCACCATGGCCTTCCTCTCATCCATGCCGACAGCGCTGCTCACTGCCTCACGCATCCCCGTCATGCCGGCGCACCCCAAGCAAATGCAGTCGGCGCCCTTGTCCACCAGCCTCTGGGCCGCCGCACCGAGGCCCGCGTAAACCACGTCCCGAGGCAGCGACTCGAGCTCCAAGACCGAGACGTGGCCCGTCTCGCACCCCACCGAGTAGTTCGCAAAGCCGTACTCGACCGTTGACCGCGCGTGCATGACGGCGGACCGCTCGCTCGTGGTGACGATGCCCACGCTCTCGCCGCACATGCGACTCGCGTACAGCGCGGCCTCCATGATGCCCATGACGGGCTGCTCGTACTCTTCGCGCAGCATGGCGATTAGAGGGTGCGCCGAGAAGCAGGCGACTAAAAAGCCGTCGAAGCGCTTGGGATCGGCCCGCAGGAGAGGGTGGAGTGCCCTGAACGAGTCTGCCGCCGAAATGACGGCGTCTACCTTGCCTTCCACAGCCGAAGGGCCGGGTTCTGGACAGGTAAAGCCGTAGACTGTGACATGCTGAGGCAACGTGGATTCAATGCTTTTCAAGCATGAATCTGTCATGGATTGAGTCGAGTTTGGGTTTATCAACAAGAGATTGACGTGTCGGGTGGATTTACCCGTGACCGTGAGTAGCGACGGAGACTTCGCAGACGATGATGCCATGCTGACTGATTTGGTTGAATTGAGTGAAGACTCAAGCGAAGAGAATCTCAACTTGCAAGATGTACGAAAAGTAGAATTGCCAGTCCGTAGCTATCACTTTCCAGGCCCGGCCCCAATATATGGCCGATCTATCTACGCCCCGAATTACCTTCGATGTTCCGGGACGGTATAGAACCCAGGTATGTAGCATGTCCGACGCTATCGGTAGGGGCCGAAACCCAGTATCCACTGCGTTCACCAACCCATGCTAGCGATCTCTGGTTGATGCCATATACTATCTGACCCGCCGACAAAGCTCTATCCAATGAACACCAAGGTGATATCGGTTGTTCAGGAAAATCTGGGGATAAATCGTGTCCAAGGTGTGCCCTTGTAAACGCTCTTGGGCATAACTCTCAAGGAGCTGAACATGATCGTCATGATCGCCAGCCAAGAGAAGGTGTGATTCACTATACCGACCAAGGCCACTAGCATTGACCATCTTTCATCGACGCGATAAACACTCTTCCTTCCACTGTAGGAAACCCAGTTTTCCAGTTCTGTCATATACGATCCCACCATGGGTGTCGCTGGCCCGCCGAAGTCCACAGCGCCTTGACAGCGTGATGAAACGCCTCTTGGCCGCTGCTCATTGCTACGGCAATGGAATCTCTGTAATTACCGGCCTTACCGGCCGCTGACACGTAGGTAAGGACTTCCCAGCCTCTTTCGGCATCTTCGACGGACACATGCTCCTTGATCCCACCCAGCCAGACAAGGCAATGGCGGCAGTACTTGTAAATGTCACGCATGAGCTGCACCTTCTGTTTTTTCTCCTCCTGGTTCGATTAGTTGATGCAGATCTGGTCAATCCAAAAGGTCCTCTTCAGCGTTGGCCATCTCAGTCGACAGAGTGTTTCGTATAACTCTGCATAATAGTGATCTGGCGACCTGATAGTACAATTGTCTCCATGATGGTCGGATCGCCCCAAATATAGGAGACTGCCTCATAACCCTCTTCTCCTGACGGGAGTACAGGGCGCAGCTCACATCCTATCGGGCCATGACTACCGCTAGAAGACGGCAAAAGGTCCAAAACACGGATTTCGTTGTTGGCAAGCATGTTGACGGCGGGAAGGAAGCTAGAGGTCCTTGGACGGCGAGAGAGATGGTTAATATGCTTGGTTTTATCGGCCCGTGGTTTTCAGAACTGAAATTGTTCTCCTGATTGCCAGTTTTGACGAACGAGTGGGCCTGAGCCGCCGGACTGCGGACAGCCTCAACCCATGCCACAGCAAGCTCGTAAAGCCGGCAGTTGCTTGAGAGAACGCGTGAGTACGTGACTACAAGCCCTCCTACATGGGTACATATTCTCTTTCGCTACCATATAGCCTGATGTCGGGTCCGCTTGTATCGACAATCCTGTGGTTGCGACCCTGGTCAATTGTCATTATCTCTCGATACCAACTGTCGAATCCACAATGAAGCTGCTGATTACCTCAACAAAGAGGGGCTAGCCCACCATGCCAGCCTTACCAGGCTTGGGAGGACGAATATTGCAGAGGCTGTGCCGTTGGTGATCGAGATGCCGACATGCAAGTGTTGTCCATGTCCTTCGCGGTTTGTGCAACCATCCCCGCTTCCTAGGTTCGCAGTCATCACAAATGAAAACCTTTCTAGGCACTCGATGAGTCGGCGTGCAGCATGGACGTTGTTCTAGTGTGATGCGATTTACACACTACCCAATGTGTATGTCGCTAAGGTAACACATGTTGTATAGGTAGATGGTGTTGATCTGCTACTAAGCGCTGCCCGACTAATCAATAAGTCGCAGAGAGTTAACCTTCGGTGAATGTCTTGGGGCAACTTGATGCCGCTGGGGCTGCATAGACAACCACGACCAAAAAAGGTGCATGAAGAGTACATGAGTAAGGTTATTATTAGCTTTCGATATAGTAAGAAATCAGCAGCCCATCGACGTAGATGGAATAGTGCACATTGTGTTGGTAATAGCCCCCAAAGTCCACCACCTTTGTGCCCTGTCTCAACATTCCGCATCTGCACTGTACCCAATGAAAATTGCAATTCTGTGGCTCAGCCTTACCCGCTCGCATGCTATCAACCAATCTCCATTCTCAATAAGGCGTGGTCTCTGTTCGGCAGCTCGGATTCATGGAAGTCTGACGGTGAGACGTTCATCTGCGACACAGGTAATTGCTTGCCCAGATCTGTATCGGCAGCTGCCGCAACGGGGGAATGTGAGCTACACGATTTCCATTGTTTGCCCCGGTTCTGTGGAGGTAGCTACATGCCGGCAGACCGGTGATACCCCTTATGGGCCGTTGCTACCTTCGACTCCAATATACCTACATGAAACCATCACCTGCCCCGACTTTAAGATTACTGCATATAGAAGTGACTTGAGTGCTGCATTTCTATTTTGGCAATTGGCCCCTTCGACAGCAGTGTTTGTGTAACATTTGCTCGCTATGCTACCTCAATGCCACGCACCACGTGAATACCGTTATGCTCTGTACTCCAGGCGTTTGGACCGCCGAGCTCAACCATAGCCTTAGTCCGGCCGAGGTAAGGATCGGAACCAGAACTACCTGATGAGGGTCTGTGACTATGAGCACGCGTCCGCATAACCAAACCGTTCTCGTCACTTTCTTCGTGGTAAGGATGATTCGTCCCGCTGCTGATAAGGCCAGTTTTAGACAACTGTGCACTCGGCTGGAAAAGGCTTCGAAACCCATTCCTGTGTGCTCGCTGGCCTAGGAAGAGAATACTCGGGAGACTGACACAAACGATGGCAATGGCGATCTCGGATCCCAACCACAGAAGGGGTAAAACAAGTTTATCTCAGAATTGTCAATTGCTAGTGTCCAAGTGGAAGATTGTATTTGGCAAATTCTTACACGTTGGGTCCAAATCGATTTGATCTCCGGCTTCAAGGATGGTGACAAGTCGGCCAATAGAAACGACGACAACTCTGCAGCCATTGCAGTCAGCAATTGCTCAAGTTCTCGAGGGTTTTTTAAATGATGACACGTACAGATACCCCAAAACAAAGACTGCGCAGATTTGAATACGGCGAAGAGTCGTTATTCGTAGTTTCCAGAGCACTGGGAGAGGCATGATGAGGATAATGACATCGATGAGTAGACCAGTGACACCGAAGCCTGTCCAGAGCCAGCCGGTATTGAGACACTTCCCAGGCAGTGCGGGATTCCAGGCCTTTTGAACGGGGCTGCACATAAAGATGTCGCCAAACAGACGTGCGAACAGCCATGCAAAATTCATTGCGTGTACTAGCCACAGCGCATGCTTGAACCTAGAGTTGTTCGCGGATAGCACGCGATCGTAGAAGAAAAGGGCCGAGGCTTTGCTCAAGACTGTGCCGATGTCAAAAGTGTAATGTACCGCCCACAGAATTTTGAGGAATTTGTATAGATTCTCTGGTGGCACATCTTGTACATGTTGCCCAAGACCGTAATCGACCAGCTTGAGGCCCATACCACAATTGGCAATGTTTAATGCCTGTCAGTCTGTCAGTGTCAAAGTCAACACCATGAAGAGAAACATGTGAGACGAGGAATTTGTACCCCCGCCGCGAAGACCATCCAATCATCCCACCAAAATTTAGTTGTTATATGGGAGGTAGGAGACACAGGCAATAAAGCTCGAGACCATGCTCGTAGAAGTATAATAATGGTTGGAACAACAATCATGGCAATGGGAAGCACTCGCAATTGGCCTTGCTGAATCTCGCTGATTTCGACATTTTGAGCTGACGACATCTCTGCAATGTAATGTTGGTCGCAAAAATGATGATGATTATCCGATGCTTGAGTTTTGGCTGCGACCTGTAGAGAAGATGAAGAGAATAAAAGATGGTGAATTGCAGGAGAAAAGCGCGAGGATAAGAGCTCAGAGAAGATGTCAGGAATTGCATGCGTGAGGCTGGACCGAACCTCGTAACCGGATCACTCACATTCAATATGATATTGCCCCCAAGGACTTCTGGGAGGATCCAATGTATGCGGGCGTCGAAGGAATAACAGAGGTAACACCACAGCATCTATTGGCCTTACGCCCCCAAAATATCTGCAGAGACCAGGCGTAGTCGTGTTGCCGCTACACTGCGACGCGACAAATTGAACAAAAGACAGAATTGTTCTGGATATGGTTATTGAGATGACGGATTGGTTTAAAATCGAACAAAGACAGAGTTTTGACTAATGGCTGAAAAATAAATACTGAGAAGCTTTGGTTCTGAATGGAATTTCCTTCACTGGTGTCATCTGTGTGAACGTGCCTGGCCTCCCAGGAAGGGCCAGCCACCGGTGTCCGCTGCTGAGTTCGAGATCGATTGGTCTACTAATAAAAACGTTGGAGCGGGTTGCATCAAGTATCATGCACAGGTCTCATTGCCAAGTTCAAGATTAGCACGCAGCCAGCAGATTAAACATAGCCATTCATCTTGGGCGTCGCGTGAGGGTACAGGCCACAATTGGTGCGATCAGGCTCAGCTGCAGTAGTAGTACAATAAGCTCTAGTACGAGAGGCCCCCAAGCCATCCACACTATATGTGTTACAGACACTTGTGTAACACAACTTTGTACTCATTGCATTGCACCCTCATACTACCTGCCTGCCCACCTACGCAGTCGACTCTTGCAACCATAACGCCCGAAACCGACCTTGGGCGCGCTTCCACAACTCAGCAGGCTGTCCGACCTCGACGATCCTTCCGGCATCTAAGACCATGACTCGGTCGCATGCCATGGCCATTTCACGGCGGTGCGTCACGATGAGCACCGTGTAATTCGCAAACTCGTCCATCAAGAGGCGAAGCACGATGCGCTCCGTCTCGGTATCCGTGCTTGATGTAATCTCGTCCAGGAGCAGCAGGCCCCCGTCGACATGATCGGTAGTGGCGCGCAGCTTGACACGTCGGCGCAGCACCGCGCGCGCAAAGCTGAGCAGCTGCTTTTGTCCACTGCTGAGCTCACCAGGGACAAATGGGGCGGCGAGCCCACCCTTGCTGCGCACCACTTCCAGAAGGTCGAGATCGGCCAGAACAGTCGTGCACTCGTCGTCCGAGGCGGCGCGCCATGGGTCGAGATTTTCCCGGAAAGACGTCCCACTGGGAAGAAAGGTGGCGTCTTGAGATTCGGCGATGATGCGCTCGCGGAGACAAGTTTGATCAACTTGGTTGACAGATATACCGTCTATTGTGATTGCTGACGTAGTTTTCTCCGACGTGAGAGGTGATGATTCTTTGATGCTAGGATCCAATAATCGCAAAAGAAGAGCAAGAACAGATGATTTACCGCTATGGTCGCAAATCAACTTAGCAAGAGTTTCGATAACGTTTTGGTCGCTATTCTTACCTTCCTGTTCGCCCACATATTGCAATCTTTTCCGTTGCAGATATCTGCAAGTTCAAGTCCTTGAGGACAGGAGCCTCATCTGTATACTCGGCACTCACATTGTGTAACTCGATGCAGCCGCGATCTGGCCAGTTTTGATCAGGTACAATGTTATTATCCGGGGGAAGCTCCTGTTCAGTCTCTTGAATGAAACTTGTCAGCCTGCTAATGGCGCCAAGCGAAGTTTCGAGGCCCGTATACGCGACCACAATGGTGCCAAGTGTTGATGCCAGGGTAGTGAGCGTGACCAACCCAGCACCCACACTACCCGCGTTTGAGCGCAAACGTGTCGCCAGCACGACGAGCACAATGGACAGTATCGCGACAATCAAGTTCATGATGAGCATTAACCATTGCTGTGCCATGGCTAGCAAGTAAGACGGGCGCTGAGAGTCGATAAGAAGTGCTGTATTACGCGCCTGGTATCGAGGAAACCACCCGAAAGCACGGATCGTATGTATGCCGGTGATAGTATCAAGAAAGTTGGTGCTTATTGGACAAGGATGTTAGTATACTACAAGTCTGCAGGTGTTTCAGATGGGCCTGAGGCTATGCATTTGATAAACACTTACTAGAGCGGCGTCTTGGCTTCTAAATCAAGAATTCGCAACCTCTTTGAACTCGGCAGATAAACGTGCTGTACCGCCCATATTAGTGCGATAAAGACGGGATAACTCAGAGCTAACCAGCCAGACGATATCGCTATGACCACGGCCTGGCCAATCGCACTAGACAAGGTAAAACTCAAGTTGTTGACCATGCGTGGAAGCATCGTATCCAATATGGTCATGTCTTGAGTAAACAGATTCAAGATTTTGCCCAAGTCTGTAGTTCCCAGAAAGCGCAAGCTGCTGTGCATGACAGCATCAACAACTTTGTGATGAAGATTTGTTCCGGTATTCCTCACTCCTGTGCGTAGCATGATCAAACCTGCTGGAAATACACACAAGACTGTGGCCGCCCCAAAGAAAGCGTAGAGTCCAATCCAGTACTCCCAAGAGTGTTGAGGCTTTGTCTGGGTCGAGTCACTTGAAATAAACTTGAGCCAGACGGTTTGGAAATTTGGGAAAAATCCACTGCCGACGACCAAAACCACGAAGATGGCTAGAGGGATAGCTCCGATGGTGGTAAGCCACTGCCGATATACCTGCGAGTCAGCAGATGGGAGAGTTATAGGTTGTTGTGATTTCTTTTCTCGTAAATCATTGCCCTCATGTGTCGATCTTTTTGTTCTCACTACCGGATCTTGGGCCACCGGCCTGCCCGGATCCACATTGTGAGATTCTTGTGTGTTGGTCCAAACTCGAGGTTCGTCGCTACCGTGGGAATCCTGTACCCTCTGTGGCAAGGCATCGTCAACAAGCTGGTCGGCAAGGCTGCCATCACCAGAGATGGTAATGACCCTGTCAGCCAACGTCAAAAAAGGGACAGCATGGGTCGAAGCAATGACGGTTGTCTGCCGTTGTCGGAGTAGCCCGTTCTTTCCAAATAGGTTCAGGCCTACGCGCGCTTGCGTTGACCCGTCGAGTGCACTGAAGACGTCGTCCAAGATCATGATTTCGGCATCCGCATAAAGTGCGCGCGCCAGTGAGAGTCGCTGCCGCTGTCCGCCACTCAATGAAACGCCCTTGCTGCCAACAATGGTCTGATCGCCCCTAGGCATCTGCTGTAAATCTTCACTAAGCATCGATGCTAGTATGACTTCAGCATATCTGTTTGACGAGAATGAGGAATGAGCGATAATATTTGACCTTATGGATGCGTTGAATATCACCGCCTTCTGGTCGCAATAGGCTATTGATCTGGAGCGAAGCCAAATGGTTCCTTGCATAAAGGCCACTTCACTGAGAAGGGCCTTGCATAACGTCGATTTGCCGGATCCTACAGAGCCCGTCACAAATGTGATGGAAGCTCTTGAAATTTCGAGATTGACGTCTTTGAAGACGATGTCTTCGGGAGACCACCCAAAGGTGGCATGAGAGAGACCAATCGTTTTGTTTTTGGTCTCATCAAGACCATCAAGCTTTGCATCCGTGGATTCTAGTAGGCGAAATTCTCGGTAATCTACCCTCTCGATTCGTGTCAAGTATAGCCAGATCCTATTCAGCGATGCGATACTGGCAGCGATGATGGGAATGATTTGCAGGAACTGTTGCAGTGGCGCGGTCAACAAGGACAAGAGAAGGAGTGCAGTGTAAGCGCGGGTTTGATCCAGAACGTGTGATACAAATGCAAATGTGAGGGCCGGAGAAATTGCCTGAGGCAATTGGCTGAGGCTTGCACTGATGGCTATCAATGTGCGAGCCTTTTGACCAATGCGAATTTCATTCTCACGCTCATGTTTGACGAGGTTGGCGGCCGGCGTCGCCATGCCTGTGACGCGGAGATCTTTAACCTGCGAAAGAGTTTCCGAGGTTACGCCAGTGCGCTGCTGAACATTGGCCATCCAAGCTGACTGGTAGGGTATTGCACGCTGAGAAATCATGTAGGATATGCCAAATCCGATGAGCACAATCACCAGTGGTGCGATAAAGGCATTACCGACCTGGTGGTATAGTAACCAAAGCGCAATGGGAATCTGGACAGTATTTGCCCAAATCTCATGGATGGATCTGATTCCCGTATAGATACGTTCCACATCCGCACCCATCAGAGTGACAGCTGCAAGGTCGCCATCGCTTTTGTGGGCAATCTTATTTGTCTTTTGGTATATAGCTGTGATGAGGAATGCGCGAAGTCGTGATTGAAATCGCTCCTGGTAATACCAATAAAGGGCAGTAGAAATTGCAATGCCTAGGTATATGAACAGGGCCGTCACGATAAGACCCGGAACGGTGAGCGTGTCAGTGTCCGTGTTGGCCGCAAGGTAATCCAGAAGATACTGCAAGAAAAATGGCTGACAGAGGTTGAAGCCGATGAGACACAGTCGAGGAAAGACTGCCATCAAGAAATGAGAGCCAAGTGGTGCAGCTAACCACGTGGTCAGGTGCCAACTGAAGAAGCCAGCAGAGGTTTCAGCAATCTGAATCTTGTCTTCGCCATCATGGACGTTGGGGCATAGGTCGAGGTCCAATGGGTATAAGTCCTCCATTGCCAACGGCTTCTGATATCCAGCCCATAGTAATGGATTTAGCCATGCGTAAAGACCAAGACTGATGATGCTGCTAATTTCTTCCGGGCTGTGATCATGCGCACTCCAGACGACCCATGCGCGGCGCTGAAAAGTCTCCAAAACTAGGAGGACAAGCTCCACGGGAGTGCATGCCGTGAAAAGTCTCGTAAAGCCACCAGAAATGCCATCCTCGTTTGGCCACAGCCCGGTGTTCCAAAGCAAGGGACATCGAGCCACATCGTAGATGAAAGTAAGCAACAAAAAGCTACATACGAGAATAGACGGACGGACTGATCTGAAGTGCTCAAGTGGCGATAGCCCAAGAAGAAGGCATGATGCTGCAAAGTCTAGTATCCTCGAGGCCTTGAGTGGCTCGGTTTGGTCGTGTCCAACGTGAAGCGCCTCGACAAGAAGAGCGAGGCGTAGACCTGCAAAGGCAACGCAGAAAACCAATTTCAAGGCAAATACATGGATTGGAGCGCGTGTGATGTTGGAGCGTCGGCGAAGGAGATGTAGATATCGCAGACCACCTAGGGCTAGGAACGCTCCAGCAGTGGCTGGTGACAACCAAAAGATCCATCTGTATTCGGTTTGCGCAAAAGTGTCCGTGAATGTGCAGAGATCCAAACCGAAGGCTTCGGCGCTGATGCACGAATTGGGGTCCATTGAACTGCTGGCCTCTAAGGTAGGGCAATCAGCGCTAAAACACAGCACTAATTGACTTGGCGGCTCTAAGGACGGAGCTCAAACGAACCCAGCTTGGCTTGAGGATGCATTCAGTATACAGACTGGTCTTGTATATCGTTCTCTTTGGATAAAAAAGTGAGATCAATGCATGGTTTGAACTTTTTCTGGGTTGGTATTCGATTAATAGTATTAATAGTGAGTTACTGCTGCTCCCTACATACGTTATTACGATGGATTGGATAATTGCCAAAGTTCCTCATTACCAGATTCAGCTAGGCCTCAAATCAGGGACGGTGGTTGATCATCACTAAGAGAACGGCACAATATAGAAGCGCGTTTTCAATTGATTAAAATGACCTCCTTACAAATATATCAAGAAAGGAAAAGAGAAAGAGAAAGATCTGTTGAAAATAGCTTCATCCGGTTGAAGTAAATGTTCAGAAAACGCTATAATGACAAGAACCATAGCCAAGAGGTGGGTGGTAGGTTAGTCGAGACGAAAGACCCTGGATCCAGAATGAGAACGGAGAATTACAAGTACGGGTAGGTGCTAGAAAGCAGTACGCTGGTGGCGGCGGGCGGGCGGGAAATGGTGGAAGATCTAGCGCATTGGGGGGGGCCACAAGGCGTAGTCGTACAGGGGTAAACACGGGGACCGTTGGCGGCAACTAAAACACCTCCCGCGGAACACGTCAGGATCCCGCGGAACTTCCACCAGTGTCACCATTCTGTCAGACAAATACACGCGATAACCCACCGGTTCGGTTGTCGCCCTGCACAAATGTTACATTCAAGACGCGGCATATGTTTTCCTTGGCAAGGCTCCAATCAAGTCTGGATCCGAACGTTCATGCATCCCAAAGCCCTGCATACTACGCGATGCGACTCATAAAGCTTGACTGGGTAGTATCGGCATGTTCAAAATCCCCGTCTCATTCAGTACTGACTACTGGCTGAGATACTCAAAGGAAAACTCCAACTCGGAAATCCGCTGTTCCGCACATGAGGCTTCGGAGTAAGTGAACATAGCATATCATTGACAAGCTCTTCCAATCACCCAAGTTAATGCCATGCATCCTTGATTGTAGCACTGCTGGCGTAATCATTACCTTCAAGTGTTGGTATTGAAAAAGAAAATGTACTCATCCTTTTCGTGGCCGTGGACATTTGTCTTGCATATCCTAATCTTGCTTTCATGTTTCGCCTTGACGGACAGCCGACTTCTCTCACACCATGACCAGCTATTACAGAGATTAGATACAGGCAATGACTATCAACTACTTCAACGGAATTCTAAACAACCATCTAACTCAAGCTATCTTCAAGCAAATACAACACGTAAGAAAGCATTCTTCTACATTTCAATAGTGCATTCCAATTGACTTATTTATAGAATTCTTTGTAAACAGCACCTCTCTTCCAGATGTCGATTTCGATATCGGGGAATCCTACGCTGGACTCTTGTCCATCAGCGAGGACCTCTCTATTCTCGAAAGGCTGTTTTTCTGGTTCTTTCCCTCTTCATCCGCTACTTCCCGGGATGAAATTGTAATCTGGCTTAATGGCGGTGTAAGTTGGACTTTGAATTCGTTTTGAAGGATCTGGCTCACGATGATTTAGCCAGGCTGCTCCTCCTTGGAAGGTCTACTGCAGGAAAATGGCCCGTTCCTTTGGCAGTATGGCACCTATAAACCAGTTCCCAATCCCTGGAGCTGGAGTCGCCTAACCAATATTGTTTACATTGAGCAGCCCATTGGCACTGGATTCTCTACAGGAACGCCATCCATCCATGATGAAAACGAACTGAGCCACCAGTTCATGGGCTTCTGGAAGAACTTTGTTGACCTTTTCGGGCTGCATGGCTTCAAGGTATACATTACGGGCGAATCGTATGCCGGCATGTATTGTCCATACATTGGGTCGGCATTTTTGGACGCTCAGGATGCCACATATTTCAATGTGTCCGGCATGCTCATTTATGACCCGCTCATCGGAAACGCCATCAGTGATCGCAATATAGCGGCTGTTCCATTTGTTGACCAGCACAAGAGTCTGTTTCCTCTAAACGATTCCTTTGCAGGCAATATGCACAGACTTCATGAGTCTTGCGGCTTTCAGCACCGCCTAACAACATACCTGACTTTCCCACCACCAGGCCCACAGCCAGATTTAGGGACTATGAATCTGACTGATGAGTGCCAAGGATTGTGGACATCTATCTACACAGAGATGTTTCCTATAAACCCGTGCTTTGATGAGTATCAGGTGGCCACAACTTGCCCTCTGCTTTGGGACGTGCTCGGAGCGCCTGGCTCATTGTCATATCTCCCCAAAGGCGCAGAAGTTTATTTCGACAGGGCAGATGTCAAGAAAGCAATACATGTACACGAAAACCAATCTTGGTCCGAGTGTAGTGGTGGGATCTTTCAAGACAACATTGACGCTTCTGACCCCAGCAGCTGGGCGGCCATTCCTCGTGTCATTGACGCGACCCAAAACGTCATCATTGGCCACGGACAACTCGACTTTGTGCTGATCAGTAACCAGACACTGCTTGCTATCCAAAACATGACCTGGGGCGGCTTGCAGGGGTTCCAGTCTGCACCCAGCGAGCCCTTCCTCGTCCCTCAGCACGCTCTCTCCACGTACGCGGCCATCACCGCCACCAATGACCAGTCACAGCTGGCTACTCTGACTGGCGCTGGGGTCATGGGCACAACACATACGGAGCGAGGGCTTACGTTCGTGACTATCAACATGGCAGGGCACATGGTACCGCAATATGCGCCAAGCGCGGCCTATCGTCATCTAGAGGTTCTCCTGGGGCGCGTGGATAGTCTTGAATCCAATGAACCATTTACGGAGTAAGGTGTCCTATAGTGAGCGAAACGAATTAAGGTGGTAATTAATCTTTCTCTTATAATATTGCGTAACCCTTATACTAAAATACACTTATTGGCTGCGGTTTCTTTCGTAGCTGATACCCATCCCATACATTCACCTTCCAGCGTGTTCAAGATGGTGTACCATGGTATTACCGGAGGTATGATGGTTTGAATGTGATGTCGACACACCACCTTGCCTCGCGGGAGTTCAAAACGTCGTGAAGTACCAATATTAACGTCCCGAATGAGTGGGATTTCTCTTTGAAGGCATGTAATAGTGGGCCCTCTCTCTAGACTATTCCATCGAATAAAGAACCCGTTACTCAGTCTTGGCAAAGTAGCGTGAAGATCTTGCTCGCGAGATGTTGCCGGAATGTGGGAGTCATGATCGCTGACTTCTTTAGCACTTTTCAAGATAGGTCAGATCGGCAGAAGGGGGGGAGAGGTGAGGCGGTAGCATCTCGTTAGTCAGATTGATCATATTTGCCCATTGAAGGATTCTGTCGTATCAAGCAATGGAGCAACAACCTTGACAACCTCGCAACCCGACAATAACCATCAGACCACTGGTATTCATCCGAGGTCAGCACTAATGTTTGTTCTTATCCCCACAACGGCAATTGCTTTTCCTCCTGCCATTTCAGATCTATTTTGTCGTTTCTTATTGCATTAGTAGATCATGGATCTGCGCGTTCCCTTGAGTTCAAAATTCGAATCTCCAACGGCTGTCGCTGTCCAGGTGGGTTGTGGGCGGGAGCAGCGGGGTTTCCCGCGCTTTCTTTCGGACTTTATAAAAATAAGCTTTTGCCCAACGCCGCGGGCCTTTCCGCCCGGACCGTCTACAGACTAAGAGGTAGCAATGCATCGAAGCAGTTGTGAGGGGAAGGTCGTCCGGCGCAGCCGGGCTGGCGCCATCATAGTGATCCGATTAGAACAAGCATTAGCAATACAACGTCAACTGCCACCATCGTGGCCATCCATGCCGTGGTAGTATTGGGTAAGCATTAGGCTCGTCTCACCGACCCTCGTCTAAAGATCGCAATGCGAACGAGTGGGTATCGGTAGCATGGTGCCGATATGCTATGTAGATTGTCAAACTTGAAGGTAACTGGCTGGCGCGGTCACGGCATCTTGTCTATCTGTATATACACAGTACAGGCATTTGATGATAAATTTGTGGTCTATGCCGTATGCATATTCTAAAGCTTTGCCAAAAATCATCGTCTTAATGTGTATAAGTCAAAGCGACGGGCTGTGATACTATCAAGCTCTAGCGAAATTGCGAAACTGCGTAAATTGTTCTCTCACCGAGTTTACGCAGCTTGAAATAATTGCTGAGATGAATCAATAGTTGGTAAAAATATCAAACATTAAAATACTGCATCTCATATGCGGTGGGGATTGGTAAGTTTTAGCGACGACTATTAAATCATCACCTCATCGAGTACATAGTGCTGCTTGCAGATCATTGGAGCAGAAGATGTTTGAAAAACAAGCATTGCGGCTCGGGAAGCTTTCTAACACTCTAGACACGCCAGGTGGATCAGTGAGATTGATTGGCATGAGGTGACCGCGATCTAGAACTTTGACGCCTAGGAGGAGGCATCGCGGCACCAAAGCAAGGGATATCCACGAGGCCTTAGGCATGCCTTACTAAAAGGGAGCATGAGGGAATAGCGTGGCCATACCGGTCAACTGCGGGGATGGTACAATCGAAATCCTGTTGCCGCCAAACCTTGTCGCCAATAATAGTTGTCGGCAGTTTGATGCAATACGACTGGGGATGCAAGCTGTCAGGAAAGATTTCACAAGTCGGAGGTAATCGGTTAACGACTCGGAATAAAGAAACTTGCGAGCCAGTCCGATAAATAAACAAATGCTTGAAGATGGAGTCTTGCACCAGCATTGCGGCTGCCAGCAGAACCTCTTTTTGAAATAATCTACAGATATTGCAAACATGGCGTACAAACTGATATTCTGAACACGGAAGAGATGAGTTCCAAAGAGAGCGATCCCAAGTCTCCAAGGATAAAGAGGCGTCGTGGTGCCTGTCAACTGTGCCGTGAAAAGAAGGCTAGATGTGAGTAGGCACCAATCGCAGGTTGGTTACTGCCCATACTAAGTGTTTAGGCAATGGGGAAGAGCCATGCTCTTTTTGTAAAGTATGTCTTCGCCATCAGCTTGCTGGATGACAAACACATGAGAGGATGAAAGCTTATCTGCTACATACACTAGCGACATGACAACACCTGTACCTATCAACCAACAAAAGCCAAGCTACAGAGCAACAGAACAAGTGCTCATCAGCAACATGAAGAAAATGCCGGCTCGGCATTGACTCTTGGCTCGCCCAGCGAGGCAATTGCCATCCCATGGTATGACACTATGGATTGGTCCTATGGCTTAACGGACCAGAGTCACGAATCCTGGCTGCATGAATCGCACAGCACTATTTTGCATGATGAGACCGATATTCTGGTTCACGAGCTTGATTCAAGCTCGGAAAACCGGCGGTCTATACAGTCTGCTATATTTTCCCCGGCGGTACCGGAATTTCTGGCCTCTGAAGTGCCTTGGACTGCAGCAGGTTAGGCATTTCCCAAATCGGAATACACAATTAGTATCTGAAAGCTCTTCTACCTCAACTCAAGATGATTCTCATGCACTATCACTGTTACAAGAGGCATCTGACTTAGCAAATGGCACTGAATGGGTTCTGGAGACTAGCAGTAGTACCCACAACCTTGATGGCACGGCTTCGAACTCACTTGGCCCTCTCAAGGAGTCTCGGCCCTGCCTTGGAACGAAGCAATTGATTGCAACAGAACAATCAGGCAACGGAAAACGTCGCAGAAGCCTGTTATTTCCCAATCTTCACTCATTTGCTAATTCATCCGTGATCAAAAGAAATAAATCCTCCTACGACCTCACCGAAGTCTCGGCTGGTGAATCGATTGAACAAATGACGACAAAGGATCGCATTCGTCAGCTTACAGCTACGATTCTTTCAAAACAGTCCATGCTGGGACTTCCTACAGCTTGGGCTGATCATGTTGGAGACAACTCTCCCGGGGACATGAATGTGAATTGCACATTGTCGGTAAGCCAGGTGCAAAATTTGGTGAACTGTGAGTATAATGACTGACCCGGACCATGCCTGTCATGACACGAGCTCATTTGGACGTCAGCATGTTTCGAGGATCCAACAGGGTAAGTGTGTCCATGGGTTTTATTCTTGGGTTAGTAACGGACACTAACGATTCACGAGCTTATCAGAATATCATGCTTTCTTGAAAAAGGAAACGTCACAAAACTCATCAAAGAAGATTGCCTCGAAGAAGCACAGAAGATGGCAATTCCAACAGATTCGGAAGACTTCCTGTTGACACTCGCCCTCGCTTGATGAGCTATGATCGAAACGAATATGAGTCTAAGCTTCATATGTGACCTGCAAGTACGATTGTTGGAGCAATACCAACTCCTGGTAACGGAGCCTGACTCCATATCAAAGTATTTGGTAGGTATAACCCTGCTCAAACTGTAGGGCAAGTATTTCTAATATTCGAATTAAACAGAGTATCGTCGCAATGGTACGTTATTGTGATTTTGATTCTTCATTGCTCGCCCATGGAGCGTGACCATCGTATTAAGAGTCAATCTAGTCCGTCTTTGCATTCAGATTTGGCCTCGAGAAATGTTCATCTATCCTAGCCGAGGCTGTTTCACTTGCACAGTCTCTCAGGCTTCATCTTGATTTCATTCTGCAGGGAAAGGAGTCTGGAATCAGTACAATCCAAGTGAAACGGGCAACATGGTTCCTCTTCGTCATTGATAAGCGCTACGCGCTTCGTTGGCAAACATTTCCGGTACGCCCGCCATGATCTCTTTTTGGACAACTTTTGACCAGTTCAGCTGTTGCCCGAATTGGACTACGACCTGCCGCGATCTGAAAAGAGACGACATACTAGCCGGTCATCCCAATCCGACACTGGCACAAACGGATACGAAGAAGATTGGCTATGTTACCAGTGCTCCTATGCCCAAATTTGTGTTCGCATTACCAAGGGCTCCTTCTTATCTGCCACATGCAGTAACTCAGCATCGAAGGAGAAGGTCAGAAGGGACATGGTGCGAGAAGAATCACAACCCCTGTCCGACGAGATGCAGAATGCAACCATCAATAATCTCCTGGCAGATCTGCAGGATTGGTTTAAATCAGTTCAATTCATCACACATAGCCGAGCAGATGCTGAGGGCGAAGCCAGCATACAAGAGTGCCAAATGCTTCTAAAGATTTCCGCGGCTTACCAGTATTATGAGGCTTTGCTATCAGTGCTTAGCCCACTTGTCATGAACAAGTCACGAGCCCGCTATCATGACCAGTCAAACCAGAAAGATCAGACAGCAACAGAAATGTTGATGCAAACTGTCAGGAGCGTGCTTGAGATGGGGACTCATTTATCGCAGATCACATATGATAGGTATGCAGTCCAAATTGGCATGGTTCTTTAAAGTTGAACTTGGGTCTCGCAAACCAGCAAGAACTTCATTGCTGACCAGTATATGACAGAACACTACTTCACGTCCCAACAATGGCCCTGTGTCTTCTCGCTATTGAGAAAGCGGATGGGAATTCAGAATTGGACGCGAAAAAGCGCGACGGTCGAGTACTGATTGCCATGGCCTATGGACTGTTCGGGAGGCTGGCTGAGACTTTGCCACATCACAAGTTCTTTGAGCATGTTGCGGACCTAGTTTCCATGGTCGATAGGGTTTGAATCCGAGTACGCAAATTCTAGTTCAGATGACGGATGAGCCCAAAACGTCGATATTTGCAGGCAGATAACGGACTAGATCTTTGAAGTCTCCCAAACTGTCAAAATGTAGAAATAAGTGGAGCGCCTCTCCGCACATGTATATATCTTTGACCATCCAACCTCTGTTGGATGTAAACAACTCAACTAATACAACAACTGTTACCCATACCTATCATATCTTTTCACACGAACAAAGAATATTACAACGCTGTAATCGGCACCTGTGGGAATCACTAGAACGATAGAGTGATAGGCACCGGTATATTGAAGAAACAACCGAAGCCTACTGTTGGAGCCACCTATATGGCGATCCAACGGTCCTTATTTACGAATCTATATGCCCCGCGTCGAACCCCCTGCAGTCCTGCAGCGCTCTGACAGCACCCATGTGACGAAAATGGATCTTGGAAATGGGAATGACTAATATATCGAAGCTTAGTTGCAGTCACTTCAAGTTGGCAACTCCTGCAAGTCAGAAGCGCGATTTTCCTCTGCCCACGATGAAATCCGGGAAATATCTCTACATATGTGAACGCTCCCAAATCCATCGATCCCTGGTGGTGTCACAGTCTTGCCCTGGCCCTCTAGCGTAGTATCCCCACAGCAGCGCAGCGATAGCCGGAGGTATTCAAAACAGTGCTCAATGTGCTTGCGTCGGGGCGAGGGAATCCGCGCCTTTGGTTCCGTCGTTGTCGCCGTTGTTGGGAGAAGCTCTTCCACGAGCTCAGCAATGCTGTGCAGGCAATGAAGCTGGTGGAAGACGGCCACGTTGTAGCTCTCGGTTCCGTCGCTCGGTGCGCGGACTGGCGCTGGTAGTAGTGGGAAGGATTGCCACGATGGAACTCGTACAAATCCACCACCCACTGCAAATGTCAGAATAGCAGATCAATCTATTTTGCTCCACATCACTTACACTCTGGAAGCAAATCTGACCACCGCGAATCGCTTGCGTTCAACGGATTAAAGTCCGGCTCTTTCTGGAAAAGAGTAGGTTTAGAGCCAACTAGACTCATTAGAAAGTCAGAGAGCTAGTCAAACCACGGTGGCCACAAGAGTCGCTTACAAGACGGTGCAAATCCATTCACGTCGCCCAATATCTCAGGCAAGGGCGGGTCTGTCCATAATTTCCAAAGAAGGTACCACTGCGCAAATACTATGCAAATAAGGAGGATCCGACGAAGATACTTCCATGAGGTGAGTATGAAATATTCTTCGGTGAGCGTATCCATTCGCCGAAGAACGTTTCTGATATGTTTGCTGAACATTTTGATGAACTCTCGACGGTAGCACAATGCATGAAACTTTGCCTCAAGGAATGATATCCAGAGAGAAAAAGAGGCAGCTGAACGTCTTCAATCACTTGGCTATACTCAGGTCGTTGTCAAGTGGCTCTGGTATCAGAGCGGCCATCGACTGTGGAGTCCCCGGACCGAGCTGCGGTCCGGCAAACGACCATCTCCGGAAAATAATGACCAAAAATGGGGATAGCACAAACACCATTACCAACCAATCAGCACTGGTTTCACTCCACCCCCCAGAGTCCGTTTCCCAATTCTTGTGCAGCTGAATATGATGGCGAAAAATTGTCAGTGAATCAAAAAAAACGAGCAAAACATTTCACGCTTAGCATCTGTCTTTTCACATTCAATCTTGAGCAACTACAAGTTCGTATCAGAATTTTGGTTCTGCCACTATGGAAAATGAACCTATCTACGAAGAAATACCCTTTATGCCGACAAATGATGAAAATGGTTCCCTTGATACACCGCAAACAGAGGAGCGACCTAGGTTGCGGCGAGACTTTCTGATTGCCACCCTCCCCTTTTTCTGGTACGTGTAAATCCTCGACGCAAGAAAAGTGCAATGAGCATGGACACTAACTCTTTCGCTTCAACAGCCTTCAGCTGACGTGGAGTATCCAACAAGTTTTTGGAATTGTGAGTCGTTTGTCATGGAGTTCAAGATTCCTTGTTTCCATATGTGTCCACATTGCCTGGATATTGCTGACTGCTCAAATCAAGCCATATCTGTACAGTCTGGGTATAAGCGACAGTAACGTTCCGCTTTTCCTATTTGCCGGGCCTCTGGCAGGACTGATCGTTCCACCCCTTGTCGCTGCTGTAGGTGACAGCTTTGGCAGCCCCTACGGCAAACGCAAGCCCCTCATATTCTTTGGCGGAATCGGTGTCATCTTTTCCCTCCTGGCGTTTGCATCAATTAGCATCATTGTCGAACAATTATCCTACTCTACCGCTGCGGCGTGGAGCGATGCGAAAGTCACTCATGTCGTTGCGGGGGTCAGCCTGTATATGCTCAATTTCTGCATCCAGCCTCTATCGCTAGGGCTACGCGCTTCCATAGTCGACTACTTTGACCCGGATGAGCAGGTTGCTGTTAATCTATGGGTCAGCTGCTTTTCCGTCATGGGATCCATATTCGTTGCTCTCCTCGCACTGATTTACAGTCCCGCATTTTGGGATCTGAGTTTGGTTGTGGTGGCCTTGCTTTTAGCGATGCTCATCATGGTAGCCGTGTCACAGTTGTACAGGTATCCTATACTAGGGGTATCAGAACCTGTGCAGAGATCAATGTCGATCCGTTCTCGACTCTCGCATACATTGAAGACTGCGCGTGATTTGCCACCGATCACTCGTTGGACGTGTGCGGTGCAGCTGCGGTCATGGTTTGCCTGGTTTCTGGTTTTACACTATACGAGTGTGTAAGTCTATCTGCACCCTTTCATAGTGTTTGCCCCTTACTCTTGATTGCTGTCTAGCATCCGACGCTAACTCGACCAAATGCGAATATTGAAAAGCCTTGTATCTCGCGCGTGTGAGTTCAACATTTGACAAACTCTTATTACAAAAAAGGTGGTACTAACTTGTGTCAAGACGAAGATCACAATACATTGATGGCAGCGTCCCAACAGTCAGCCACGGCTATTGCTTGGACCGCACTCCTGTTTCATTGCACATCTCTGCTATCTTTGGTGCTAGTTTCTCTTACCAGGGAAGATTCTTCATATCACTTATTATCCTCGAAGACAAACGGAGAAGATGACGAAATTGGTGACGCCGTTTTTACTATCGAAGATGATAGTGATCCCGAGACGGAAGCAGATGAGGCCGATGTAAGACGTGCTTCACTCCATATCACAACAACCAGCCATGTCGCCTCAAATCATGACAACCGGCAAGATGTTACAACAAACCTTTTACAGCCAATACAGATTGAAAAGTACAAAGAATCTCATGGTACTAAAACGCTGGAAACAACCCGCCAAACACTTTGGCGGGAGATATGGCGGCCGTCCTTGCTTGGTCTAGCTATTTCCCTGGTGGCCACCATTGTGACGAATCTTTTCCCAAAAAGCACTTCTACCGCTCTGATGACTTCACTGTTCTTGGGATCCAATGGACTTTTATTCAGTCTTGCAAACTGGGTGCCGTATACACTCATTGCGTACGAAGCCGCAGTGCGAGCTCGAGCAAGGACGGCAAACTCTCCTCGACCCAACCAGAATCAAAATCCTGCCAATCACGAGAAAGACGGTCCTTCGAATGACCAGGCGCCTGGAAATGAGGACGAAAATCCTGACACAGAGTGTGATGACGACCACAGTACCCCAAGGCTTCTAGCAGTCCACAATATGTCGATCACTGTTCCCCAAATTATGGCACTAGTCGTTGTTTGGCTTCTGGATCAAGGGCTCGATGCGCTAGGTATGGTACCTGATGTCTTGTGGACTTTTGTTCTGTGTGTTCCAGCTTTGATCTGGGCCATATGTCAGTAGGATTATCTGCCATTGAGGGGTATGATCAATCATTCAGTCACGTTAGTGAAATAGTACTCTCGACTACGCACGGCCAAGTTACATATGTTTCATAGTATTGGTCATGATCTATAGCGGAATAAATGGTTCCCATCTTCCTTGCCTCGTTCCCTCCAATTATCGAAGCGAAATCTATTGCTTAATGTGTGTATCATCATCGGACAGTCTCAAAGTATCCGTCAATCCTGACATGCAGGTCGTCTTGAACGCACATGATGTATCCATCCCGCACGGGTAATTGGCGATATGTGTTCGTCGAAACAATACAATTGTTCATTAGAAATTGAAATAACAAGAGGCTCGCGTTTGAAAATCACATTTCAAGTACTCCAGAGAGCGATACCAAAGTTTTAATCATGTATTAGATCGAGATACAAATGGTACATAATGAAATTCATTCTCAGCTCATGCTTTCAAGCGCAAGTCAACGCTTTTGTTCCTCCTCACCTGTCGTTAAGCTCAAAGTATCGGCATATAACATTCACCACCCAATCCAAATCCCGAAGTTCCTCCACCAAACTCTCCCAATACAACCTTGGTGAGCGTCGTGGGATCCGAACCATCATCCGTCATGATGTGCAGACAGTGGTACATGTGCCCAGGGTCCAGAGGCAGATACCCAAGACCCCGATTGCGGCGCGTGGTATGCTTGACACGGAGGCGCATGACAAACTTGCAGTGCTCAATGTGAAACGCCTGCGGGGTGAAGAGCTCCGTGTGCACGCCGCCCGGCACGTCGGCGGCCCAGACTCGTTCCTGGGCTATAGGCTGGGTACGGTGGGCGTCGAGCCACCAGCCAAAGTCCGGGAGCCGCAGCCATTCTGCGCGGAGTTCTGGGTCGTGGCAGAGTTCGTGCACCCAGCCGCCTTGGCTCGGGTCCAGCACGCACCCTCGAGCCCGGGCGCCTTCGGGGTCGGACCACCCGTTGCAGTAATAAGTGTTGTATGCGAGACCGTATCCGGCGACGGGAAGTTGTCCGCCAGGTATGAACATGGTGTTTAGCGAGTCATGGTGAGGATTGGTAATTCTGTGTCCGGTGCTTTCATGACTGTCGGTCTTTTGATCGGTGTGAGTTGGGGCTGAGAGTTTGGCTGTGACAGTGAGAGTTTTGGTGGCTTGCGCAGTAGTAATTGCCGAGTGTGGGATGAGTGCTCGGGCTTTTTGGAGCTCCAGGGTCGCCAAATGGGTCAGCCATAGCGACGAGCCCCAAGCAATGATGCTGGCCACGATCAAGGCGACGCGCATGCAAAGCCATACCATTGCTGCAAGCGAACGTTTCCTATATCCTTGGTCCCACTTTGGGAGAATCGATTCATCTTCGTCTTCGGTGCGCTGGCTGTTACTCTCAAGCTCGGGATCGTTCGCCAAGACTTTTTCGTACTTGTCGTTGCTAGGCCTAGAGCTGATCATTGCTTCCATACTTGGAGTGCAAAAGGTTGTATGAAGGAAAACAGTAGGAAGACAATCAATTCCAACTGGTAGCCGCTGATGATGATAATCATGCCCATTGATTGGAAATGAGTTTCGAAATTTAGACTGTCCCTCACGGATCTATGCATACTTTGTCCGGTCCGGGTCAGCCATATCCGGAAACTGATGGCCACTATTCCTGGACTTTCCGGACCGCCTTAACGGGTGCCCCCCGGCATAGTCTCCGAGACGCCCCTCGATTGTTTGCTCGGACGTATTCGAGGTTAATGAATCAACGCCACGCTATCATGTTGTGATAGTTTTGTAAAATCCACCCCCCCCCCCCCCTTTTCCCCCCTTTTTCTTTTCTCTCTTTTTTATTATGCTATAGTCACCAAAACCAGCCACCTAGAAATATTTTACCAAGTCCAAAAGTCTGCATTTTGGTGGCAGATTATCCGAATTCTGATCTATGTCCATGTTGAATTACCATCAATGAGTGCAGTTGAAGCAAGTGTACTATTGTTAAAGGAATGCATTTTATCTGCCTATTCGTTTTCTAATAGTAAATATGTCTCCATTCTGCCAGCTAGTACCACAGAAGGTTTGTCCAGCGCTCTCCATACGTAATCGGACACAATGACGACCACGCACGTTATGGGGACAAAGGCAATCCACATACCCACTTGCGCACCAAGCCCTGGGGAAAGACCGACATCTGTAGAAAAAGAGATGAAGTACTTTCTCATCTCAGAGGCAAAGGTCCACCCACAGACCTGTAAAAGTGGTTCATGTATAAGATAGAGGGCAAATGATATACGGCCGACATACCTCAGCAGGCCAGTAGCCAAGAAAGAACGAACCCAGGTGACGTTTGCTGCTGACCAGACCACACAAGATGCTCCAATAGCTTGCCAGACCTGTGGTGATGGAGAAACCTTCGCGAGCCAGCTGAATCCAATCGCTTCAGCACCGCGCAGCTCCGGATACGAAGCTAGCCACAAGCCAGTGCAGAGGACCACCAGACCACGAAGCACAATGAATACTCGGTACCACCTCCTGAATATCCAGTGACCATTTAGGTCCTTCCACTTTGGTTCCAACGTCTTTTTAGAACCAATGTCGCGTTCTGCAAATATCATGCCGCACAGGAACATGGCCACTTCCCACCGGTCGCATAGACAGCTATATAGTATCAAGGAAATTGAAAGTGTAAATTTTGCCCAACTTCCGGCTATCCGACTGAGCGCCATCATGATGAAGAATAATACGAGCGAGCAGTGGAATTCAGTCTGGATAGTCCAAAGGTGTGCCCCATAGTAGCTAGCGTTGGGGCTGGCAAATAGGTCGTAGTTCCATCGCCACGGATTCGTCAATCGTCGAATCACGAAATCGAGCCAGTCCTGAAATTGTGCAAGGAGCGAGGCTTTTCTCCTTGGTCGAAGGGGTACCCAATGTGCCGGCAAGGTCATGAAAAGGTCCTCGTTGGCATAGAGCTGTCCTGAAAACAGCACAAATATGAGCAGACTGGTGATGACTGCAGGTACAAATAGACGGATTCCGCGTTTCAAAGCAGCAGTCGATAGGCAATGCAGAGCCTTCTCCCAGTCTTGCCAGTGGATAGCTCGCAGGGTCGAAAGTGATAACACATAGCCCGAGATGATGAAGAATATGTTCACCATGGTCGCGGCGCTGCGGAAGAACCCAATGATGGGCAGTCCAAAAAAGGAAGCCGAGTCCGGACTACTGGGTAAGGAGCCGTACAAAAGTGATCGACTAAAAGGGACCATGAAATGATATGCATATACTGCAGATGCTGCCAAGCCTCGGAGACCATCAAGATACGCCGTGTCTTGACGGCGACTGCTTTTGGTAGACTTGGTTGTTGTGAGAGGTTCCTTTTCCTCATTCGATGATCTCATAAAGCTAGGGAGAAGGCTTGTTGCGACTGTGCTGATTATTTCGCGGGCAGTCCATGATCCGCTGATGGCCAATGCCGCTATTGAGAAGGCAGAACGTCTGTGGGACATGTTCGATGTTCCTAGTTTGGGACTTAGGAGATGTTTGCGGCGCTAAAATATGGGTTTTCTCGTGTTATCATATGAGTATTCTAACACATAGGTATAACACGAAGACAACAAGATTACCAATTATAGTATATACTATTGTTTCCAAAATATGATATCTTCTCCAATATCTCTACTTGGGAAGGAAGTTGGTGGATACGATTTACCGGAAATAAAATACGAATGCGGACCGCCCTCGGACCGGTCACGGGGCGATGAGAGTTTTCGTGTCATTCTCGGAGCCACACCAAACTTTTGCCTCTTTTGCTGACAAAAATGAAATTCTCTTACTTTGAAATATTAAGTGTAAATTGTGGCGGTTTTGTAATGCGACATTGAAACTACCTAGTATATATGACTGTTGAAATGCAATTGTGTATACCGTCCGAATTTGTGATTCGAAAACAAAATACGCATTTGGAAAACTAAATACATCTTTTTGTTGTCATATAAATACGGGTACAGGTTCTCATTGACCCATCCCAAGCAGTGAGGGAGGTGTAGTGGAGAGTAAGAATAATTGAGAAAATTAGAGAAGTGGAGGGGGAAAAGACTGTAGAGACATTGTGTTGTAAGATCAGCCTAATCGAGCTAATTAGGCTCTGCCGTATATCGTCGATTAAAACCCCAGTGGAAGTTTGAAAAAAAAAAGAAAGGTATTAGAAATGAATAAAAAATGTGTCAACGAGTGAGTTTAAATTTCGTTGAGATTTCAAAGAGCCATTTGATACATACTAAACGGTGAGATTTATTGAATGCTAACTTGATCAATTTTTCACGTGCGCCATATTATTGCAGAAAGGAAATTGGACATATACAATGGTTTTCGGCATGGCGATGTCCAAAACTGGAAGTTATGGGATCAAAGAATGGCTCGCCCTATACCAAATACAATGCCGGAAGTGGATTAGTCCACTGCCAACTGCCCTAGTTATCCTTCTAATCTTCGCGGTAGCCCAATCATGACTGTTAATAACGCACATCCTGAGATCGATTGGTGCGGACGTTGCCAAGAAACGCCGTGGCGCGTTTCAGCCGAAGCCCAAGGGATTTATGCAGGGATTTATTGCAGGAGTCCGGAAGAAAACCTCGAAATGCTTCAATATATACACACATAGTACGTCCACTAAGCTGGTCGAGTCAGTAAAGCCTCTCGTTTTAGCGGCGGCTCTAGCACCCCTGCAGCGAGGCAGGTGGAAGACCGGGCGAGCCCGTGCAGGCATAGCAGATAGAGAATAAGTGTAATGTGCTATTCAGTATCCTTGGGTTAAACTACACTTCGGAGCCAAAAGCAATTCACCTATTTCACTAATAGAGTACAGTAGATTATGCTAATCGTCAGCCTCGTTGGTCTAGATCTTGATAGCCTGATTGCCCCTCAGTCGCATACGCGCCGGAACTTTATCTTCTTTCCAAATCTTGTTAGGGATGAATCTGCTTGTCGTCGTTCTAATAAACCACGGAACACCTCCTACATACAACAAGATCCTGATGAAGGTCGTCCAATCTCGGGCGGAAATAAGATGATGCTGCAACGGCCACCGGTAGGGGAAGTTCCACACGATCTAATGGGCGTGTCAAACTCGACACTTTCGTTCAACAGGTGCGGGTCTCAGCGCTTGGTGCCCTCATGTTGTTTGTTTGTATGATCTGTAGACTTGAAATCCGCTCTGGCATGCTGAGTCGCCTTACGAGGACCGTGGTCTTCCAAACACTAGACTGAGCGGTGCACTGTCGGTACGAGGAGTCGGAACCGCCTGAAAGAATTGTTAGGGTGACACAACAACATTGTACAGTGATTTGTGTGCTTGGAAATTAGACTCAATAAGTGAGGTTGAAGTAGCTTGGCCCTGTGCTTCGCACCAACACCCTTACACTCCGGTACAAGGGAGCCAATCATTACGTTGAGCTCGAAGCAATCTGTCACAACTATAATTCCTTTTGTTTCCCCGCTCTCACCTGTACGAAACAATGTGGAATAAACGCTTAAAGCTACTGTAGCATCTGTTATTTCTTCCCCCCCAGCGCTCTGTAGCAAGAACACTTCTATGCCTACTCGACAGCGCTGGCTGAGACCTACCATGTAAGCTTCCGTAAGCGGGAAAACACGAGCTCAATACCCAACCGAGACCTCCCACATTCGACCCGAAGCATGGGTCCGTGAACCAGGGACATCCATGTTACACAACCGATGATCTGCTGTTCCTGTCACTCTCGAATAGATGCCCTGTCTGATTCTAGCTCGGTGATTGGAGAAATACTGTTTGTGGCCTGGCAGCTGAGGATTGATTGTCTATGAGCGGGGCTAATGTCTGGGATCAGGTCTTGGCTCTCCAATCGTGGCCCCGGAACTTGGCCCAACACCCGTCAGCTGAACTGACCTCTCCAATTATCGATATCTATGTTCAGAGGCTCCAAGCAGTGCTCTGGCCAGGAGGTCGTTACAGCTGGGGATCCAATGTTATGCATCATGGCACGGAGGTTGTCACAGCAAAGACGGAATAGGTCGTTGAGACCTGGTGGGCTGTGCGTCATGTACTGATTTAGAACCGGGGTTCGACAGGTATATAAACTGAGATGTGCCGGCAATCCATGTGATTGTTGTGATACGGATTCAGTCCGAAACTCCCTAGCACGTGGTGACTTCAAAGACGGAGGCATCATGGAGGAAATATGGAAGCGTTGTTGGCACTGGTTTTGGAATTTCGGTGGGGAAGCTCCCTGAGCACGACAGTCTTCGTCATTCAAGCGATCGCTATCTAACAAATGATCAATTAGCCAATGTGATATTCGCAATTCTCATTCTGGCCGGGTCTCGAGACTCAACCTCGAGCGCCTTCAGTCTATCTAATCCTTATCAGAGGATGATTGAGATGTTTGTCGGGGATGATTGCGCTAGCCTTGCCACGGAGATTATCCCTGACAAATATCGCATCAGTCTGACGAGTAAGTCTGCATGTTCACATCGCTGCTACTGATCGATTTGCTAACATCTCATCTTGTAATCTTTCAGGCTCCTGCCGAGTTTTCGGCGATGAGGTCACCTGCCGCTCCCACTTCCCGCCAGCCCTAGACTGGGCTCGCCTGTTGGAAGCCGACGTCGTAGCATCAGCAGACAACGAGACCATCGCCATCTGCACAGCGCCTTTTGCGACCGTGGATGGCCACTTTCCGACGACCAATGCAATGGCCGCGGCTATCTTTGCGTTCCTCATAATATCCATCATCATAAGCGTCATGGTCTTCGTTACTCCAATCATATCCGGAAAGGCCTTCGGACGCCATGTGATGCTAGTGACAGGATTCGACGTAGTGCTTCTGGTGGCGTGCATCGTGCTGTACGTGACCATCGCGCAATACGCAATAGCGCCGTACACCCACACCGATATCGCGGCTGCTACAGGCGAAAGAGTGAATACCCTGGCAATCCTAGGCATTGGCTTCTGGCTTCTCATTGCCGCACTCGTCGCGCGGGTAATTGGAAATCCTGTTCTCATCCGGTCCCTCATAACACTCTTCTTTCATCGGTGCAGTGGAGGCAGTGCAGGACCTAAACGCGGATTCGTAGAGGACTGGAGAAGCCCCGCAGCAAGGGAGGACAATACCGCTCGTATGATGCAGGAAGCTGATGAGAGAAGGGCTAGGGAGGTACAGAGACGAGCGGAAGAGGCGCAAAGGCTGGAGGATGCTGCAAACCAATATTATCGGAGGTAGATCAGTGGCGCGCCGCAAAAAGAAAAAAAAAAAGGGTAGAAATCAGCACACTTTCCGCCGCGAGCAGGAAGGCCACGATCATTAAACACGCGCGGTATTGTATAACTACGGGAATTAATACTACTCATGATCTTAAAGCTTTGACAAGCCCGTTTTGAAAATCCATAGACAATACTGGAATTGCATGACATCACCCTCAGTGTTTGGGACCAATTATAGGAATAAATCTGGATCATCAGGAGTTTGATAGATGTTCTGGATTCACTTCGTAGTGTCCCGAGGCTGGTGTGCCAGGCTTGGCTCACGTGTAAAAGTTAAGTATGAGTGTCGAAAGGGGAGGCAAAATATCTGCTGGATCCTTAGTCATTCAGGGGGAGTCAGGCGACTGCATGACGCCGCCCAGATACCAGGCGGTCTGATAGAGGGAAGTCACCACCTGGCGGTCTTTGGGGTGAGCCAGCTCCGCGATCAGCATCGATGCGCAAGCATTGGCAAAGACAAGCCCAAACTCAATGACGAACCGAGCCATGATGAACATAGCGAGTGGAGGAAAATCGTTAGAGATCGCGGACCTAATCGTTATTTGCGAGGTAATTGTGAACACTCACTATGGACCGATGCGCCCTGCAAAGCGCTGCCCAGGGCCATGATGACAGACCCTGCGAAAATACCCATCCGACGGTCGTATGGCGTCCTTAATAGAGAGGGCCTGTGACGAAACATAGTAATGCTGACACCGTGCCAGCCAGGATACTAATAGAACTCAAAAATGCCTAGCTAACATATCTAAGCTCCTCAATTAGATCCTTACATATACTCCTACACCATGCTCCCGTTTCGGAAATCCTTCGAGTTCATTCATACTAGTCGTGTTCTGGATGACGGGGCAAAACCTGTGCACAACAGCCTGCAGAAGATCAACATGTCAGGCTAAAGGATGGCTTGCAAAGTAGGGCGTGGCACTAGGTACGCTCAAATGAAGGCTTCCGCAATGCTCGGTATCACCCGGGACTATGAGCTAGGACCACTTGCGAGACGACATCCCAAATATAGGCTCGGCGAACTCGTCCCGTCTACTTGATGAGGAACCTTGTTTTATTATTAAATATACGATATTAAAATGCTAATTATAATCGAAAAGGTAAATTAAGATAATATTTATTAACCGCGACGGCTAACCTTGATAGTATCTTTTTAATATTAGCGATAGGTATGATTAGAGGCTTGGATTTTCAACGGTGCTCCGGCCGAAAGCGCCATAACGGAGCCTGGATACGGAGCCGCTGTCGGGTACAAAATGCCACGTTAAAAGTGGAACAGTCGCTGTTGTGTCGGAATGAGTCAGCAGACCCCTGTCGTGCCGCAGTGGACGTATTTCAAGTTGCATAAGTGAATAAGTGTTCATGAACTTAAGCTTTTGTTGATCCAAAGGAGTGTATTGAGCATAAGCTTAACGTTACCATCTCGCTACCATCAGTCATATACCATCATTCATCTCACAAAGGGAAAGCTGCATGATGTCGAGATACATCGTGCTGAATACCTCTGGACGACAATCCTTTGCCTCTCCTTAAGCAGTCTCGTCATCACCCTCGTACTTGACAAGGTAGCGCTTGTCCTTGGCAGCTTCCTCATCACCCTCATATTTGACAAGGTAACGCTTATCCTTGGCAGCTTCCTCATCACCCTCATATTTGACAAGATAACGCTTATCCTTGGCTGCCTCCTCGTCGCCCTCATACTTGACAAGGTAACGCTTGTCCTTGGCGGCTTCCTCGTCGCCTTCGTACTTGACCAAGTAGCGCTTGTCGTTGGCACTGTCGCCTTCATACTTGACGAGATATCTCTTGTCACTGACTCTGGTTTAAATCGTTCAGCTTGAGTATTTGTTCACCCGGAAATTATATGGGATCTTTTGCAGTACTTACTCAGCGGGCAGAGCAGCTGCCATGCAGAGTCCAAGGAGGGACAGAACGGCGAAAGACTTGGCAGAAACCATACTGATCAAATAATTGATGCTCGAGGTTTCTCTAAAAAGAATAGAATCGTTGTGATGAATTGGATGAGGCGGTGAAGAGCTGAGTGAAGAAGCGTTGATGCTGCTGCTGAGGGTTGACACTCGAGCGAAGACATTCCGGGCTATATACGTGGACGTAATGTGAATCGATAACCATTGATGAAGTATAACGAATATTGACCTCACTCTACCGACAATACACTGTCTTTCCAGGTTTGAACCGTGGTCCTCGTTCGTCCGGAAAGCGCCTATCCGGCGTTGTCCTCTACAAGTCCGGAATTGCCCCGGACCGGTCATATTGGACCGTCTAAGGGTCTAGAATGTGTAAAACTTTCCGGGAGTATTCTTTCGGCTCCCTTAACATTTCGAGTACGCTCTAACATTCGAATCAATCACCCAGCCCAGGATATCCCACCATTTAGCTACAACAGCCCAAATTAGATCCTGCATTATTCACCTTACATCTTAACCATCATTTATTCTATTTACACATTAGCGGACTTCAGTATGGCTTTTGGAGTGTACACCTCCAAACAAGTTGCCATGCGCAAATCTTCTGAACGGCCACTACTAAGTATCGCTAGCTCGTCCTCGACAGCTCCCAGCGATGACTTTGAGTACGAGGTCGACCGCACTATATCAAGGCATGAGCGAAGACGGCGGCGCAAAGCTCAGATTGTAACACTTTGCCGAAATACACTCATCGGCGTCCTTTTGCTTGTCGTCATGCTGCAGACTGCGATACTCCACTCCACCTGGCTACAGTCCAAGGACCCACGACCTCTTGAAGAGTTCAACTCGCTTGTCCCTTCTGGTGAGCACATCTCTATTCTACATGGGCGGGTATAAGAGCTGAATTTTGTCCATAGTTGGATCCAAAGTAAAAATATTCAAGGCAGATCCGAGCTTTGAGCCACTGAATGCCACCGATGCGAGTTGGATGAAAGTCATGCCAGGTAAAAGCCGAATACCGAGAACGTAAAATTGCGGTCAACATGCTGAAAAGATCTCGACATAGCTGGTGGCGGTTTTATATCCGTTGACGATTGGAGCGACAAGTCGTTGCCGCCTCCAATTCGATCGCGCGATAAGAATTTATACAATATTGCCGTCTTTCATCAACTGCATTGCTTGCACATGCTAGCCGAGGAGTTTAGCAATCTGTTGGGCAACAATAAACATCATGGGCATGAGGATATGTCAGACGACCTGATGATGTGGCACGTCAGTCATTGCTTCGAGTACCTGAAGAATTCCTTGACGTGCTGTGCCGACACTGCCTTAGAGGGACAGAAGAGTGATACTGATGAGCCTGCCACCGACGGCTTTGGGGCATACCATGTTTGCAGGGATTTCGAAACTGTATTCGATTTCGCACGAAAGCATCGCATCTCGGACCAGGGTGGTTATCCTCACGGGACAGCGTAGAAAATGTAGTGAATGTACAAATGACCTTTTCAATTGTTCGAATAATTCACCATCTTGGGTCTTGTCGTCGGAACATTTTCTTACTTCCTGACAATATTGTTTCGTGTCGGACGCAAACTAGCGAAGACAGAAGCATCAAGAGACACTCAGATATAGTGTCGAGAGTAAGCTGGGTCTAAACTGATTTCAAAGCCATTCCTCCCGTTGATGGCAAATATCGCCTTTTCTCTCTCTCTTGTTTCTTCATTTCTTTCCTTCATTCTTTTGTTCCGGCATGTCGCCGCCTTCTTTTTTACAGAAAAAGAAAGATTAAAAAAATAAATTAAAAAAAGAATTAAAAAAAATTGAAAGTGAAACTGCTGACACTTGGATTGTGAAATTTGCATATTCAAGTTGATTCAAGTGCAGTTTAGTAAAACGTGTATGCCATTTATTTCTTAGTTTTATCGATATTGTTATTTTCCAATATTATTTTACTAATATACGATATGACTTCCCATTTAACCCCCAATCATTCTGAAGTCGTCATCAGCATATATACCATTCTCATTTCGAAGAGTACCTCATTGCTATGTCAAAAAAGGCCACACAAAGACAGGGCACTTCGATCTTGTCCAATCGCTCACAGAGAAAATGAGACATTTTCATCCGGAAATCGGGTGTTCACGAATTAGATAGTCCTAGATGATCATATAAGCAAGCGCAAAGATGGGTATCGAACACTTTTGACTAAACATACCTGGTGAGGCATTCCAGACGTTTGTGCCCATTGGTACAGGATTGAATCATCCTTGCACATGTGCCACAAGGCATTTCCGTCAATGATTTTCTGTTCTGGAGTGAGTTGCGCGACCGGGTGCAACGTCGTATCTGCATGGCAGAGAATGCTCTAGACACTAGAGTTCAGCAAATATGTCATTTATCTCCAAGGTGCGTTTGAGTCATGGCTGATCGTACCTGACGGACGTAGTCAAAGCAGTACGACACGTTTGCGTACGAGGATCCGGGACCCCGATCAGACATGAACCTGCGCGCCTCTGCTCCAGATCTGCTAAGCGCGATGAATTCTTGCCGAATCTCGCGCAGGCAACGGAGCTGGTGGAACATTGCGGGAATCGCCCAGAAGTGAAAACCACTGGTTATGTTGGTGGCGAGGACGGCACCATTGTTAGAAGGGACCAGCTCGTCCCAAAGACGCTCGGCTGTGTCGTCAAAGTGTCGGTATGTCACATTTCCAAGTAGAAAGCGTGGTCTTGCTTCCACTTCGGGCAAATAGGTATGGTGAGCAATTGGTGGCGGTGGGCCAGTCAGAGACAGCCACAGGAAGATGATGGAGGCGCCAAGCGCGCAGGCCATATACACGTACTTCAACATTATTTGGAAAATTTGGTATATGAGTACTACAAGTTGGAGTTAATTGACCTCAACTATGTAGACATGTCAGGCTTATTGACCTTGAGAAATTACAAAGAAGTATGTTCGCATGAAAAGAAAAATGTCTGTATTCCCATTGGCCTCTCATCAGCCGGACCGACTTGGTGGGGTGCATTGCCCCGGACCGGTAGTGGATAATGCCTTGTAATTACAGTGGCGTATACAGTCCCCGTTTTCGAAATACTACAAATGGCACATTATTGATTGATTTATTGCATCAGATGGCCTTTCCATCAAAAACTTTCTTGACTTTTTCGCTTTTCGAAAACGGAAAAATAATTTTTGCACGCACAGGTGACTATGGCTCCTCCATCGCAAAACTCCAAACTCCCCTGGGGGATGGGTCTTTTGACCACGTTCTGCATCATCCTTGCCTTTGTATTTCATAGTCGTTGGGAACGCCCCGTCTCGCAGTGGCCCATGAACCTGCCGCTCCGTACCTACACCTTCGTCGATCATCCACACCTTCGCGACTTTGACAATGCCGAAGCCGGCCAATTTTGGGGAGCTATGGTCTGGCATGACTGGTGGGATGCCGAATGGCGCGACGACGCCGGCAGACGGTTCCCGCGAGGCATTGATGTCTTTCACAAGATGCACTGCCTAATCGCTATTCGAGAGGAGTTTGCCAATCTCGCCATGGACGATGCGAGACCGGCGAAAAGGCAAGTTGCATCGGAGCCTCAAACAGGGAGCCACGAGAAAAGGGTAGTTGATCTTACACTGAACCAAAATCACCTGGAACACTGTTTCGACTTTTTGCGACAGGTGAGAGATGTAATAAGGCAACAGACATTCTTGAGTATACACTGAATCTTGTAGGATATACTCTGTGCTGCCGACATGACCTTGGAACCATTAGCAGAGGGCTACGTGGAGACGGATGGGCAGGGCGTAGAGCACCAGTGTAAAGATTGGCGAGTGCTTCTGGACTTGATGAAACTACCTGACATGGACGAAATTTGATGTACCAAGAAAATATCGAGTCGGAAACACAACCAAAAATGCAAATGCATTATATGGCTACTGCCATTTATATGGATCTTTCTTTAGTATGCCTAGAGTGCTTTAAGTACCGTAGTCTGTCTCTACTTTCATTGCCCTTTGAGCATTGACTAGATATTGATCCGCAGCTTTTTCAAAAGTTTTAATTTCTGGTTGTTCTCATCTATCATTCTGTCATGACTAAAGAGATACGACACTGTCAGCTCCGTAATTCTGGTTTGATCAGTCGCTACAGTGATATGTTTATAACAAGCATATGTGTTGCAGTTCGTTGAAAATGTGGAAATAAAAGTCGGGAATCTGTTGCACAAGAAAATTGGTGACCAAAAGTGATTGACTGTGTTTTCCGACGCCGATGGTCGGATAGAGGGGAGTCCGGTCCGGGCTATTTTGGGCCGCGCTGCAGCCCGGACCGGACCAGACACCTTCAGGGCTGTTAACATCCAAGTCAGTACAACGATATTCGCGTTTGGTTTTAATGTGATTTAAATGATTTATTCAACTCATTTCATCCTAATAACGTGATTCTACCATAGAGATCGCCATGGCTGACTTCGAACGCGACTCGGATACCTTATCCAGTGAGGAAGCTACGCTCTTAGCCAGTGAAAAGGACGAGTTTGAGCTCAAAAGGCCGACCAAGAGTAGATTTGGTCGTTCAAGACTGGCAAAAGCAATTACTTATGTATTTCACTGCCTTTTATTGCTCATCAATATTTCTTGGGCTTTTGTGAATTTCCACTATCGCACCCGGAACTTGACAGGGCACGGAACTCCATACGGTGAGTCTTCGCAGCCAGAGTGGGCATTTCGATCATGCTTCATCAGCTAAGAATACAAAGAACCATGGGAAGCGCCATTTGAAGAGAAATACTCCCAATACCAGCTCCCTTTAGGAGAAAAGTCTGTCTACACGACATTCGATCGTTCTGTAGCCGATCCAGAATGGGCCAAGATCAGCATGAAAGACGGGTGTGAGTTCATCTAACAACTTCTCGTGAAATCCAATTACATCTAGACCTTCGCGCACTTTTACTTTGAGCGCTGACACATATCAGTGGGTTGGATCAAAGTGTCCCAAGAAAAGGTCGAGGCCATGGGCCAGTCTTCGGTTCAATTCCATGACCAATCAGGTTACTTCTTTGGCATGGACGTATTTCATCAACTACACTGCCTCAACTACCTGCGCAAGAAAACAGTCCTCTATAATCATCTTTATCCTTCCGAGACTGAAGTCGAAGATCAACAAGTCCCGCCAGAGTTCCACATCCGTGAGTCTTGAGCCCCTCCCAACGAAGGACCCGGCGTCCGCCCTAGTGTCAGAGTTGTAGCTAATTGGCATATTCCTCTGCAGCTCATTGCATAGACTCTATTCGGCTGTCTCTTCAATGTCATGCTGACCTGAGTCTTGTTCCTCAGCGGTGGGCTGACGGCTGGCTCGAGCCTTGGGCAGTTTGGCAAAACAAGCATGTCTGCCGAAACTTTCAAGAAATAAGAAACTGGGCTTCCAATAGTGTTCCAGACCTGTCCAACACGCTCCGTCATCCCGAGTTAGGTACCGTCATTTCTGGAAAACTGAATTTGTCAGCGTTGCCCATCTGGCAGGAAGATCATGATGAGAATGTCGTCCTTGGCCAAATGCCGGTTTGCCACTCTCATGGCGAGGAACATGATTGAAGACGTACTCTAGCTTTGATATGTGTTGTAGATCCGCCAGATAACGTTGTAAAGTTCATATGTGTGACGCGACCAATGAGATCATTATGCCGAGGCGTTCACAGATGAGACTAGGTGGAAATGAATTCTGCCATTCAATGCGAGCACAACACTAGCTTATTGACCAATTTCAATGCCCTCCATGGGAAATGGTTCGATTGGCGTTTTTTATGTGACCCGCACAGTCCATATTTCACGTAAAATTGGTCAGAAGGAAGAGGTAATCATTAGAAAATCCATAATTGCGGAACATGAATAGCATTATTGGTCAGATCTTAGTTTCAGAATGTTCGCTTGAACAAGCTTACTCATCCAGAACACCGGGAAAAGGTGCCCGACCATTCGTTCTGGGCCACTACGAGGGAAACTCCGAAAGTGGCGCCTCCATCATCTCAATCGAGATGGCTTCATAGACCTATCTACTTGCAGAACCAACTTCGCAGTGAACGCAAAAAAAAAAACAAAAAAAAAATGCATACGAGAGAATTACAACAAAAAAAACAAGAGAAAAAAAGTGAACACAAGTTTAATCGTAAGGGGAAGGGTCGTCATATACATACCTTATTTTTTTATTTTTTTTTTTGAAAAGCTGGGTCAAGCCGCCTTGAAGCTCATCACGGCTGTAGGTAGAGAGAAGCTCTGTGCAGAAGTGTTTGAGAGGAACATGTTGAAGATGTAGGAGGAGATGAGTGGGAAGGTGAAATGAGATAAGATAATGGAGAGGAAACGGGGGGGGGGGGGGGGGGGGGAAGAATTTCGAGGAGAGGAGGGTCTACCTACTTATATACACGAGAGATCCATGGGTCGGGTCAAATAGGCTATGCAGCGATGCGGCAACAAGAGAGGCTTTCTGGCCATGATATGGCAAGAACGATGGTAGAACACACTTCTATGACTCTTTGCGCCCCAGGCACCAATGATCCGTAGTGAGCTCGGCGTGAGATCTGCAATGAGAGGGAAGGTGCCGCTGCAGTATCTGCTGCCGTACCTTGTTGTATCACAATTATTGAAGGCACTCGGGGCCAGTTGAGCCTCGGCGCCTTCTAGTCAAGGGACTGAGATGTCGGTCTGGATTGTTCTGACCATCTAGGCAGCTCTCGGTGGCAAGCTACTTCCGTTTTATGAGGCACTCGGTGGCTTTTCGTCGCTGCCAATGCATCGTGTCCGGTCCAGAGACCGGCGTTCCTGCTCACCCCCAAACTGAGTTGAAGCGGGCACACCGGATCCGACGGCGCATATCGAACGTCACTATTATATATAATAAAAGAAAACATTAGGGGAAACAAAAGAGAGAGAGAAAAAAAAGGAAGAAAAAAGAAGTAAAGAAAAAAGAGGAAAAGACGGGCGCAGAGTCTCCAAATTCGAATCATATATTGACCAAAACTTGACCATTGGCTCTTACTGGCTGACAGAACGGTGGGTGGAATTATACAAGACAAATCGCATAAATGGCAGTCACGTCAAACCCGGTGCTGTAGCGTCACTAGAACATTAATAATGTTATTTTTCTATGAAATATGCAATTTGGCACATGCATCTTCGGATTTGTGATTTCTAAATATCCAGGAATATATAAAGATAGGGAAAATTAGTCAACAATGTATTAAATGCTTGGTGCCTTTTTATGCTCTCGGCCAGAAGGCTAGAGAGATGAAGGACCCAGAAAATATCATTTTCATGCATTGCGTGTGTATTTGAAAGATATGACTAGAAGGTGATACATGAAGCTATTCCACCAAAGTCAATCCGTGGATCGGTCTGAAGATACCACGAATTTTTGCATCTTGACACCTTAACCCCCTCGAGAGGAGGTGAATGCACCCTTGATCCGTGTTTTTAGTGTGTTCTTGAATGCTGAAATCGTTTCATTCTTTGGTACTTTCTTTCCCCTTGAGGGTTCCTGCACAGGGTGATGCTCATCAACACGCTCAGGCTCTCTTACCTCAGGCTCTCTTACCTCAGGCTCTCTTACCTCAGGCTCTCTCCGTGTCGAATGTTCAAAACGGTCGTCTCTGTTCCACTGGATGTTGGAATTCTCAGAGTTAACGAAAGGGCTATTGTTATCTCTGGACAACAAAACGTCCATCTTCTGTACAACTTCTAGGTATAAAGAAGAGTTTCGATTCGGACCTAGCAAATTGCGCCGGGCCAACTTCCATGCAGCTCTGTTGTTTATCAATAGTTTTTGGTCCGAACTGATCCAGTTAAAAATATTGATAATAGACTCTGCCAGTGCCACGGATATCCGCCCTGTATCTTCAGCACGCTCTTTCGTGCTCCAGAATACTATGGACCATTCCACAAACATGCGGCCCCAGATCATGACATCAGTGGAGGCGAAGAATTGTGACACCAGAACCAAATCTGTGAACCATGGATTGCAGATCATTATTCCAGAACGGAGAAGAGCGATGAGGTCGCTGCCTGCGTCCCTTTCTTCTTCGAAAAGCTTTTCAAAAACTGTGAGCAAATCATCATGTATCTCGATAATTTTGACGGGCTTCTTGATGGTTCCTTGCGGATCAGGAAAGGGTAAGCCCTCAATAGGGTATTGGGAAGAAATGCCAATTTTAGCGCCTTCAGCTTCAGGATATGGGGGCAATCTGACAACGGGCTGTTGAGATATGAGATTGACACGGTTGTTGCAGAGGAACTTCAGGGGTGTATCTCCTTCTTCCAAGCCTAACAGTTGTAGTATGCTTTGGGAGTCCTTTGAATTCGTTCGGTGCGAGTGATCGCCAACACCTAGAAGGGACAGAAAGCGAAGCAGAGCTGCGTCCTTCTCCTCATTCGTGACAAAGTATTGTATTATCAGTTCCGTAAGGCACAGATGTAGACCTCCCGTTGCTGCGAAATCAAACTGTGCGAATGGGAGATTTGTGACACGGGGACCTGTCCACCCGGTCCACCCGGTCCGCCCTCCCGTGTACGACGTAGCATCGATCTGATCACGAGTGAAAGAATTAATGAACTGGAGCTGGCTTTTCCCCGTGGTCATTTCAGCTTCCTTGAGATGATATCGGGCCAGCTCTACGGGGCTAATCGATTCAGAGAACCTCATTCCCACCGTTGACGTAACGCCCATCATGCTCTGGGTCAAGTAGAACTTGCCAAGAAACGAATGTCCGTTTTCGTGCTGGTATTTCGCGCCGCTGTCCAAGAACAAGGTCTTGAATTTGGGACCAAGGACAAACTCACGCACCGTCTGATGCATGAGTTGAATGTACCACATTCTTTGAGGTACATAAGATAAACCCTTGACCTCGACTAAGCCACCGCATGCATTGGTGATCATCTTCTCTGTATGTGCGAATTCAGAGCCCTCGATGCCTTCATTCGTTCTACTGAGCTCAATAGCATTCCGACAGGCGTTGACTGTCTTTGAGGTGAAGGAAGCCAGAATCAGTGACACTTGAGAAAGAGTCAAGATCCCATCACTGCGCGTGACTATCTCTAAAAGCATATAAGCTTGCATCCTCAGTGAATGGTGACAACGCTTGACAATCTCCCCGTAGTAGTCTTTCAACTCCTTGGGGAGTCTATTCAGCTTTTCTCGAAGGGATTCGGGATTTGCTGTGGTCTCGTTCTCTTCGACCTCTTGGATGAGATCTCTGAGGGCCAGTCTTGCCCACAGAAAGACGCCACTTGCGGTTTCTGTAATCTCCGGAACCAAGGGTCCGAGAAGTTCCGCAACAGCTTCAAGGCTCTCCAGCGTTTGGTAACAATACGCTTGAATATCATTCGTAGTGTGTTCGTGTATTGAAAAGTTGGTGTGTTTGGAGAAGCTTATTTTAAAAGATTCCCACGAACGGCTGGAGAAGCAGATTTTCAAATTGGTCAGTCCGGAGCTAGACGCTTGATTTAGGTCGCTGAGAAATTCTTTGATGACATCTGGTGTGCCATCGTATTCATCAAGTGCATCGAAGAAGAAGCATATATCTAACTTGACCAGTTTTTGCCCAAGTATTTGACAGAGCATCTTCCATAGTTCACTCTGCTTCCATGCATGGCTTTGGAGTTTGGTCTTCAAGGCTTGCTCCTTCAACGGAAAGCTGACACTCACCAGCTCTTCAATTGCAGAGTTGAATATATCGGCTAGCCGGGGTTGCTGCCGGAGAATCTGAGCCAGTATACTTCTTAGTAGCCCATCAATAGACTTTTGGAGAACAGATCCACGATGATGGAAGAAGAAGGACGCAACTATCGGTCTTTCGGAATTCTTCCAATTATCGAGAAGGGCGCGTGTTCTTGGGTCATTGTAAATGAACTTCATCAGAGTTGACTTTCCAGACCCAGGCTTTCCCTGGATCCAGTAGAGTTTATCCCCAGAACGGAGCCACTTTGTGAATTCGAGCTCATCATTTTCAAATATCCACTCGAATGTATGCATAGCCCTGGCTTCAATTGCTTCATGTCTCTCGGATAGTTCTGGTACGTGAAGTACTGACACAAGTACTGGGCCAGTTAGCAATCATCATCTGTGTCATGCATACTTAGACAAGACTTACTGGCTGCAGTCACGGAGCTAACTATCTTCTCGTCTTGACGGATGTCCATAAAGGTAAAGCTCATGGACGGTCCAGAGCTTGGGGTGACTGTCGAAGGCTGGGCTTGTTGCTCGGCCACAGGGGGCCCCGAGATGTCAAATGCACCTGGCCTTCCTGAGGGTGAGGCAACGATACCGTCAATGATTTCGCGGATTTTTAACATGACTCTAGAGCAGTCTTCGTCATTTCTATGGTACTTGACAATACTGGAATGATCTTTGTTGATCGGGATAGTTAAATTCGCGTGTTCGCTTATGAGATTTGAAGTCGCTGACTCTTTTGAAACAAGGATTCTCCGATTGGCAGATTTACAAATCTTGCCATCCTGGGTTACCTGGTTCACTGATTAGGTTATGACAAGGGATGTGGTGATCTTCGACGCTCTTACTTCAAAAACGCCAGATGTCCGAGTCTCATAAGCCCAGATGACATTCATCCTGTGATTGAATTTGTGTGCCAGAAACCTTTTGTCCAGGTCAAGGAGGTATGGCGAGTTTAACGCCAGATCTTTCACGAGAGATCGGTTAGGCTGGTGCTGAACCAAATTCTGGAGGTGAGATTGTTCCATTCCAAGATTGGGTACTCCAAATAGAATGGCACCTCTAATGAGGTGCAGGATGTGAGTGTATTTCTCTCCACCTCTTGCCAAGTTGGAAATAGCTTCCTTGAAAACAATGCCTCCGAGACTGTGAGCCATCACGAGCATCTGAGGCGCCGTGGGCGACGCGAAGTCGGATGCCTCGAGGTGATTGATGAGAGAGATTGAAAGATCCGAGATGGATTGAAACGACGTTCTATCAGTCAAGTTTGTATCGTAACCATATACCCACACCCGCATCGTTGGGTGATGTTGTGGTAACTCGTCACGAAGCCATATGAACTCTTTTCTTCCGCCCTGAGGTTGCCACGAACCGAACGGATGGCTTGAAAGTCCTGAAATTGCGATACAGCTGCATTGACTTACATTAATACGGGGCTTCATGTCAATCAACAAGTTACTGACCTATACTTGTGTTCACGAGGCGGTAAGACATCGTGGAGAGGGGTCATGCCCCTGAAATGCGAGTCGAGAAGGAGACCGTGCACAAGGCGAGGATGCAAAATAGTCCATTCATCCTGATTTGGAGAGTCTTGAACGATCTGGGGGATTTCCTCAAACATGACTGTAGCTGTCTTGGTCGTCCCGGTCCAAGCACTGACCGTGACTGTGGCCAGAGAGCAGATCTCTATGCTGGCGACTTGCTGTCCTAGGGCCCAGCCGAGAAGTCCAGCGGCTTGAGTGTGGCTGCTTATATAAGAGGGTAATCCACGAAGTCGATACACCAGGCTGGTCAAATGAGGCGCCATCTTGCCTCGTGCGGGCCCACGAAGCCTGCCTCAGGCCGCCGCCTGCAAAAGGGGCCTTGCCGTTGAAGTTTGTGCTCTACACCGGCGATAAGGTTGTTACACTAATAAGAGAATCGCATCTTGGACGGTTGGATGTCTTTTCGATCCGGGTGCTTCGTAATCTGACGGTAACCCAGCTTTGCGGATGCGCATTCGCGTTGCAGGCTGAACTACCCCGCCCGTCGATTACGGACATGGGTGAAGAAATCAGATGATCTGATACGTACACCCTACCCATGTGATGCAGCTGAGTCCCTAATATGCTGTAAAGATCACTTATAAATTCAATGAATGATGGCTAGAAGTGGTAGCACCAAATTCGAGCATGTTAAATAGCATGATGAAAATAAAAAATGCTTCACAACTCATCTAGGCGTCTGTACAAATACGGTAGACAATTATCAAGAGATTACGATAGATGCGCATTTGAAAGGCCTCGACTCGTGCGTGTATCTTTGTTTCTGCTCGAAAATGGAATTGTGAACTTTGTCTTGACAACGGGATCCGACCTCTGGAAAGGGCTTTCACTAGAAGATTTGAGCTTGAGTATTCAAGTGTGGGGCCTCTGGAACGCTGTATGAAGTACAGGATCATCGGGGGGTTCGTAAGCCAAAAGAATTGCATCCAATTTGCAACGGCCAAACGTGGCATAGAGGAAATGAATATAAATACAAAAACAAAAAGGTTCGACCATGTATGTATATGGTCGATTTGATTGAGTCCCTCGAGCCGGATTTGAACCGGCGACCTGTGGATATTCCTGGATTGGAATGGTATCAATTACAGTCCATCGCTCTGCCAACTGAGCTATCAAGGGCGCGGATGAGAGGATTCGCCGTTAAAGGGTGTCATGTTTAAAAGCTATCTGTGAATGCAGCAGCCTGCTGCAATGACAATGCGAAATTGAGGTCGGCCACGACAGAGATATTCCAAAATCTCGCGTTGCTACGTGTGGGTCTTGATGCTCAGCGCCATGGTGTAAAATTCAAGCCATCTTGGGTAGTCAAAAATTTGCTTCAGTTTTTTATTCTCGGGTTATGAGCTGGGCTTCTACGGCGTGACGGAATGCAGCGGGGTACCCATCCACTGAGTTCAGGTGTTAAAGACAATGGCTAGCCATCATATGTGGCTGTAAACGCTAAATGGAACTTTGCTTGGTACATCCTTTTACGTAGGTACCATTTTCGACACTTCAACCCCTTAGCCAGTATTCGGATTTTGATATGAGCATGTTCCTATGTCCATACCTAACTAAGAAGAAGTAAATAGAAAAGGTGCACGAGTGGGCGAATCTTCTCAGATTGACTGTATGTGAGCCGTTACGGAGCGGGCTCTGTTCAACAAGTGCACTGTTGGCTTGGCGGGGTACATATGACACGAAGGCCGCCACGCTTTCATTATCCCTTCAATGTTGCAAGCCAGAGATTGATAAAGTCCTCCAAAATGGATTTCTGCAGCAACTAATTATGTATATCTATTGTCCACTTACAGGTACAACATTGCAAACCCCCAAGCAAGGTACAAGGCGCAGAATGCACGTCAGTTTTGATTCGCAGAGCCACGATGAGAGAACCAGAGCGAACCAAAGTGCCCGTCCGAGCCGCCGACGCAGACCCTATTTGAGAAGGGGGATGTTTACTACGTAAATAAATGTACGGAGACGTACCAAGTGGGGTAGCTCCGGGCGGGAAGGTCATGCAGGTGATGATTGACAGCAACCTAGTCACCAAGTTTGTCCCGAGTCCTACAGGTAAGGTTACGCGCTCTACCGAATCCATCACCTAAAAAATGTCAGCTTTTTCTTGGCTTCCACCAACGCCCGAGCACTTATTTCCAGCCTCCCCTTTTGCTCTCGTCAGCCATGTCTCTGCAACATGTTCAATTGACGCGATCTGTCAGGACGTCTTCTATACATGTCTCGGATATGGACCTATACTTTGCGACAATTTACTATATCGCTGCCGCTCTCATGCCATAGTAAAGGCTGACAAGTTGCAATGCCGCCCTACAAAAGACTTATTATTTCTTGTGACGGAACATGGCTAGACAGTAATAGTGGCATTCGGAACTACTCCCTGTTTGGCACCAACGAGAAAGTCGCGATCCCATCCAACATAACACGTCTCTGTCGCGCTCTGTTGCCAGAGTCCAGGGGTGGAGTCCAGCAGATTGTGTTTTATCAGTCGGGTGTCGGCAGCACCGGCGGGCTCTTTGGCCATTTGAGTGGCATCTTTGGTCATGGTTTGGGAGAAAACATTAGACAAGCTTACACCTTTATTTGCAATGTATGTCAACTGGACACAAGCATCATTCTTCGTGGTCTCATGGCCCGACTAATTAATTGTCCAGAACTACCAAGAGGGTGATGAGATATTCCTGGTCGGCTTTTCACGCGGCGCCTTCATTGCGCGCAGCATTGGGTCTCTCATCTCCAGCATTGGCATACTGACCCGAAGCGGACTTGGGGCCTTCTACCCTATCTTTAAAGACTGGGAGAATCAGAATATTCCCGGATACACGCCAAAACTTGAGACACATTCCTGGCCGCTCCGCCATCGTCCCGTATTCCAGGCTGGAAGTAAGCATTACTGGCACAGGCTGGTGGATGCTGGGTTATCTGGGCCCGCGATCCCCGCCATCAAGGCAATTGGCGTTTTCGACACTGTAGGTTCTCTGGGTGTGCCAACCATAAAACTGTTCAAGATTCCAGTCTATATGCATTCCACACGCGAATATGCTTTCACAAACACCGAGGTACCTCCCAATGTCGAGTACGCCTTCCAAGCTCTGGCTCTAGACGAACGACGAGCACCATTTTCGCCAACCGTCTGGGAATCACCTAAACCTGGCTCGGGCGCGGTGTTGTTACGACTCCGGCAATGCTGGTTTCTTGGAGCTCACTCGGGGGTGGGAGGCGGCTATGAAGACACATCATCCTCGGACATAACACTTGCTTGGATGATCACTCAGCTTTCCCCATTCCTGGCGTTTGACAGATCGTACATCCAAAGGCAGCGTGAGCAGAATGTCGAATTTTACCATCGCAAGCGTGTACGTGTGCTTTCATGGGCCATGGGTCTATTGCAGGCTTCAGACACGAAATTGTACTCGACCATCACTGGAAAGCAGATACGCACTCCGGGAGAGTATTGTGTCACAGATCCAATCACTGGGGAAACCACTGACCAGCGCCTTACTGATACATGCGAGTTTATCCATTCATCTGTGCGCTACAGAATCAGGCACAAGGGTGCGGCGTTGGTGAAAAGCGCCGATGATTACGATATTATGGACAAGACCCTTTACCAACCAGAAGCGCTCAGAGACTTCAGATACATTAGGAACGCAAAAGCCGATCGTTATGGCGGAGAGTATTGGCGAGGATATGAGAAGTGGGTAAAACGGAATCCCGATGGCACAGTGACATGGATTGTCGAGGACACGATTGAACCAGAGACGGCGGAAATGGACCTTCTGAAGGGCTGGTCACGATCGCGCTCGGAAAAGAGAAGGCGATGACAGAATCACAGGATCAAAGCCATGAACGCAGCTATTGGCATCTTTCAGCTCGGAATTGACAATAAAAAGAGGCGGGTGCCACGTCTTGCGCGCTGAATATGGTTACACCTGCTCGGTTCTGGCCCAGCCAGTTCTTCTAGGCGTGGTTCTGAATCAGCTGGTAGCTCTCTACTTTGTTTATACCTCTTGGCCACCAAGACAATGTTTTGAGCTCCTCGCCACCATCAGGTGTTATTCGCCGGACGACCATGGTAAAGTCTTGTCCCCATCGGTCGGCATCGAAAAAGAAGCTATGCTGCCGCGTAGTCACATCGCCTTCCTGTACACCTGCTTTAGCAGCCCTAGACGATGTATCCAGGTCTTTCACAGTGCCCCCCGAGCGCGACAAACTGTCTTCGCTGAATCCGAGACAAAACTCCTCCTGGTCTTGGCGCTGCAAATTCCAGTCTAGACCCTCAGCGACGCGCAGGAAGTCAGTCGGCAGGACGATCGGGATCGCTTCGGACATGTCTTGATATCCTCTCACAACGTCGGGGCCTAGCTCTTTCTCAAGAATAGCATTCCATATAGCGATACCGTGAGGCTGTTCCTGCCTTCGGAGGTGTATCATCTCAAGTATCAGCTCATCCAAGGAACGCCCCCCGGACTTCTTCAGCTGATACGCCAGAAGAAGAAAGTACATCATGCCGCGTTGATAGGGAATTCTATTCACATGTCCACCAGCCCAGAATCTGCTCTGGATATCCTTATTCTTAACTTGGCGATCGGGATTTGTATAATAGCCTGAAATATGGATATTCAGCCGGCGAACGAAGTCTTGTTCAGTGAAAACACCAAATCTGAAGGGGAGGAAAAGCGAATAGTATTCGGCGATGCCTTCATTCCACCAACCATCCGCCATCTCCTCAAGTGTTGGGCCGCCGGCGGAATGGCCAAGCCGTGGCCAGTTGTGTATAGTCTCATGCATCAAAAATTCATCGATCCCGTCCTCGTCGCGCGGTGCAACCGTGGTCCAAGCAAAGACAAAGCCACGGTGGAGGCCTCGACCGGAGACGCACTTCTGGATATTCCGGCGAATGAAAATACGATATGTCGGGTCCGGGTCGCCAAAGAACTGAGCCATCTTTGGATACAATGCGTGCATTTTGGCACTCAGAGCTTTTGCATCAAATGGTGGGCTCGATAGCCAGTACGTGCCAAATGGCCCTTTCGTCTCGCCAGAGGGGTAGCTTTGCAATGGCCCAACAGCAAAGAAGCACTCATCAAGTACTGTGGCCTTTACCTGTGCTGTAACCGTGACGCCTTCGCCGAGCGAGCATGCTGCACGTGTGTCTTGCGGGGCCGACGACAAATCCCATTCAATAGTCGTGTCCAGGACGTCATTTGTAGCGGGACGGAGTATGAAGGCCATACCAGCCGAAGTCAACCCACCACCATCCCGTTCAAGAGCTATCTGAGGCCCACAAGGGCTTGACTCTGTCGCGTCCCAAGGTGTCGCCGTATACTCTACAGATACTTCTCCAGGCGCAACGTCTCTCCCGGCGTGAAACATGCGACGTCGCCCGTCTTTGGAGTCGGCAGCGTACAAAGGGAGAGAACCATTGGTATCACGAATGGTCACGTCGCTTGCGGTGTATTGCACAGTCTTAATAGGGCCTCGGGCCAACACATGGTGGAAAAGAATGTCATCTTTGACCTTGTCGGGAAGGGTGAGAATCATGCGCACACTGATTGAGTGCTGCTCTGGGTCGCAGTCGAGATGCGGTGTGAGTATGAGTCGCAGCGATGTCATATTGTAGATGTCGCGAAGTTGGGGATTTCAAATTAAGGATCACTATCTCAATGAACTACGTCTATTGATATAGTCTTGTCTCATCATCTATATATCCGAGCTTCGCTGTTGATAGGACTACAGCATTGTGCGGGGTATGCCGTGAGTGAGATAGGAGCTTAGAGTCCTGTCCAGGACTTGGGCGATTCCGTGCCGCATGATTGCAATTGACAGTACCCACAGGAAACTACGTGATTGCAGATCGTTATGCCAACCCGTTATGTTATCTAAGAGGGCATGACTTTCTTCGGGGAACAGTAGGCACCACTGACGGAACCATTAATCGATGCTCATGTAGTTATTTCTTCTCCTTTGCTCTGGCTAGCTAGTAGGCCAGCATTAACCAGTATAAAAATGCGCTAAAAGTAGATCGGATTTAGTGCATTCAGCAAAACAGTTCCAATCTACTTCCAAATACCTGAAAGAATCAGATGAGCACCTTATTGGATTCCCATCTCCCAATCAAGGAACCAACTCCGGCTCCGACAGCCTGCAGCTTTTGCATGTCCTTCTGCAAATCGTCCTTGGTGAGTCCCAGCCAGACTGCCATCCACCTCCCGCTCAGCCAGACCGTGGCAGGGTCCCCAGACGCCCAGACGCTTCCGGGCACGATCGGTTCCCGCAGCTCTAGGGTATTTGTCGCGCTCTCCCCGGGACCCAACGTCACCAGCGACTCGGAGCCCGGCGGCATTGCCCGGCTAATCTTGAGCGCGTTGATGCGGATCGGCTCCGTCGTACCAGCGGGTATGACGGATACCAGGCCCAGAGCCAGTGCGGCGGGATCCAATGGAGACTCCCATTTGAGGATCGTCGCAACCTCGGAGGAATGTGTGTTTTTGACTGATACCGAGATAATTGGGGGATTCTTTGATGTCACGGAGACATTGGTTTGAAGGTTTACCAGGAATGATTCTTGCGTCATTGTGTTTTCCCGCCTTGCAGCGACGGATGCAAAGTGAGCAATGAAGAAGGGCTTTTGAGCCTTGATAAGTCCAAGGCAACGATTCTATTGAGTCGCCAGTCAATTCAAATCTTCAACTCTCCAAGGAACGGGCATCATTTGAATAGAAACAATGGCCGTAGATGGGAGCCCGACATCGTGCGATTTCCAAGATGTAGTGAATAAATGCCCTGGTCTCGCTTACCAGCTAGCACGTCCCTAAATATTCTTTATACTATGCATCCACTGTAAAAAGTCTCTTGGCATCACCTACAATTAAGCATAGTGGATTAGCATACCCAGCATCCCTGGCCCAGCGGCAGTTTGAAGCCTAGGGGTCTTCTACAGAGTAAGCACTTTTTCCCACCTTCACAACAATTGCCACTTGATTTTCCCGATCTGTCTCTTCATGTCTCCGGCTCCAAAAGGTCTTACCTGCCCTGTCAAGGTCTTGCAGTCTGATAGAAGGACTATTCCGGAGCATGAAAGCCCGTATTACCAGGAAGTCAACTTGCGCTGTGCAACCTACCTATGGACTAACGTGTTTCGTCGCATCTGCCACGTGCTGTATGGCACACCGAAGCGCGTCAATCTACCTGATATTCTTACTACACGATGGCTATTGTCACTGGCCCACTTCCATTGCTGGGATCCCCCACAAGGTCAATATGTCCGATACCACAAGTGCAACGGGCAAAGTTTAAGTTTAAATACAAATCGTGGAATAAAAAATCTTCCAATTTTTTGGATTTCAATGGAGCCATGCTTGCCATGTTTAAATCCCCGTATTCTACCGTTAGAGCACACAATCGTCCAATCTTGGGATGATTTAGAAACCCCATCAGGTTCTAGCCTCTCTTTTTAAGACCCCACTGAACATGGCCAGAATGTTCCTCTCAGTCCTTACAATATATCGCAGGCCCTGTCAATTACCTAATGAGCTCACCCACAATGCCTGTCGTGTAGCAGGAGCTTGATTGCTACTCTATGGCAACCGGGTTCGGGTTGGTGGAAGAGCACGGCTTCGTCAATCCGAGTACGCTTCTTTGAGCCTCGCAACGGACCCTGGGAAGACTTGGCGGCGGCACTGGGAGCTATACATGCCAAGCATCTCGCAACCCCTTGTTCTCTCGTTGCTTCCCATGCTACCCTCCGCATTTCGCTTAGCCATGTGCCGGCATATCGCTAATGGTGGCTGTGGCGCTCAAGACGATGGAGAAAGGGGAAGAAAATATCAGTCGGCAAGGAGAAGATAAATATCAGCATTCCGCCATGGTGAGAAGAAGCTGTTCACAATCGTTACTACCGACGTTGACTTGAAATTGTTCTTCCATCCGTTCATTTTTCTTCGATTCTGTCTCTCCTTGTATTCTTCTTGGAGCTGGTATAGCTTTCCCATCCCCAACATGAAGGCCGCGCCGATTATTTCTTGTCTCGCCTCTCTGGCCAATGCTGCTGTCGTCAGTCTTGACAAAAGGGCGTATTCCTCGTCTCCTCTTGTTGTTGAAATTGAGCACGTCGGAAACAGTGAGGTCAAGGCCAGCATCACCAACACTGGAGCCACTTCTTTGAAGGTGTTGAAGGCTGGAAGTATTCTGGACGAGTCTCCAGTTGAGAAGTCCAAGGTTTCACAAGGCGGTAAGTAACTCAATCTTTCTGCTTGTATTGTTTCTCTATCGTTTCTCTTTTCCCCTTCTCTTCTTTCCTTTTTTCTTGAAAGTTTCCTGCTTCGTCTTTTTGTCCATCTCCAGCTGTTCACTTAGCTGTAAAGTGGAAAATAGTTTGTTAATTTGATTTCTTTTTCAGATAGCAAGGTTGCCTTTACTGGTCTGCGCCTATATGTTCACACAGAAGATTTGAGCGACTCTGCCTTCCAAACTATTGCAGCTGGAGAAACGGTTGAAGTCCAATGGGACGCGGCTCAAGTGCACGATCTCAGCACGGGTGGCGACTTCAACATCACGGCTGCCGGTAGCTTGCGATACGCCGAAGCGGATAGTAACAAGATTGCTGGCCAAGTCTTGTACAACTCCAATGTTGTCCAAGCTGCCGTCGACGGCGTCAAAGCGGCCAAGGTTCATACCGCTTTCCGTGCGGCGACGAAGAATAAGCGGGTTACAGTCCAGAGCGACTGCAGCAGCTCTAAGCAGAGTACTGTTGATGCCGCTATCAGCGTTGCCAAGACTTACGCAACAAACGCCGCCGCCGCCGCAACTGCCGGAACCAATATGGAGGAGTACTTCAAGTCGACGTCAAGCAGCACCGAGAGCGCTGTCGCGGAGGTCTTTGACACCATCGCCTCGAGCGTCTTCAACAGCGACTCGAGCGGCGTGGCGCTGTACTGCACGGACATTGGAAATGCATGTTCCGATGGTGTTGTGGCTTATACTCAACCGGGATCTGACGAATACATCGTCGTGTGCGACTATTGGTTCCAGTTTCCCGCGACTGGTTCAACCTGCCATGTTGCCGACCAGCCTTACGTGTTGATCCACGAGTCTACTCACCTGACTGAGGTCAAGGGTACCGACGATGTTTGCTACGGCTACGAGGGCTGTGTCACTGATATCAGTGCTTCGGAAGAGCTCGATAACGCTGACACATACGCGCTGTACGCGAACTCAATCGCAGTAGGCTGCTAAGCTAATAATACAAAACTGTCCGCCAACCTGGATGAGTCATTATTTCTTTTCAACATTGTAAATAGCTTCTCGATTTTCTGTATCTTTGGCCTCATGTTCAGTTTAGTACGTGCTACTCAATATTACCACGACGTTGTTTTCCTGCTCTTGAGCTCGGCTTCCATGATTGTCACAGCCTCGTCACGATGCTTCTTCATATCGATGTCCAAGATGAAATCCCATCTTTGTAGCAAGGTGCCTGGATGTTTGGCGCAGAAATCCATTTCCTCGCTATTGCCAGTCAGAATTTCACCTGTCACGCGGCTGGATTCAACGATACGCTGAGTGCGTGGGCGACGAGTCTTGTCGTATGCTTTCAACGCCGCCAGAGCATCATCAGTCGTTTCTGATCTCCCAAGCAGCGTTGAAAGGATGAGGCTATCTTCGATGGCCATACCACCACCTGATCCATGCCAGGGAGTTGTGGCGTGAGCAGCATCTCCCATAATACAAAGAAGTCCAGAGACATATGTAGGTGCTGGTGGATATTCCCATAGATAGATGGCGTGATGCTCTGATTGACGACAAAGCAGCTGGATTCCATGTTAGTGCTTGAGAATCAGTAACTGAGAGCCACGAACCTCATCTACAGCATTGACAAGATGCCTAGGCTAATCTTGGTAGAGCGTTTTGAGTTCATTTGACTTAACATGGCGGTGCCAATGATCGGGAGACACATTTTCGTCCTTGGAGGCCACAACAAACTGAACTAGCTGTCCACCTTGCAAAAGATTATGGAGCACGTAAGTGCCTTTTCCAATACAAGAGTACTCGCGAGCCTCTTCAATATCAATAGTTCCATCGCCAAGGCTTTCTTGGGCCTCTGCATACGGCTGAAGGGTCATGATGACCCAAACTCCCGTGTTCCTCGGGGCAGCTGAAGGATCGTCGCCGAGTACGACTTTTCGAACAGTGCTGTGAATACCGTCGGCACCTATCAGAATATCACACTCGTGGGTAGTCCCATCGGTGAAATGGAGCGTGACGGGTCCAAGTGCATTTCGCTCAACTCGGTCAAGCTTCTTTGCCGTGTGCATGCGCTCTTGAGGAGCATCAGCCAGCAGTTTCTTAAGGAATGGTGCACGATGCACAATGCTTGTCAGACGCTGTCCTGCCGTCTTCTCATCCACTTCGTCCACGACTTTGCCTTGTTCTTCGCCTTGCGCCAACATGAAACGAACTCCTCGCATCGGAACGGCCCCAGCCCGCTCAAGAGCCTGGACGATTGAAGGTCCCATGAGGTCCAGAGCCGCCAAGGCATTGCGCGTCACCCCAATTGCCAAGCCCGCTTCCTTGAAGGCCGACGCAGACTCGAAGATGTGCACGTCCAGGTGCTAATATTGCTGAAGTGCATGATATAGGGATGCACCTGCTAGTCCGCCGCCACATATGGCCACTCGAATCTGAGACATGCTGCTGGAATTGGAGTTTGCTGATTATCAAAGAATTGGATCGACGTGTACTCTCGATGTTGAATGACAAGGTGCTGCATATTGATATCATTCAGAGTTCGAGAAAGCGTGAAATGTATGTAAACAAGAATGTCTGATAGGTCTGGCGTCGAAAGCCAACTCGTTGGTTAGTACATATGCAGACGCTCAAACGTGCATGCAGATCCATGCGGTCCCAACTCATTGCTTGCTGTATATGCCGTTGGCGCTTCGGGATGCAAGGAGACATGTATATACAGAGAATGCGGCACAGTTGGGAATGCAGCGGGGGGTTTCTCAAGTCACTATGCGTGTTGCCTGCAATCTAACTACGAGTCCAGTATGTACATATAGTAGCTGGCTCAAAGAATCCATTCAATTACAGTGTGATGGATCTTGACCAATAAAAGGTTTCGCCTATCAAACACGTCACCTACACCACAGCTAGTTGATCTTGAATTACATAATAATTACAGTTTATGGCTATACCCACGTTGCCTTGATAATATCGGCAGCCTTTTCCGAGATGGCATACGTCGTTCCCATCGTGTGCGCCGACACCAACAAGGGCATAATCGAGGCGTCGACGACGCGCAAGTTCTTAACGCCGTAGACATTCAAGTTTGAATCAACAACACCGCCCATCTCACGCGGCAGCATGGCGGACGTACCCACCGGATGCCAGGCCGTCGTCAGCACACCCTTGACGTACAACTCGAGCGCAGCTCTCCCCTGCACCAGCGGACCCGGGGTGACATCGACCAAACCGATTTCCTGCATCTGCGGCGTGGCAATGAGCTTGCGGTAGAATTCCTGCGAGTCGACAAGTTTAGCCATGTCTGCAGGGTGAGTGGCGTAGCGCGGGTCGACGGCCGGGTTCACAAAGGGGTCTTTGGTGACGGGGCGCACCGTCCCCCTCGACAAGGGCGACATGAGCACGTTGACAACCTCGAAGCCGCCACCGAACCAGATCATTTCTGCGCCAGCCGTGGTGCCGTTGATAGTCATGCCGCGGATAGCGTCCACTTGGGCAGCGTATCCGGCGGCAACGTCGGGGTGTGTGTCGGGTGGCAGATAGGTGAGCGATGTGTCTGTATCCATGCTGGCAAGGACCTGGGCAGCAATTTCCTTGCTGGAGGACATGTTGTTATCTGGCAGAATGATGCTATTAGTCGTTGAGCTTGTCGGGAAGTTGTGAGAACTCACATGGTATAAACGCCAGACAGTCACCTGCCTCGGTCCAACGACCGGTTCGATTGCTGTAGTACAGGTCGCCTTGTTCGCTATCGAGAATTGGGTTCAGCCATTCCTCGGGCTCATTTGGGATACCCAACCCAACTGGTTAACACAAATATTTAGAGTCAGTGTCACTACAATGAGAGACCTTGAAGTCGGCTTGACTGGGCAGAGCGACAAACCTGCGCCAACATTCCATGCACCAGGATGGTCCTGCAAATTGGCACCCACGCCTGGCAGGTCGACTATGATGTCAATATCCAGGGCCTCGAGCACCTTTGCATCACCGATACCGCTCAATTGCAGCAACTTAGGTGTTTGAATAGCACCACCCGAGACAATTGCCTCCTTTGTGACGTTCACCGTGGTACGAGGAGACAAAGCGGATTCGGCAAACTGTAATGAAACTTTGTAAGCTGGGTACTGGTCTCGCAAAAGAAAAGGGTGATTTGAACGTCGACTCACCTCCACGCCAGTGACAATAGTGGTGCCATCCGCCGTATCGTTGGTCATAATGAGCTTCGTCACCATCGTGTTCACGATAACGTCAATGTTATCCCTTGGTGTGCCGCCAGCACCAAAGATGGGATCGAAGTAGGCAATCCTGGCATCCACTCGGGACTGATTAGTGTGATCGAGGGCGTGGGGGCTGAAGAAGGAGCCCAGCGGATCACAGAGCGGATCATATGCTCGTTTAATCCCTAACGAGTCCAGGCCTTCCTGCCAAAGACCTAAATCATACCAGATTAGCAATCCTGTTGTTCCCCGTTGAACTATTTGGGAAAGTCTCAAGGACATGGTGCATACTGTTCTGTGGATAGTGCCACGCACTGTAGCCACTTGCTACCTGGCCGTCGAAGCCGTGACACGCCTCGTCGTATGTGATATCGAACTCGGCGACCTGTTCAGAAGTTGGAGGAGTATATTTCTCGGCCTAAAACTGTAAGAATCATGACTCGAAGCTCCAATGGCACTTTAAGAGTTGCAAAGTTGAAACATACCTTGCGATAGTATGGCGTGATGCCCTCCCAGTCCCATCCAGGATTTCCAAAGTTTGCCCACGCCTCAAACTCGGCTGGAGCACCGAGGTTCATCAACATGATGTTAATCGAGCTTCCTCCACCAAGTAGACGGCCCTGCTCTAAAGAGACTGGGCGTAAAAGTAGTTCTGTTTGTGGTACTGTCAACAACTCCCATTGATATTGAAGTTCCAGGGCACTCAGAGGCTGCCATCGTGGGATCATGATGGCTTTCTCGTAGTCGTGGCTTGATGCCCAATTAGAAACAATACTTGAACAACTTTCCAGGGCAGCTTTGATACCTACAGTGGCCCCGCCTCGATGAGGAGGACTGTGACGGAGCTATTCTCCGAGAGTCGGTTGGCAAGCGTCATTCCGCCTGGGCCGCCGCCGACGATTACATAGTCATACGCATCGCGCAGGTTGCCGTTGCCGACGAGTTGGGCGCTGGCAATAGAGGCAGCCGCAGAGAAGGCCAAAATGCAGCGCATCATGGCTTGAGTTCGATATCCCATTGTGGCACAAAGAGTGAGTGCTTGTTTCTTTCGGGCGGTTGAGTAAACGAATGAGGACACCGGAAAATGGCACCTTACATACTACAAGCCAACAGACACAACATCTGGATCATACATCATCAAAACCTACCTATTAATTGAGCTTTGCATAAAATAATAATCTCCTTGGAATCCGTCGAGTCATGATTTCCTCGTGAACATGAGCGCATGCATCAACAGAATTTGACGCTTTGGACCTGCATGTCAGCCCACAAACCTAAACCCCTGTAGTAATTGACGATTAGATTGCTGCTTTTCGACACAGCACCACAAGAAACGTGCAGAAAACGTGTAGCGTGTAGGTAGTATAACGAGGTGGTATTCCGGGTGGGACTATATCTAGTTCGGTATGACTGGCAGTTCCCGAGGTTGGGGCCATTTCATGGGGAAGCCAAGAAATATGGGCGCTCAGGATTTTACTCTTTTCGTCCATTATGTCTGACCATATACCCCCGCACCAAGGCCGCACGCCTCCATTCTAGGCACAGCTGCATTCTGCCATGGCAGTCATGCAGGAATTCTACTTCACATGCAGGTCGCAATCACCACGCCCCCTCATGGCTTATTCCGTAACCTTTCTCCTCTCCGGCCGAATGCTGGAATTGCCTCGGGAACAACAATATGTCTGATGTTGTCAATGTTCGCCATCCCGCCCTGGTGGAGCCTCACCCCGAAAAGGGATACCCGATTCAGCCGCAATCTCCGTTGATTTCGGGATGCACGCCGTGAATGTGGGATGCAGAATGGCAGAGCATCCTGCTTGTCTGTATTGACGTTGTCAGAATATGCTGTACTGACCCAACTGCCGCGATGTCGCGAATGAGACGTGCTCAGCTGATCCGTATCTTGAGCTGAACGAGGAACGCACATTTGAAAAATGTTATAGTTCAGAGGAACTAGTAGTGCCAGAGACTTCTTTTTCGTTCTTGAATTTTACAACAGGATTGTTGTCAATCTGGCCGTAGTCTGCTCCGTATGATGGAACTGTAACAGCCCCGTCGGCTCCGGTTCCCCGAACCACCCGGCCGAGTATTCATGTCGGGCGAGTTCAATCGGCCGATGCGATGGCTCAATTGAGGAGGTGTTGAATTTCAATTCGGAGTTCTTCTGCAACCAGGTAGCATTTTCTCCTCTCATTTTCAACCCTGCAATGTCAATGCATTTCCTTTCGGCCAAGAGTCTCGGGTAGGAGCATGACGCAAGAGATGAGTCCGGTAATATTCACATGCTATACAAATTTCATTATAGTGAATATACTTATACAGTGCTTCGTGGTTTCGCCTACAACTGAGAAAATGCCTACACTCAACTCTCAATTCCCTTTTGCGAATCTTGTTTCATTCCGCGCACTCAGCTCCACATCCCTGTGAACATGCGTTTTTATCTCTTCGGCTGGGCCCTACTCAGCAGTCTCGTATGCAAGACATTGGCAGACGACAGCGACAACTGCTGGACCAACAACTGCACAAAGCCCATTGAGGTTGTTCCTGCACCATGGACCCTCCACGGCACTGGCTGGGCAATTCCCCTCCCGGCCGTCTTGTCGTTGCCTGAGAAAACTTACTCGCCCCTTGAACGTCAACAGGGCTCAACCGCGACGGAGGGACTGTACACAGGCGTCGTCGGCGCCATACAAATAATCAGATACACCGATACGCCAGTAGGGCCGTATGATGAGTTCGTCCTCATACCTGGGGCGTTCACATACGCAGGGCCGTATCTAGGACTTCCGGAGACAGACCTACGCGTTTCTCGAATGTATGTGTCTCAAAAATATACTTGCCTGAATGGTAGAGTCAATTGGAATATTCCCAAGCACCTTGCCTCGTTTGACTGGACCGACAATGACGATGGAAGCACCACGGTGAAGCTCTATCCATACGACACCACCGGCGACGAGAATGAGTCCTACCCGGCCGACAAGCCCTTCTTCCAGGCCACCATCTACCCAGACGCCGGACCCGACATCTCTGTCAATTTCAGCTCCCCTTTGATTCCCGAAGGCGTGCCGGTCAGACTGAACCAGGCGCCACTGCCGACGGGCAACGGGAGCTACGGCGAGCTGCCTGGGACCCAAACGTGGGCCAACACTGTGCTCGCGTTGCAGGATACTGCACCGGGCGTAGCATTGGTTGATCTGGACCAAGGCGCCGGAGACGTGGTTGCTGGCGAAAATGTCAATGCTGTTGGCGATGAATTCTACCCGAACTTTTGGCCTAGTCTTGGTCAGTTGAATGCGGCTGTAAAGCTAGAGAACTTGACTATTATATTCAATCCGGCCGAAACATGGGGGTAGTCCGAAACGTCATTTCTTCGCTTATACCCTTATCACCCTTGTAACTCAGCCAGATAGATCGCTCACGTTCTACGTCCTACGCCTCAATGCTACCTAGTGTATTGGAAGAATCCAAATTAAAGAAAACACAATTGTGATACATGATAGCAAAAAGCAAAAGTTGTTTGCACAATAATTCACTCAACGGCAATTTTTACGGAGTGTCGCGGAACATTCGACTATAACAATCTCTATAGCATTTGCGGCACTATGGCCTAGTATGGGACCTAGTCGCAACGCACCTACCTTGTAGGTTGTAGGGGAGGGCGGTGTAGCGGAGCCCCGGGGCCTCGCTCAGGCGCCGGTCCGCTAGATCAGTCCATCGCGATGGTTCGGCGCCTATACTAGCATGTTGGTATATTCGAAATATAGCGGCATGCATTGGCGGAGTGAATATTCCGATACAAGGGATATGCAAGTCAGATTGCTGTACATGATCACCATAGCGAGATCGGACAAAGACGGCGCTTAAAAGCTACGACTTCCGCTGATCCTCACCCTCTAAGTGGTCACAATTGTCTGCAGCCTGTCTGCGCCCCAGAACGCTTAGTGCGTCGCTGCAAGCAGGCTCAATTGAAGAGTGGCAGGGGGGAACTTTTCAGCTGTGCAGCGATGGGTGCCTTACGTGGATTGACACGCGAGCGCGAGCTCCAGCCTTCCGCCTCCTGCTTGACATTTTCCGACAATCAGTCCAGTCTGGCTGATATCGCGGCGGGCTTCTGCAAGTCTGCATAGCAGCGTCGTTGTCATGGTTGGCAAACTGAAAACACACAAACTCGTCGTCGTAGGCGATGCTGGGGTAGGCAAAACGGCATTGGTGATCCAGGTCAGTGCGCCGACGGTGCCGTCATTGGATGAAGTAAGCTGTTTAACACTACTCCAGATTTCCTTGGAACATTTCGTCGATAGCTATGACCCCACGATCGAAGATTCGTACCGGAAGCAAGTGGTCATCGACGGGATACCTTGCATGCTCGAGATACTCGATACGGCTGGACAGGAAGAATATTCGGCTTTGAGAGACCAGTGGATACGGGATGGTGAAGGCTTTATCATAGCGTATTGCATCTGCTCTCGGTCGGGCTTCGCTCGTGTGAAAAGGTTTTACGAACAAATCCGCCGCATCAAAGACTCAACCATATCACAATTGAACGGTGCCGCTGAGGCACCACTTCGCCCACCAGTTCCTATCCTTCTTGTGGGAAACAAGGCCGATAGAGTGACCGAAAGGGAAGTGTCGACACAGGAAGGCCATGGTTTAGCTGCTAGCCTGGGCATTGATTTCATGGAAGTTTCGGCAAAGAGTGATTACAATGTACAGAAATGCTTCTATGATGTCGTGCGCCAGCTCCGGCGCCAACATGGTGAAGCGCCGGGACAGGGACCTGGACAGGGTTTATCAGGAAGCACCGATTACCAGATGACTAGAACAATTTGGGGAGCACGAAGGATCTCAGTACCAGCCAGCGAGAAGTCAACAGAAGCCGGGCGAAGCCGGTTAGCAGCCTCTCTCATCTCTGCCGCCAAATCCAACAATGAAAGACTCGTATTAGCCCTCATCGAGGCTGGTGTAGATGCGAATACCCAGTCCGGCTCAGACGGTAGTCCGCTGCACGTATCGGCAGCGTTAGGTCATGCCAATATCGTCAATATCCTGCTCAAGAAGGGAGCTGCAGTCAATGCTCGTGGGCCAGCTGGTGCTCCGCCACTCCAGCTAGCTGCTGCCGAAGGGCACTTGGCGATCGTTAGACTCCTAATTCACAAGGGCGCCCTCATCGGCCAAACAAGCTCGCTACATGGGACCGCTCTCATGGCTGCTGCATCTAGGGGACGAGCGGAAGTCACGCGTTTTCTTCTGAAAAAAGGCGCCAGTGTTAGTGTGGTAGGTGGTCCTTATGGTAACGCTCTACAGGCAGCGTCATGGAACGGCAACCCGGAGGTAATCAAGTACCTCCTAGATGCGGGAGCGGACGTAAGAGCAAGAGGTGATGGAGACTGCACGGCACTCCAGGTGGCAGCCTTAGCAGGAAAGGCAAAAGCAGTACAAATTCTCCTGAGCCGAGGAGCCAAAATCGACATTGATGACCAGAACGGCAAACATGGTAGCGCCATAGCGGCTGCCACCAAAGGGGGACATTTTGAAGCAGTAACGCTATTACTCGAAGCTGGCGCCAGGCCTTGGGACCCATATACATGTGCAGCGCCAGCTCTCGAAGAACAGCATGATGCAGATGAGGTTGTCGGTGCTCCTCGTCCTGCCAATACAGATGCACAGACAACGGCAAGAATCCCAGGAACCGAGTCGACAGCCACTAGAGAATCTAGCGAAAGCCAGAGCAATGAGGCCTCATCCACTGGTCTTTTTTCAAGTGAACGTGCGACATTCAGCTCGACACCAACATCGACACCACCACCCACGTCAGCGCAAATGTACAGAGCCCCTCAGGTATCATCGCAATCCGAAATATGGGGACCATCAGTATATTCAAATCTACGTATCCGGCCTACAATATCTGTACACGGGTTTTCAACCATCCATGACTCTCCCAATGCTACAGTTGAGTGAGTAACCTACAGTCGATTTGTTTAGATGTGGACTTGACCTGACAATGGTAACAGTATCGTATTTATCCATGGACTGCAAGGCCACCCGGAGAAGACATGGAGTTATAACGGGGGAGGCCCGACCACAAAACCTAGCCCATTGCGCAGACTCTTCCGCTCGGCTTCCACTTCCATTGTCGAAGATTCTCATAATATCTACTGGCCCTACGATCTACTCGCACAAACTCAAGATTTCGCAAACACACGAATGATGGCTTGGGGATATGATACGAAAGTGGTACGAGATTTCTTCGGCACCAGCGATCAACAAAACATCTCTCAACACGGCAACAATCTACTAGTTAGTCTACAGCAAGAGAGAAAATCGAATGTGAGTAACTCATGCAAGCTTTCGGAGTAAATCTAACACAAAATAGCCACAAAGACCCTTGATATTCGTTGCCCATAGTCTCGGTGGTATCGTTTTGAAAGTGGTAATTGTTTCAGCATCCATGACCAGCATCCATTTGCTAACCTACACATAGGCGCTTGACAATTCAAGACGATCACAACATCAGCCGCAGTACCTCGACATTTACAAGTCTACGAAAGGAATAGTATTTCTCGGCACACCTCACGGAGGAGCCGGAGTAGCAGACTGGGGCGTCATTGCAAGCAAGATCACCAAGTGTGCACTTCAAAGTCCGTCGGACAGGGTGCTGCGGGGCTTGACTCCGAATAGTGAACTCTTAGAGAATCTCAGAAAGAATTTCCTTCAGATGCTAGAGGATGACCACTTTAGTATACATTCCTTTTACGAGACTCAGCCAATTTTAGGTCTCTATGGTCTCAACAGTTTGGTATGTGGAGACCTCGCTCTCTTTGGATTATGGGATGTGTAACTAATAATCAAACAGGTTGTCCCATATGACTCCTCTTTAGTCGGTCATGCCCGGAAGGAAGTTTCGCTTGGGCTCCCGGGAAATCATTCCCAGATATGCAAGTTCAGGGGTGCTGATGATCCTGGATACAGAGCTGTATTTGGTGCTTTACAAGATTACGTATTGGAGGCAACACGGTCTGCATCCGTGCCTTCATCTGGTAACGCGCGATAATCTCTCCTGCGCGTGTGGTAAAATCTCAATGCTCTCAATCAAGAAGTAGATCAATAATACACCTTTAGGTATGAGAGATAGATAAATTCCACAGGAAAAATGATGAAATCCCAAGAATGTTAGAGGATTGAAAATAAATAAATACGACTAGGTCACGGGTGATGAAGAAGCACTCACCCATCCAGAGGGGGCAAGCAAAGAGAAAAGATTGTTCCGTGTGGTCGGGACATGTTGCACTGCCAAACAACAAGTTGTTGAGTGCGGTAAAGATGTCTTTTTGTACATCGACGAATAATGCTACTGGGTAAATAGCAATGGTGGCCCCGTCGGTTGTCCTGAAAGCATCAACCAAAAAGGGACTATCAAGTGACAACAGCCATAACAAGTTATTGAAACTACTACCTGCTGCATACTGATCTATCTAACCACTTGTCCCTGAGTTCCCTATCTGGTAATTCAGTACCACACAGGACGCTTCTCCATTGACTGGTACATATCACAGTGTCCTTCATTAACTCGGGCACTGACCGGTCGCGTCTTTTGCTGGTACAACGATGCTATAGATGATTTGCTGATCCGCAACATTAGAATCGGATGAAAACTCATAATCACCAATAATAACATCGACCGAATCCCCGGCACAATTGTCCATAAGAATGGGGTTCAATGCCAAGTCCTGCAGACCGACAGTGCTGAAAGTATCGGTTCCTGATACAGTGGCATACCAGGAACTGTCAAGGACCGCATTTCCTTCCAAGGGCACCTGAACCTGGGGACCACTTCCGCTAAAGGAGATTGTAAAGTCGCCAATATGGGGATCACTGATCTTGTTCTCGCTATGGTGCAAATCAGCATGGAAGATTTCAAATAATGATGAGAAGAAATACAAGCTTCACTTACCCATCTGTACCCATATTTTCAAATTGATAGATCATGTAATAATCAATCGTATTGCCTGAGAAACCTGTACGATAACACGGCCAAATTAGCTTACAAGCATGTTTTCGGTTTCGGCCATATTTACAGGAGATGCCCACGCCTCCGACAAGGTCGTGCGGCTCTTCTAACTTGGTCTCGCCGGTAAATTGAAGGATACATAATCCAGGAACAGCGCCCTCCTTGACTTTGCTATAGAGGTCCTGGTATTCGTTAATAAATCTTCCTCAAAACCTTCGAAACTGTCTTGCTTACAATCTGGTTGTCGTCGTTGACAGTTGCGCCGGCAATTTCAATACCGGCCTTGAGAAGAGCAAGCAAAAGCTGAACGGCGGCCATACTTGTGGAAAATGTGATTTACAAAAGATTCTTGGAGAGGAGGTGTTGAGAATGAATGATTTGTTTATTATTATTGATATGGTCAAACTTGTCGACTTATATATACTTGATATCAAAGCATAGTAAATCTAATTCAGGTAGGTTGTGTAGTTTGTATAGCCCAAGTCCGAACCGACCAATCAGCTTTGTCGTCCTTGTGGTCGTGACGGCCATTCCTGAAGGATCAAAGCCAAGAGTCAAGTGCACTATCAGGGGTGGCCAGTTTACAACCAAAAGCTGCATGGTATAATCGGAATTATAAGCTGCGTCGTTCTTTATTATCCCCTGATGGTGAATTACACTCTGTCTACGAATATACTATTTTCATCTCGTTCAGTTATGCAGAATATGGCGTGATTGGAAGCTAACAATACTACTACGCATAAGATTTCACGCATTTGGATCATGTGATTCGTCGCTTTGTCGAGGTATCAAAACCAGCAGCGCTCCTCGAGTGACAATCATCTTAAAGACTTGTAAGTATTATCTAAGGCGCAGGTCATAATATGACCGCGGTATTATGGGGCCAGTCCCATTGAGTTGAGGGTGGAGAAAAGCCAAGGTATGCTTATAAAACTGGACCAAAATTTACAGGGACATAAGCATGACTGGGTGCATCAAGACCAGGAGCATTCTTGGGAACGATAGAAAGCCAGATGACTTTGGTAAAGTAGTCTAGTCAATCACGAGGATTATAAATATCGACGGATCCTATTCCAGGAACTGCATGGCGTCCAAAGGCAATGATGTCACTGCTACTCACTCCGCCACTGTTGAAGAATCCGCAAGGGCCTTGGCAATCCACTATCCGCCCAGGGGGAAATCCTCGAAACCAGCATAAACTGAAAGGAAATAATGACCCCTTACGTAAGTTCGTGAGCCTTGTGCTGCCTCCTAACTTGAGGTCTTTAGGCCTTATTGCCATCCAAGTCGTCGTTGTGATGGTAAGTCATGGTTCAAATGACATTCCGAGGAAGGCGGATAGGTCTCGCCAAGTACGGACATCGCCATGGCATGATTGCAATTTCAGTCAGCTGGGAACAAGTATGGACCTTGTTCAGACCTTTTGGAGTCCTCCCGAGTATAGCGTGATAATGATACTCGGCAACACTGGCACAATATTGCACTCTACATGGATGCACAGCTTTCAACGCATTCTCCACATTCCTGATCAGCCCATGTAATTATTGCTTTCGTTTCTTGCTCTAATATACCAGGATATAATCAACCTGATGTCATGATTCATGAAGGGTGTAACGTTGTGGCACGGTAATGTACAGAAAGGTTATGAGGGTGGTTCGATGATGAAATTGGCTACATATCAAGTCTGACATGATAACCATTAGCTGTGTCAGTAATAAATAGATCATGTGCCACTGCAAAATATGGGGTGAAGTTAGAGTTTATCAGTGGCGGCCGGGACTCGGGTCCTTTATATAAGGAGAGTGACAACTATGATATCCAGCTGATTCGCTCCCTTAGACGGGCACGCGGGAACTTGAAAGTGACACATTATATTTGAAGGGAACTCTGCAGACAAAAGACAACCGAGCTCACAAGATCCAGACTTGGAAAGTGATCGGCCTCTGGTGACGAGCAACCTTCCAGTTTCCCCGCCTCCAAGTTTGAACATGTGCTGCGTTCACCCATTGAGACTCCATTCTATCTTCACACCATATTCATAAAACCCCTCCCAAGGTCTAGCTAATTTCTTGTGGCTGGAACCAAGAGCTTCACTGGAGAAAAAATATTGGTTTAGTCATGTCAAAAAAATAACTTGCACAGATTGTCTGAGTTAATAGGTGGCACGCGGTGTGTAACTAAACTATGGCATAGAGGCTTGACGCACAAGATATTTAAATATTACGCGGAATAGTTCACTGAGAATCCGCATATGGCAAGCAAAGAATGCATGGCTTTGCTCAATAGAATTCCCAAACTTCATAAATCGCGGTCCGGATGATTCTTTTCGAAGTGCATGCAGTAAAAAGCTCTCTCTTCTATAAGGTGCCAATGTTGCATATAGCACACTCAAGATCTTTCATTTAGAAGAGTGCGTTATCAGTCGAATGATTTTTATGAGCCCGGCGCAGTCGCGTAGCTTGAAAGCAAATGGATCTAGGATATGACCAAGGCAGGCACAATTATAAGATGACTCAGTAACGCCCTTGCTCAATACACATTTTGCGTCGTTGACGACGCAACAAGTCACGTCTCAAATTTACTACTCTGACTTTCAAAGAAATGCCCCGCAGTTCCGATTGTGTCTCGTCAATTACTTTGTCCCAATTGTTAAAGACCAAACAGGCCGGTGCTTTCCATCACAAACCTGATATCTGCAGATTGTTATCAACAGCCGCTCTCTGAAACAATCATTCCTTTTCCGAAACTCTGACCAAAACAAAACATAGATCAGGCATTGCAAGCGAAGAACAATTTTTTCCGACCTCACCCTTTCGCAATTGACAAAATTGTTAGGTGCAACAACAAAATATGTTATCAACTCAGTGACTTTTCTAACCCCTGTCATGAGTTTGGCAGGCGCTCCAAAGTGTTTCTTTTTCTGCAGCCAGCACCACATCCCTCTGTCTCTTTGAGCGACACTTCATTCCCTCTTCTTTCTTCTATCATCTGCATTCCAGAAACGAACAGCAATACCAGATTCTCACAGGTTCGCAGTCAACTGATCTCCAACAAAAGTTCTCAACAGCCAAGATGCCCGCCAAGAAGCAGAGCAACAGCGACGGTGTCGAAGCAGATGGTGCTTCCAATGGCTTTTGCTTTTCAGAAACCGAGAGCAAGATCATTCACGCTGTTCTCCAGCGCACTGATCCCAGCATGAATTCGATCATCGACTGGGAGAAGGTCCGCGAGGATCTCGCCAGCGCCAGCGTCGAATCTACCAGGAAGCGTTTCCGTCAGATCAGTAAGTAGTTTCCCTCGATTCTCTGCACCTCCAGTATTATATTCTTGGTTGAACAAAATATCTCATTCGCACGTGCCTGCCTGTTTCCGTCGAATGAGTTACCTAATATAGATTTCATAGGCTTGAAGCGCGGCTGGTTCAAGGACGAGCATAATGGTGGCATGTCAACCCCGAACGGCAAGAACGCTGCCACCCGCACTCCTGGCAGCAAGAACAAGAAGGTCCCCGCTGGCGACAACGATGACGGAGCTGTCAATGATACTCCCGTCAAGAAGCGCAAGACTGCCACCCCCAAGAAGGTCAAGGCCGTACGACACATCCCCTCTTTCTCTTTGGTATCGTTTGAGATTTGGCGCTGACGCACACTTGACAAGGAGCCCGACACCACTGAGGAAAACGGCCACGAGGGCCAGGATGGTGCCAACATTGACGCTAATGGCATGGGCATGAACCTGAGCTTCGATGAGGTCTGATGCAGCTCCTGCCTTTGGACAGCGGCGAGCATGACCGGGATGGATCTGACGAGTCGGAAGTCGTTGCATGATGAAATGGTTTATACATGGCCTCGCGGAGGAAGGCTGAAATGAATACGTGGTAGATAGACTACTGGCCATGATGGCAGTGCATATCAAGACCAATCAATGAACATAAGTCGCAACTGTTCAGATACTGCTTGCACTGTAGTCTTAAGAGGCATGGTTTTACTGTGAGCCACTGGTGATCTGGGTCATTCATAGAGTGCTTGCGCTCACAGAGACCAACAACTCGCATGGGTACGACAGAAAGGGTACAGTGTTAACAGCTGCACCTGCGCAGTAGATTGCCACATGTTTCAATTATCAGTGCTAAGGATGAGTGCCTTCGTCATTCAGTATCCACACGCATGTCTAAAGACTACAAAATGTCGCGACGTGCATTTCTAGCTGAGAAATTGCGGGAGCCAATTGCCGACATGGTCAGCAATACGCGTAGATTGGCACTCAACAGCGCTGTTATACGCTCCTTCATGTCGAGTTCATCGCTCATATACCTCTGTGTCCTCACCACATGTAGCTGCCATAGTACTACTCGGCTCGCATTCAACGGCTCGAGTGACCAAGTCGCCTACAGACTCTCGAACAAGACTACGCTGTGGTAAATCACGACCTTTGCGCAAAACCAAAAAAAGCGACGGGTAGCATTATTTTTCTTTAGTGTTCGCTAGTTCTCCAAACCAGCTTCTCGCGACTAACACCGTCTCTGAGCGCATTAAGTGCATTGGTGGCCCGGTCAAGGATTGCCTTGCCCTCGACCACGCGATAGCGCTGCGGGACGACAATACCTTCTGCAATGAATGCCGGCATGATTTTAGATGCCAGATTCTCCTTGAAGAAGGCATTCTATTGTAGTGAATGTCAGAATTGACAATATGGACACAAGTGACGTAGACCTACATTGTAAACAAAATGTGTTCGTACCCCTCTGGGTTCCACGCCCTCGGCCCAGGGCGCAGCTGCCTGGACTTCCATGCTGTACTCGGGGATCTGCTCGTTGGATGCATGTTTCAAAATGACGGGTAGCATGACGGCGACCCTGGTACCCCTTTGCGCAACCTTTGCGATGGAGTTTAGACTTCCCTCCTGTGAGCCGATGCAATCAATCACCATGGGAATCACGGGTTGTGTGTCTCCGCGGACTTTCTTGCCCACGCTCAAAAGACGCTCAGCTACATCCGGGTCCCGGTAGTCGATTGCTTCTGTCGCGCCAAGTTGTCTCAGATAGTCATGGTGTGCCGGCGACGCAGTGGCAATCAGATTGCGATAGCCGTAGTATTTCAGCACCTGAATAGCCTGTTGACCGACCGATGAGGCGGCTCCCCAAATGAGAATGGGTTCTTCTGCCCGTTCTGGCACATAATCCGCGGGCTTTGGGAAAGGCGTCGGAAGATCAAGGTCAGTAGCCATGGTGTTGAAGACGGTGACAAAGTTCTCTGGAATAGTGGCTACCTGCTCCATGGTGAATCCATTGGGTATCTGCGTGCGCATGAGCCTCTGGCGCCTGTGAAGAAGAGGGGACCAAGTAGACTCATACCTTGGCAAACTTCCATTCCGGAACAGTGACGTACTCTTGCTGGGCCGCACGCACATTACCGTCGTGGGCCCATCCAAAGATCTCGTCGCCAGGTTTGAAGAGCTTGGCTTCGGGGCCGACATCTTCAACTACACCGACGGTGACGGCACCCAGCACCTGCGGCGGTTCTACCAATAGCCCGCCGTCGGCTCTGTGCAGATCCAGAGGTGTCGAGGCAGTGAATCTAGAACGGACTAGTATTTCATCGCCCTCGGGAGTCACTGTAGGGCGCTGCTGGACCTCTAGGGGCTTCCGGGGCCCGACAGTGACGACTGCAGTGTGGGTGCGGGGAGCCATGTTATTTTGTGTCGGCGAAGGTGGTGACAGCAAGTTGAGAGAAGAAGCGATTGATGTTGGAGGCTCGAGGAATTAGCCGAGCAACAACGAGCGACATGCTTGGATTATAATAACCATCACATCTTGAATGCAGACAGACGTTGTAAACTCAAATATGAGCTGATTTACGTAGTACACCTTGAAGCAAACTACTAATAGCCCAAGTAAACGAACTACTAATAATGGTTGGGTTTGTGCGTTGCTAGATTGGTAAGCCGTAGCAATTAGTCATGGCCATTGCTTCTTGGGTGATTTTTCCTTTTTGAGATTATTTCCATTTTAAGATCGACGCTTGGTTTCGTCGTGGAATTTGGTTAGCGAGAAGTCTGTTTTGGCAAGCCACTACTCTAAATATCCGACAAGATCGGCCAAAAGCTTTATTGTGTACTACCTACATATTTCAAAGTTATAGTACGCGTCTTTGGTTTTCGCATTGAGCCCCGCCTTCAGTCAGCGTTTTGCCAAAGAGAACGGCTTCTTGACAAATGTTTTTTTCGCGATTGCTGCAAATTCCAGGTCGGCGTTTGATTGCGACAACGGCGCTGGTGTTTGACAAGATTAGTCAGGTCCATGGAGCACGGACAAGCAAAAAGAAAAAGAAAAGAAAAACATACTGTGACCGTGCTGTCTCCGGTCGCTGTCTGCTGGAACTTCTATGCACAAGACGACCTCCCAAGTACTGTAGAATGCGATTATACTCTGATTACACAGGGTTACACATTGTCCCAACTTCACACAGAATGGTTGGCAGGTGCTGATTTACACTAATTGTGAGGCCGCTGGCTGATGCCTTAAACTTTGCCGGATTTCGGCATCTCGGGGGCCCGAGTTGGTCAACAAATAATGCCACGGCACGCCTCAATTTATGCGCGAAACCGGTTAATGCAGATACTAGCAACTGACGTAAACCACGCCGGCAGTGCAACCCGGTCACAATTCCGCCGCTTTGCCCGTTGGCCTCCTTTGCGCAGCCAATTGACAAAAACTAAAAATTAAAAAAACAGATAGCAGAAAAGCAGAGGCTCCCCGCCTGGCAGGCTTGGTCTTGGCTCTTGCAACTATCCTCGACATGGGATTCGACGTCCTTGCCAAGCTCAGCAACGCCAGCCAGGCGGCTGAGGGCTTTGTCAAGAAGAAGTGGTGAGTCTAGTAGCACCGTATCCAGTCTTCGTTGAAACAGGCATTGACAGTCTCGCATAGGGATGAGCACAAGTTGAGAGATGCCGGAAAGGCTGCGCAGGCAGAACTGAACCGGCGCATAGACGAGAGGAATCAGTACCTTCAGTTGATCACGGCCAAGCGCACTGGGTCCTCGGCTCAGGACATGCCACCTCTGACCTGCAACCCGGCAGACCCCCACAAGGCCGTGTTTCTGGTTACCATTCCCATCACCTTTGGCCGGTTCAAGCTGTCCAAGAATTCCTACAGTTTACTGGCAAAACTGTCGCCGGCCGCGAGCATCGATGGCGTCAACCATTGGGCACTTGCCGTCATTGATCGAGGTCTCAATCCGTGCTTCTTTTATGAGCTCATGAGCGACGACTTGGCCATCAATGCGCTCGGCAAGAATCAGTTCCGCTTCGACGAGGTCACGCCAGATTTTATTGAAACTTGGACATCTTGCTATTATGTTGGCGAGACGATAAAGACGCATGAGCAGATTGAGAAAATGGGTGAGTGGTAACTGTACGTTCTCTGTCGCTAATATCATACCAACTCTTTTCTCTCTTTAGGAGCGGAGCATTTAGCTCTCCATCCCCGATACAATCTGCTCAACAGCAACTGCCAGGACATGGTGGAGATTCTCGTCAAGCAACTTTGCGAAGGCAGAACCATCAGTCAAGGCAAACTCAGAGAAGAGCTGTCTGCCATTTCTCCCAAGATTGCACTCGATCTCATGGTGGGCCGCTTCAGATCGAGGGTGGACACATTTGGAGAAAACGCGGACCCCGAAATGATCAAAGACAACGACGTTGAAGTGCAAAAGGAGATGGACATGATTGACGTGCTCTGGAGCAGAGTTCGAGGGAAACCCATCTCGCCGAAATAAAGGACTGGCAGGAATTTATTCAAACACCATCGAGGCCTTTGGCCTTGTCACGCAAACTTTGGACTCTGCCAGACCTCCTACCTAGTCACTGACTGGGCAGGTTGGCCCCTTACTCCAATGGTTGGAGGATTTAATGATGAACGGACAACAAAGTCAAGAACAACAGTCTTGCTTGACTTTCTCGGACTCGGCAGGGAGATGGATGTTGCCGCAGGTGCAATTTTGTAGATACCCCCTTGGCCATTGACTTGACAGCATGTCATGGGCTTCATCTAGACTTTTTAATACACACAATGCAGCATATTTACCCCCGAGCGTTGTCTGGAGTGGTCGAAGCCGCAAACGGGCATATTTTGGGCATATGCTGTTTGTAAGGGAAACGCAGTGGTATTCCACACATCACGCGGAAGGCCATTGCTGGGAAGTGCGTCAACTCAGGGCCGGCGGCTACAGGTGCTCGAATAAATGCTCAGAGTGACTTATTGTTCATTCTCAGAGGAGTATTCGTTCGGTGGCTATCGGCTGCTGCTGCCTTTGATTGCCAACTTTGTCTTGTGTGGTGCGGCGTTTGCGATCGTCGACTTCTTTACTCTAGCCGTCAATAACCTCTCTCTCGTGTTGCCGTTACTTGGTTCGTTGTAAAGGTCTCCAAGTGTTTCGCACGTCGTAGTACCGATGAAAGGCGTGAGGGGATCGTGGGGAGCAGAGCTTCCAAGGTCGTCGGACAGGTGGTGGAATGTTGTTCATCTAATCAAACTGGTCTCGGATGTCTCCATGGTTCATTCCGCGCACTTCACTGGTATCGCATCGTCGCAAGGGCGTAATATTCGGTGAGCATCGTGGGGGCGACCAAAGCTGCAAGCCCAGGCGGCGAAGTTCAAGTCTTTGCGCGTGTCATGGTAAGGGTAGGTAGATGCCTCCGCTGGAGTTGTGCGCCGATTTGGGATGGAAGAGGTGTCCAGAATTGGATGAGCACCAAAGTTTGGTGGGGTTTAGTTGCGGCTCCCACTAAAAGCTACCACAGAACTGACAGCTATAGTGGGGAGACAGGGTGCCAAGCTCACTGATCTCACAGCATCTTGAGCCACTGTAGAACAATGACTGTTTTACTCGAACACACAGCGAAATAAAAGATGCACCAAGTTCGATTGATGTAATACATAGGTATTCATGCAAAAGTGACTTTTCATTCGTCATCTGCAGGAATCACGGCATAGAATTGCTTAGTCTTTTTTTAATGAAGAATTATCTCCCGTCGTCAAGTGTATTGAAATGCGCCTTCCATGGTTCGATTGTTCGGATAGTGTCCCGCCGGCGGGGAATTATCGGGGCTCGCGTATCGCTATCGTCGTCCGCTGCTGGCATCCATGCCGAGAGTCTCTGTTTCAAGCATCGCTTCCGACCAACCCGTGACTTGCTACTCAAACACGATATCCCACGATACCTTCACAGTCACTTCAGACCGAGGCAGCACCTACATTAATCATCATGGCTGAACACCCTTCCTTCACATTGGCCGGCCTCTGTAAGAAGCATCGGGGCTCTCATGGTGTAGTCGTCAGCTAATTCATTCATTCAGTGGCTGTTGGTGGCACTATGGGTTGGGCGAGAACTCGTTCAACACCCTCCCTCGTCGCGGGAGTCGGTCTCGGTGCATCATACGCGGTTGCCGGTAGGTTTTAACTCAATAACAGATCAAGGATCCGACCAGAGCGGCTGACTGCGCTATTTACAGGTTACTTGATCAAGGAGAACAAGGACTATGGTACTGAGCTGGCCCTTGGCAACAGTATCGCCCTGCTTGGTTCTGCCGTTCCTCGCATCATCAAGACCGGAGGACGGGCCCCAGTACCAATTGCCTTGGGTGCCACCGGCGCTCTCGCGACTTGGTACTACCAAAAGAAGGTCAGGGAGTTCCGATTCGGAGTTTAGAATGGCCTTTCTTGGTCTGATGGTGGATTGGGGCAACCCATGTCTTGCTTGATCCTTCTCCTCCGGCCATGTGGTCAGAAGGACGATGCTGAAAGCAACAGCATCTGCCATCTTGATTGTCAGGATCAGGGGAGCCCTCGAGGTCGTAGGTCCATCTCGGCAATCGATTACAAAAGTCGAGGCTGGTGAGCTGGGTCGCCGGTAGGGATCCATTCCAGGTTAATGGCTGATGTCCAGGGCCTATCTGTATATATATCTGTCAAAACTATACCTGTATTATGCTGTAAAATAAGAAATACACCTCTCTGTATGACACTATATCGTCACTACCAAACTTGTTGTTCAGTTACCTTTTTTGAGCACTACGCAACTTTAGTCTTCAAGATCCCAAACGGAAAATCAAAGGCCATTTCATGATGGTTCGATTTCAAACTAGAAATATAGACATCTTGGCCAAAGTTCTCACAGCTGCAACATGAAATACAATGATTAGCCACGGCACCAGGATGCAGCCAAGTTGTATGCAGGCGGCAGTCCACCAAAGCCCTGTCGTCGGCACTCGTGACTTATCGCAAACAATCATTGGCTTCCATTAGAGCCAGCGACAAGACATTCTCATAGCTTGAAGCAATAAGATCCATGCACAAAGAACCCGGCCGGCTCCGCGTTCAACATATGCTCGGTGTCTTCATTCGAATTCTGGGCGCATTCGTGGGTTGGTCTATTGGCGGAATCATGGCGGCTTGTTGATGGTCCATTACTATTTCTTGCTGCCACTGCAGGGTGACCTGGTAAGCGATGAGATGTGCCGGGACGCCGAGCGACCAGGGCCAAGGAGTTGCAAGCCTTTATACTTCTTGGTTCTCTGGCCGTAAAAGCGGACCCATTTCCTGAATCAAGTATCACGATAAGCAGCTCTTGCGCCCTTCATTCAATTTGGGAGATGGGAGCTATCATGAATGCGGTGCAATAGCCGTCTTGGTCTGCTTAGCATATACTGAAGATGCGAACAAATTGGCTCCAGGCGGCGCGCTCCGCTTCCCATTAGGTTGCACGGCGTTGCAATAGAGTGCCAAGAGTCCCCTGCAGATCAATTCAAGCTTAACGACGATAGGCAGGTAAGAGTACATGCATGGTCGCAGATCTGCCGTTTAGCGAGACACGCTCACAACTAAATCAATAACCCAATCAGCGTCTCGTTATCTATGTCGTGCCGAACACCCTGGAGCATAGCTGCTCTCATTTGATCTTGATTCTGACTTGTCGGGTCTCTACCTAGTGGTAAGCTCATGGCACCACTACTCACTTTGTGCCTGGTCGGGTCTCTACCGGACATGAGGCCCCTCCGTTGGATCTCCGCTGGACCAAATCACCTTTAGCTCTCCGAAATGGGAAGGTGATTCATCTATATCCAGACCTGGCAGGCTACGTGATACCCGACACGCGAACTTGAGCCGCCAAGACTAATTCAACTACAACACACTGCGTGGTATTCTGCTAGGGGCACAGGCTACTGGTTTAGACATTCATCCGCTGTCGCAATGTGATTGGATAGTCATTACCACGATCCCCTATGAATAGCCATAGGAGCCAGCGACATGAAGACTATATAGATGTCAACCTCTTCATCGATGTTGAGCGTTCTGGTTCGGCATCCTCACGATCAGTCTTCTCCAACTCCCCTTCTCTTTCACCGTCGCGACTCTCTGACTTGTACAATCTGTCAACATGATCGGATTGAAGGTGAGTGACATTTACAAGTTCTTCCTTCAAAAAAGCAATATACTGAATTTCAGACGATAGACCCTCCTTATCTCGGCTCTGTCCGTAGTCAGCGTCGCTGCCCGCGCCGTCGAAGTCGTTGCTGAGCGATCTGATGTCGCTCTTGACGCCGAGAAGAGAGCCACCTGTGTCTACCACTGCGGCAGCGTGTGCTACTGGCAGGAGGACATTGACGAGGCCCTGGCCAAGGGATACAGTCTGCAGAAGTCTGGCTCCGACATTAGTAAGTCAAAACACGCACCATGACAAAAAGGCAGTGTGGTGCGCAAGCCACTGACCATGGGCAAAATTCATTAGACGACTACCCTCACCAGTACAACAACTACGAGGGCTTCAGCTTCCCTACCGCGTCGCCGTGGTATGAGTTCCCGATCCTCTCATCATACAATGTCTACACGGGTGGCTCGCCAGGTGCCGACCGTGTCATCTTTGACGGAAAGGGCAACTTTGATGCTTTGATCACCCACACTGGCGCCAGTGGCAACAACTTTGTCGCCTGCACCAAGGGTTAGTTTGCGAGAAGACTTTTGTGTAGTTGAGCGGAGATGTCCGGGGCCATGAATCAATCAGTGTGAACAATACCTATCTTGCAAATGTATCTTGTGCACTTGTCATCTCAGCATTTGTTGGGGCCCGTTATCTGCCAGAAAGCCAAACTATTTTCCACAATCATGCGTTTCTTGATTCAATTAAGGACTAATCGAATTAGCGGAAAGTCCTGAGTTATCGGGCTGACCAAGTTCAGGCCGGTTGCGGATGTCGGCCTGATAGGGAACCTAAAACACCATGTTTCACTTACCGTCCCCAGGTGCAAGGTAACCTTAAAAAGACTATCGTGGGATTTTTGAAACTTGCAGTCATTATGACAATTATATTGCCGTGTTTGCCAAATTCAGACGTGCGGTTGAAGTAGGCTTGCTAAAGCCTCATCGAGCCTCATCGAGAGTATCATACTGTAAAATTGCCAAGATATTGCTTCCCGGTCAGCAGAGTGATGAAGATCATCAACTTGGTGGCTGATCTCCCGGAAACTCTCTCCTTTATGGCATGCCGGAAGCCAGATTCAATTGTTCCTGAACTCTCGCGGGTCATGAGATGAACTGCAACCGACTATCTTCATCCATGGACCAGTCTTCTGCAAGAGATTGAACACATGAGCGATTTTGATAACATAAAAGGTTTAACAATTGTGTACTAGGCTCACCCGCTTCATTTTACAAAAGCAACTTTATATGTAGGAATTGTCCAAAAACGTCCAAAAGCTATATCCCGCCTCCGGCTTACAGCTGACATTTTGACGAATGACCAACAATTCACCAAGCCGCAATACTGAAATGGGAACCCTATTCTGAAGCTCAGGCCAATGATATGCGATATCTCCATAAGCCTTGCAGCACCTGATCTTAACGACCGACATATTGTGAGCGGCCAAAGGCTAGACAGTCTCGCCACCTTTGGCTCATTATAGTCGGTGCCGAGCGGCCTGGCCGTGCCTGGACAATCGGACGAGCTTCAGCCGTCCCAGGAGGTAATTTTGAGGGATATTCTTGAACGGGCATCATATCCAACTTTGCAGATGAGTATATAAATGGATGGTTTGGCAGCATTATCATCTCATTTTCCAAAAGGTGGCAGGTCACTCTCTACAATAGCACTTTGACAAGCAATTTTGACGCAATTCCATGATGTTCATTCCCTCGTTTTTGACATTGGCCTTGGCTGCCACTGCGGTAGCGCAGGGTGGTCGTGGCGGCGGCGGCGGTGGTGGTGGCCGAGGCGGAGGAGGAGGAGGTTTTGGTGGTGGTGGCTTTAGAGGAGGCGGAGGTGGTCGCGGTGGCGGCGGTAACGGTGGAGGCGGTCGCGGCGGTGGTGGTGGAGGCTTCGGCGGCGGCGGCGGAGGTTTTGGTGGCGGCGGCGACTTTGGAGGAGGAGGAGGTGGTGGCGTTCCCCAGCCTCAACCCACTCCCGAGCCCGTTGATCCATGTTACGCCAACCCTTACTACCCGTGGGTCGTTGCCATGGAGGACAACGAACAGGGTCTGGAATACTGCTACGACTTGTACCCCAAGGAAACCAAGACGTGGTGGACAACAAAGACCCAGCAAGGGGAGTTTGCGACCAAGACATACACCGTTGACACGACTACTGTCACCAAGACCAAGACCAGTCTCACTACCACTACCAGTACCACCACCACTACCAGCACCAGTACTAGTACCAGTACCTCAACGTAGGAAAACACAAACTATACTCTTGTAATGGGTTGCTAACACTTGACTCCAGGACCGTCACTGTTGCAAAGCCAAAGCCAATGGGAACAAAGAACAAGCGCGCTGCTTCTTTCGCAGCCTTCATGGCGCAAGGAAAGGGCGTGGTCAGCAAGGTCGTAAGTAAAACCCAAAACTTGCTGGGGCCCTTGACGGAGTTCGGAAGTATTGAAGACTTGGAAAAACTCCAAAGCACAAAGTCTTCCACTCCATGGCCAAGCTGCAATATGAATCAGTGCTAATTCGATTTTCAAAGTGCGAATGCATCGTCAAGCCAGATGAGCAAGACCCTTACACCTGGACACGAACCAAGACTGTTGATGGTAATGGCCGAACAAGAACCGTTGATGTCACTGCAACAAAGACCACGACCATAACCACGACCAAGACCAAATCTACGACTTCGACGTCAAGTACGACTACGACTACGACTACGACTACAACTACAACTTCCACCACCAACGGTAAGTCAACTGACTCTATGATTCTAAATCATCTCGAATCTTTTTTCGAGGATGCAGGAACCCTGGTGACCAATTGCTGACGTCTTGTACTTTCTCAAAGGTCCTATCGTCCAACCGACGGGAAAGCCAGGCAGCTCGCCCTGCCGAGCTGGAGCTCAGAACCTATCAGGTTGCAACAGGACTTGTACCTGCAACCGTGATGTTGATTTGACAAACAACTACTGCGCCCTTGCGCAGCCTGGTGACGGACTCAAACAGTGCACCAATGATGACCAGTGTCTGGATAACCAGGTTTGCATCGACTTCCTGAGCAACAACCAGTTCAAGTGCTATTCGTTCACCGGCTGCTCCAGCACCTTTAACGGAGGATTGAAGCGAAACGAGGACTAAAGGGGACTATGCATGCCTGTTGACGCTTCCAGTGTCCCAACGCGCTTGTCACTGGATTCCGTAGTGAGCAAGAATGGACAGCTAGAATCTTTCAATATAAGCGTATCAACCTCTTCTCTGGCCATCGTGATTGAGTCGCCTCGCCGTTCATGATTCCGTATAAAAAGGCATGACCAACTAGTGTATACCCGTTGTCGGCTTCGCCATGTGTGTTTTTCCGCCTGAGGATGAACGGAACTCTACCGCCAAACAAAATCCAAACCTCATCTCCTGGAATCATCATTTTTGGACCCATTCCAAAGTACCCGTCTGTGGTGACAAAGAACTTTTGATTTATTACAAATGTTGTCAGTGATCGAGACAATGCGCGAGAGTCTATCTCAACACCACGTGTAGCGTATTGAAATACCAGGTACTGTTCGATGCGAATAGCACCTCGTGTAGGAAATTCGTCCATCAAAAAGTCTCCTATGAGTGTCGCCCCGAATGCGTTCGCCCGGGTATTGCCATTAGGATAATTCGCACCAAATTTCGCAGCGTTCCAGTTCGTATCGTCATGCCAAGATCGGATCACACGGAGAAGATCCTGGTTGTCGACTTCAGTGTGCTCATACGCCGACAGAGATTCCTGGGCAACCTCTTCAACGCCACTGATGCGGATGCCAGCCAGTTCCAGGGCTTGTATATCAGCAAGGTACTTGTAAGTGAAGGTAGTATAGGCATCCGCGTTGGACCGGGCGTACCGATGGACATGGTTCCACCAACGTTCCGAGGTGTCGACATTGGGCAATTTGCCAAAATCAGTCACCCAGGTGGGTAAATGCTCGTTGATGGAATCCCGGATTCCCACGAAAGGACGTAATCCTCCCTCGATGCCCAAGAGGTCAACTGTGACTCTGGTATGAAGAGCCTGAGCCGAGAGGGTATAATCACAGTGCTGGACGCTCGGAAATGGCGGTTGGAAGAATAATCCCAGCAGAGCAAAGATCTTGTCGCGAGGGTCCGTGGCCCCGCGATAGCGCCATCGCTCCAATAGATTCAACGTATTGTCGCCTCCTTGAGCGATTTCGAGCCCTCGAACAGGCGATATGACGTAGTCCAAAAGATCTCGGAAGATCTTGATCAAAACGAGCGGCAGGGACCAGAGTCTTTGGCAGTAGTTTCGGGATGCTTGTTGAGTATCTGACCATTCGACCATTTGAGACCCCCAAACTACCTGCGCCGCCTTGGGGAGGACTGATTCCTGTACTGTCCATATTCGGGACCACCACGGGTTTCCCTTTATACCGAATGCGGTAAATGCGTTCCGCGCACGATCCCTTGCATCTGGCGACGATAGTTTTTCGACAAGTGATTGCTGTCCATCAAGGTCATCTCCGGGCTTTGCACTCTGCTGTATGAATTCAAAGACATTTCCCACGTCCAAGGCAGTAAAAGTAAAGCCTTTGCCTTGTGGTATCTCACCTAACCAAATCAGACAGAGACGACATTGCCTATAAATCACACGCATCATGTCAACTTGCTTTGCCTTTTTCTCGATATCCCACTGATCGATACACAACTGATCAATCCATAACGTGCGCGTCTTCTTCTCATGTCGTAGGCGTTGAAGAGCGGCATGCAAGTTGCACGTCACCTCGACTTCTTGGCCGGACACCTGGATGATTCGCCACCCGGCTGCCTCCATCCATACGTAGGACAAAGTCTCATAAGGACCACACGTCTCGAGGCAAGCGAGACGTGTCTGACAAATAATATTCTCCCCATGCTGCCCTGGCAGGAGGTCCAGTAATACAAAATTGTCTGACGAGGCCATATTCGATATCCAGATTGTAAAATAGCGCACCCGCCGATTGTCGCAGGCTTCAGTGCGGCTGCACAGCCCGGGAGTCTTGGAGGGAAACCCCGCGCATCCATTACACACAACTGGGCTACGCATTAGGGGCTGCAGCTGAAAAGATCACGTGGCGACGCCAAGAGATGTAGCTATGTATAATTGAATCATTCGGAGTCGCAAAAGCGAAAAGATTGCTCTCTGAATATAATGAATATCTCGTCTCTATCATCTATCATTTATTACTGGACGAATCCTCGCCCTGACTGTGGACATCATCAATCGTAAAGAATCCCGTCTTCTTCCTGGTGCCCAGCCGAAATGATTGGCATGGCACGTTTCGATCCGTGACTTTCTTGGGACCCGATCCACGATAGGTTCCTCGGGATGAATAGTCGCCTCCGAGCAAGGGCCTCAGCACCGGAATACACGCCAGTGTGATGATGAGTGACGGTTCAATCACTGAGTAGATACTTGGCAGACCGGCAAGATAGGTCAAGTCAGCATAGTCCATGTTGACGACGGCAGCAATACGCAAAGCGCTGAAGATGCATGTACTGTGTGAAATGAGGTCAGCAAAAAGCTTTTATTCCAAAGCCTGTGAAAAAGCTCGGTGTGAGAACCCACATGAAACCACCTGCGAAGGTAACAATCAAAATAATCTTCTTCTTCCAAGCCATTTCCAAGCCGGCGAGATAAGGCATTGGCAGGAAGAGTACCACGATGTCGAGGATAACATTAATTGAGGCGGTAATCTTGAACGAGAGGACTTGGTCACCGCAGTGGCCACCTTCAATCGTTTGATCCCAGTTGTACGCAAAGGGTTGACATTGCAGCAAAGCTCCCAGTATGGTGGCGACGCCCAACAGTATAACCACGACGCCGCTGATTCGCGCCGATAAGATGAAGAAAGGTACGGCAAAGACTTTGGTGTATAGCATAAGAATCGACACTTTTGGCAAACATACTGCCAATGCCCAGAGAATCTGGTTCGCTACCGTCATCTACATTGTCTCTCGGTTAGTCGCGGGCGTTGGAAAACGAATCTTCACTTTGGCCATACCTTGGTATAAGTCACAATCGGTGATGTCCCATACCGTGCCACGAGATCCGTCATGTGCATTCCAGCACCCGTGAATGGCTCTGCAGCAATGAGACCGCAGAATGCCAAGTTCACGATGAGAGCCGCGATCATGACATAGTCGCTCGGGTCTAGTGCTCGATGGGATATATGTCGCGCAGCGATTCTGAGACCAACGGCGGTGGTTGCCAAGAGTCCAAAGACGACTGGAATCACGACCATAGACACCTGCATCTGGGTCTCGATGGGAATCACAGGATCAAACATGATGGCGAGTCCCTCGTGAGAGCAGCTGAAACGTTTCTGTGCATCAACCTCTATCTCTGTTGAATTCGGCCGAGAAGAGTAGAGAGAGCAGACAATGTCCTAGAAGACACATTCTCCTGTCTGCTGACTCAACTTTGAGGTTGGTGGGTAGCTGCAGCTATTAAAGGCGCATCTGGAAGCCGCATCTCGATTTAGCAACCCTGAATATGATCGTCACAAGGTTTGGCTAGGATTTTCGCCATGTCACGTTTGAGGCGAGTCGTACACATTTGAAGTGAGACGGGCCGCTCACTGCCATGGGAAAATAAATCTCGCTTAAAAATGGAATGCGAAAGCCGTTTGGCTTGGCTGGTAGCGCATCATATGATTCTTCCGGGGCTCGGCGGGGAAGGGAAACCCTGACCCGGCTCCATGTCGTTTGCCGCACCATGCTGACTACGACGATTGAATGGTCCATTGGTCCTAATGATGTTTGTGAATAGTGGCATGACGGTTGCCAGTCAGACTCTATATAGCAAAGTTGGAAACTTGATAGATGATATAAACAGGCATTTTGTCTTTTTTCCTGTCCTGACTTATTCAAATACAAAAGTGACAACATTTCAGCGTGATGCAGTACATAGATTTCACCATTCTCCTCCTTCAAAAGGATTGGAATCTGCACCTTGGATTGCCGCGATCCCTAGGATCCACCATAAAGCTAAAGGTTCTTTAGTGTACAAGGGGCCTGGACAACAAGTGGAGTTTTGACAGCGGCCCTTGCCAGTACCAGACACGATGATTGGCAATACCATTAGCAGTTACAGGCCTGTCTGCAATCTTCAGCGAATATCGAACGTGATAAAAACGTGACAGCTCAGGGGCGAGCTGTTTGTAATACCGGCTCTCGAGACCGCGACCCGGGTTCCACCGGCCCGGCCAGATGCATAGTGCTCCATGTACGTCCAAACTTACCGAGTAGAGCGATAATCCCGTTTCTTGTGCCGCTAATAAGTTCCTTACACTATTGTCATTTCCTTGGTTAAGAATTGCTGTGTAAGAAAAACGCCATGACGCCTTCTAATACGGGATGGCCAGCCATCGCGGCAGCCGGCCTGGTGGTGTTATTCACAATTGTCGCATACAGACGTTATCTATCGCCACTCAGCAGTGTCCCGGGACCTTTTTGGGCTTCTTTCTCGCGTCTCTGGCACGTGTATATCACCATCGAGGGAAATCAGAACGAACAGCTTGTTGAAGCACATGAAAAATATGGCCCTTTTGTGCGCCTGGCCAACAATGAAGTCAGCGTCAGCCATCCGGATGCAATCAAAAAGGTGCTTCTGGCGACGTTGGAAAAGGTGTGTAAAATACCAGAATAGTGCCGCCGAAATAACATGTTAACTTGTGATAAAGGGAACCATGTATAAAATGAGTACCTTTCCGGACTGGCGATATGAGAACCCAATGTCCATCACGGATCCAAAGCGCAAGGTTGAGCTGTCCAAGCAGTTTGCCTCTGGCTATACGCTTTCAAATGCACTCAAGGCGGAAGAGTCAATCGACAGGAGGGTTTCGCTCTTCCTTGACCGACTGAATGAATATGCTACTTCGGGCGCTCCTATGGATTTGGCTAGCCATATCACTTACCTTACCCTCGATCTTCTCGGAGAGGTACTGTTCAGCAAGCCATTTGGCTACACCGAGGCAGGGTCCGACATCAAAGGAAGCATTGCCACCAACGAGAAATTGATTGGTGTCCATGCCGTCGTGTCGCATTTCCGCTGGATTCAGCTCTTAGCACTCAATCCGGTCACGACCAAGTTGATGCCTTGGGGTCATTTATTCAACACGGCTTATGACGCTTTGCAAGAGCGCCGCGCCAACCCCGACGCCCGCTTCGATGTTATTGCCCATTGGCTCAAGACGGCCGCTGCACACCCGGATCGTTTGAACGATCGTGATTTACTCGGCAACACCACGGCTAATGTCGGCGCCGGCTCCGACACCATGTCGTGTGCGCTGCAAAGCTTCATCTACCACATGGCCCGGCAGCCAGACGCTTGGTCGCGCGTCAGGGATGAGATTCGCAAGGCACAGGAGACTGAGGGCGCTTGTCGTTCCAGTATCATTGCGTACACAGATGCATCGAAACTTACATACTTCCAGGCTTGTCTCAAGGAGTCAATGCGCATTCATAACCCGGTGCCCATGGGCTTGCCACGTATAGCGCCTCCTGGTGGCTTGACCATTGGAGATCGAACTATTCCCGCCGGTACAACGGTGTCCGTCAATCCCTGGGTCATTCACCACTCCAAGGAAATATGGGGGCCCGACGCAGTAAGACATGCCCATCATCCACTCGTTGAACCTCGTTGACTGATCTCGATAGCTCGAGTTTAATCCTGACCGCTGGCTCGGTCCAGATGCCGCTCAGCTTGATAAATATTGGTGCCCGGTATGTTCTCCATCAAGGCAATACGATTTCTCAAACTTTGTACCGTCGCGACTAACTGGAGTGATTAAGTTTGGTGCCGGCTACATGTCATGCCCCGGTCAGCATTTTGCCAAGATTGAACTATCAAAGATCCTGAGCACGGTCGTCAGGGATTATGACATTTCTCTGGTCAACCCGCAGAAAAAGTGGAAGTGGAAAGCTTACTTCATCTCGGTTCCTTACGATTGGCCAGTATATGTATCAAAGGTCGCGTCGTCCTAAGCCTATGGATGCACCACTACGGCGCTCATTTATTGCTCTACACAATTATACCGTGGCGTCTCGAGTCGTTCTTTGCGATGTAGATGAGGAATGGATGGAAACAGCTGCTAATATTCTAATCAACTCTAATTGCTTCTCCACCATCCTGTTATCACTGATACTATTGCCATACCCACGAGCTCCCAATCTCTTTTCATGAATTAATAAAATGTTGAATTGACAGCAGCAACCAAGCGAGGATCAACGTCCTTGTACGGCTCCAATTCTCCATCCAAGAGAAGACTTTCCAGTGTCGCCTTTGTATAGTTGGGCACCTCCCAGACATCCGGTTTTATCATTTCTACGTGCTGGCCATTGCCCCAAACCCTTCGATAATCCCAAATCGCGGCTAGCGGACTCTTGGCTTTGAGGCAGCTATCAATGTTGTCCTCGACTTCTTGCAGTGTATGATGAAACTCGGTTGGACCTTGGCCATTTCTCTTGGCCATGACGGCTGCAATCTCACGGCCAGTTACTTGAATCTCCGATACCCCAATGGTGCGTCCTGCAAGTTTCTCTGGCGTAGTAGTGGCGAAAATTGACGCATAAGCTGCAGCCACGTACTTTCGGGTGCTTTTTACATGTCAGTCATATCGCCGCGATTGATCTTACTCGGGTGGCTCACCAGATATTTATTTTCTGGTCGGCACTGTCTCCAGTATAGGCGATTCTGTTGTTGGTGATATCTATGCCCAAAAGCCTAGATTGTAATCAGTTACGTTGCCAGAGTGAAATGTGCCATACTGGGGCCTTACCCAACACTAAATGTTGACTCGGCAAAGCTTCCAGGCACCACGATAGCAAGGGGAATTCCGCGTGCATCTGCTGCATCCTCAATATCTTGCTTCATCTTCCTCATAGGAATTCGTCGGCCCGATTCATCACATCGATAGCCTAGGTTAGAAGGCACAAAAAGCCGGACTTTTGTCTGAGGTAAGGCGTTGATGAAAGCTTGCTGTCTCATGATGTCGTCGCGACCGACGCATGAACTATAAAGCGTTAGTCTTTTGCATTCGGTCCCTCCTAGATGACACTTGCATAAGAATGTCGACATCTTCTAAAGCAGAGATAAGAGCAGCTTCGTCGTCAATATCTACCTGCACAGAAGTGACACTAGCAGGCAGGCCTGAGATGTCTGATCCAGGGCGGTAAATGACTTTGATTGGTGCTCCAGCTGCGGCTATGGTTTTCGTGAACGGGGCACCCGCCCAGCTGCGGTGGCCGTAGATGGCGATGCGATTATACGTTTGCATTGTAGTCGCCATTATGTCGAGCAAAATTTAGCCTTGGTGGTTGGTATCTAGGCAGTATTGGTTTCTAAGGGTACGCGTATATCAGATGAATCAAGTAATCAATTGTATATTGTCGTGCCAAGAATTTAGCGGGAATCGCACACTCTATTTATTGTTACACATGCTGTTTCCCTCTTTGCTCCCGCGGCCTCCTCAGATCTCGCCAGTGGGGCCGGTCGCGAATAGTGCTGACTGTCTGTCGGCTTTATGGAAGCCCGAACTTCATTTATCGCCGCGACGCTACCACAGGTATCAAATGTGAATGCAAATGTGATTCCTTTTTATGAAATCATTAACTAAGCAGATAAGCAATCGGCTTTAGGCTATCGCGCGAGACAGCAAAATCCGATCCGGGCACATGTACTTAACTTTTCATGCATTCGCATTACCAATGCCAGCCAGTTGTCTCTCACGTTTTACATAATCTGCAATTATCACGAGACTGTCCACTTGGTATATGCTGTCAAATATGGCATATTGACAATTTCTTCATACTTCCGTTGAGAATTAAGCTGAAATGCTGAAGCTGAGTTGGCTTATATGGTGCCTGAGTTGAGTACGAGGGGCGTATGCAGTATTAGCTGTTCGAAGGCTACCAAATTGATCAGTCCAATAGGAATACATACATATGTACGGACGATTACAGCCCGCGTGTTGTCATCGCACGATGAAGTGGTGAATTGAGTCAATTCGGGTCCTGACTTTATCTTCGAGCCTTGTATGGACCAATGGCAAGTACTTCACGATTCATGAACGCGCAGTGGCCACCGAAATAGATATCAATTTTATTTGGCTTGATATTAATCATGTACACGCCGTATGGATGATAGAAATAAGTCATTTCAATTTTTCCAGAACTGCAACATGATATGCAAGGTCCAAAATGCCTAAATATGATCATGAACTACCTTTCATGGCTCCCTCCCTTGCAATCGCGAAGTCGTACTCATTTCGCAGATCATTCCGTCCTATTACAGTACCACAAAGCTTTGCCAAGCTCAGAGGCCCCGGTAGGACGACTGGTAGGGCTGCCAAGCACCACTTGAGTTCACCATTTTCTGCATAATATTGTTATGCCGTGCGACTTTGGAGTATGCGGGGTGTTCTCGGCTCAAGGCTGAGAGGTGCCAATGCTGGAAAGACGTTGCATCCTGGCTACCAAATACTACCAGGACACTTTAGCCGTTGCAGTCTTCATTGGTTGGCTCGCAACTTTTGCAGGATATACGAAGAGGCTGTTTTGCTATATCACCCCCATGGTTGGGACTGGGCTGCCATACCTGCGATACATTCCATTTCTGGTCTCATTGAGGACAATGAAATGGCTCCTTACTCAGGGAAAAGCCAGCGCACTGTCGAGAGATGTGCAGATAAAAGCTGCACTATCAGCCCCATGTCCCATTATTTCGTGAATAGGTATTACTTGTGAAGTATAGAGACTTGATCTCTTTTTGCGCTTATTTCCATCATGGGTGTACTTCTTCGCGTTCTACTTTGGAGCAACCTTGCTGTCGCTGCCAAAGTAAACTTCCCTTTCGAGTCTATTCAGCTCGCAGAAGCTGACGTAGAAGACTTCCGTGAAGTTTCTTTTGGCAACGCGTCTGTTCCAGTTCCCAATACAGATTGCCGCGCATATCCCGGCGCGTCAGGGTGGCCCGTCGATGCGGATTGGGCTCAGCTTAACAAAACGCTTGAAGGCAGCTTGTTGCACCCGAGTCCAATCGCCTCTGTCTGCTATGAAGGGCCAAGTCACAATTCGACGCAGTGCAATACTCTCCTGCGAAATGCATCAACCTCCAGATTCTACATTGATGATCCACTCAGCGTACTGACAGCCTGGACTGAGGGTGATACGTGCTTTGCAACAGCATCCCCGGTTGGATTGAATTGTACTCAGGGAGGATTTCCCGAGTATGTTGTCAATGTCACAAATGTGAAGCAGATACAGGCAAGTAAACTCAGGCTGGGTGTGGACATGGCAGAGATGACAACCGGTCCCGTTATCTCCAAGTGGATTCCATGAAAAGACATTAACTTGCTCCAATCTAGGCGGCGGTCAATTTCGCTCGAAACAAGAATATACGACTTGTAATCAAGTAAGTCTGTTGAAACTACTGAAACCCGAGGGTTCTCTAGCTCATCAACACATTCAGAAATTCTGGTCACGATTGGCATGGCAGATCAACTGGATTTGGGTCCCTGAGTATATGGACTCACTGGCTAAAGGACTTTGAGTTTCTCCCGCAGTACGAAGTTGGAAAGTACAGTGGTCGTGCAGCGCGAGTCGCCACGGGTCTAGAGGCATGGCAAATGTACCAGCACATGAACGAAAACAATGTCTCTATTGTGGTCCCGGGCAGCTACACGATTGCTCCCTACGGAGGCTGGATGGCAGCTGGTGGTCACAACCCCTTGGCTTCATACTATGGGTTAGGCGCAGACCAGGTTCTGTCCTTACAAGTCGTTACAGCAGATGGGACATTCGTGACTGCTAGTCCAGATGAGAACCAAGACCTGTTCTACGCTCTTAGAGGAGGTGGGGGCAGTAAGTCATATTTGCAGTCTTTGTGGAACAGCGTATGCTGACTAGCTCAAAGGCACCTTTGGCGTCGTCACGTCGGTTATCGTCAAAGCGCACCCCTTTATCAATGTCACCCGGTCGTCTGTGGATTTTGCCGTACGAAATGCTACAAACTCAACAGAAGTCGAGACTTTCTGGCGCGGAATCGACCTCTACTACCATTTCGGGAAAGCGATTGTTGATGCTGGAGGCACCGCCTACGGAGACATCACCACGTACAACGTGTCTCTCAACAACAGCTTCACTTTTAGCACTCAAATTGAGATGCCTGCCATGACCGCAGGAGAGCTCTTTGACTTTGTGCAGCCCCTGATTGGCGACTTGAATGCCATAGGCATTTCCATCAACAACAGCCAGCCCGTGCCGTCAACACGATGGACCTCGGGCAACAACGGCTTGGGAGATGTACCGGGGAACAGTCGATTTGCCAGCCGCCTCTTTCCGCGTTCAAACTTTGAAGACGATGAAACCTTCAAGGCAACCACCAGTGCGATCCGAAAGACGGTAGAAGCAGGTTATAGGTTCCACGGCATTCACATGCAGCCGACGGAATCCATCGCCGGCCTGCCAGGCAACAGCTCGGTTAATCCGGCTTTTCGCACAACGATTATGCACGCCGACCTTTTTGATAATGCCGCACTAAGGGGAGTCACACCCGAAGAGTGGTTCAGTTCCTACCAACGGTTCAACGTGTCCATGTCGAAACTAAGGGACGTGACACCTGGGTCCGGGGCATATTTCAATGAGGCCGACGTGGAGGAACCGCACTGGCAGCAAGCATTCTTTGGCTCAAATTATCCCACGCTGCTAGATATCAAAAAGAACCGTGACCCCTGGAACCTGTTCTATGCGGCCGACACTGTGGGGAGTGAAAATTGGAAGGTCATCACGTCAGACGGGCTCCCCACACAGAACGGACCACTATGTAAAGTTTCTGCATAGACACAACACGTATCTCAGCTATGGAAGGGGAATAAAATGACACACACGACAGAAGTAGAATTACAGAGGGAATTTGGCGTATACATGGACATTTCTGGGCTCAATATGGTTGATCGTTTAGTTGCCGCTATCATGAAAGGCAAGCCAGCAGCTAAATCTTGGCTCGATCCGCACACTCCATGTACTGTACACAAGTATCTTCTAGGTTAATCCATTTATCCATTGCTAAATATATTCCCGGAAAAATCGAGTCAATGTGTCAAAGGGAATGAGATCCACACGATCGTAGAGGTCTACATGACCCGCACCGGCCACCCAAACCAGCTCTTTTGGTTGCGCCGCACGATCGTACGCATCTTCGCTGAATTGTCGGGAATGCGCCTGGTCTCCAGCAATAAACAACAGTGGACGTGGCGATATTGTCTCAATATCATTGAACGGGTAAAAGTTCATGAATTTGACATTGCTGGACAGCGTCGGGTGCGTCGTGAGATTGGGCAGCGACCCCGGCGGAGTGACTTCGCCGCGGATGGTACGATAGTAATCAAAAAACTCTCGCTCAATGGTCGTAGCATTCGCCGTCAGGATGTCCAAGGTGCCGCTGGTATAGATGGTGTCACCACCCTGGGCTTCTCGTAGACGCTGACGCGCCGCCTCGGCAATGACTTGCTGACGCTGCTCCACGCTCTGCGACTGGCGCAGGCCTTCACGGTTCACGGTGCCCATGTCGTACATGCTGGCAGTCGCAACGGCCTTGATCCGCGAGTCAATCTTGGCGGCGCTGATGACAAAGGAGCCGCTCCCGCAGACGCCGACAGCCCCGACGCGGCCCGGGTCGACAAAGTCTTGGGTGCCGAGGTAGTCGACGGCGGCGCTGAAAGCCTCGGCGTACAGGTCAGGCGACACGGCGTTGCGCGGCTCACCCTCGCTAGCGCCCCAGAACGGAAGATCAAGCGAGACTGTCACAAAACCTTGCTCGGCCAACTTGGTGGCATACAGGTTTGCGCTCTGTTCCTTTACTGCGCCCATGGGGTGACCGACGACAATGGCTGGGCTCCTAGCATCGTAGTCTAGGTCTCTCGAGGTGAAGAGATTGCCGGCAACAGTAGTCTGGTATTGGCTGATGAAAGTGACTGGTTGGATCGTGACGTTCTCACTGCGGTAGAAATTGTTGGCTCCATATGACATGTTTTGAGCAACTGCCAATGTCATTTGCAATATCAATGCCATGACGGCGGTGGAAATCGCTTGTCCTTTGATCATTCTCACTAACTTGAAAAATCAAAATGAAGGTGGTGTCATATACCAAAATGAAAAAGTAGATACTTTTCCCAGCAACGAATCGAGGACGTTGAGAGTGTTCTTATACAGAAGTGACAGATATCTGGGGACCACGGCATTCGTTTGTAACGAGCTGTATATATCATTATTCAGCTTGATCATTGATTCGCCCCACGGAAATAGTGGTTGCATTTATCATCTTGGGACATGCCGACACCACACACACCTCATCAAAGCCCTCCGATAACAGGTATTCGTATGCCAAGCTATGCAATACTACAAAAGTTCATACTAGTGTAGTAGGACATTACTGCTGCCTACATCACCGGGAGTAACTCGGAGCTTTTTAATAAGCCAGGTGCATTAGCCAAGTCTTGGGAGGTGAATTAATTTGATATTCACACAACCTCGTTCTCACAATAAAGGAAAGATTGCAACACCTATAGTCATACGCAAATAGCGATACTCCGTCATCTCTATCCAGGGATCGGAGATCCATCCGAAATGTGTACAATATCCGTGCCATTATGAATGGATTCCAGCAGCGTAAATCATGAAGTAGCAGCTTCAAGTCTCAATCCATCGAAACCGAGTCAGTCCAAGTGCAGAGGAACAATCGTGAGTTATGGTAACTAACTAAATCAAAAAAACTTGTTTGTCACTATAAAGCCCCTCATATTCACGAGGTGGCGTCATGACTACATACATGTAACACATGTTTGGTGGGAATCCCGTCCTGCAGATCGAAGGCATGACATTATTGTGTTCAAGATATAGCCTTACTTGTCGAAAGTCAACAGATCATCGCCCCTATGGTTGCGCCAATAGTTTGTTGATTCCAAGATTTGAGGACAATCTCGGAGTAGCCATCCCCAATTACGGAGGAATGTTTCAGTGAGCTCCCAATTCTGCACGTTCCATGATTCGCCCCATACGATTAGACCAGTGGAGTTGTTTGCATCATCTGACATGTGCTCAATCATGTCGTTCCACAATCGGATCTCATCTTCTTCAGTGAGATTCTCAGTTGTAGCTACAAGGAAGTTGTCCCGCATTTGAGGCAGTGGGAACAAGTCGATCCATGGGTGGTGGGGCATCTTGAGCTGAAGGGCAGTTGGTGCGAGGTTTTCTGGAAGGCGTCGTTCTCGGACAAGTGGAGGACATGGAGGTTTTGGTGGACCGAGGAAGCCAAAGGGCGAAATGACGTTGCAGTCAAGCCAGTCAACTCTGAGCTGAAGTACATCTGCATTATTCGCCAAGCTGCGAAGGAAATTGAGGTGAATGAGCCCAGGCAGATGATCCAAATGTGGTTGTCCCATCATGTAACTTGCCAGTGCTTGTTGGGCGAGATGGCCCAAGAGAATCCGTTTCTTTTTGGCTTTCTCTCTTGAGATCTTGGTCCTCTCTTGCTCGCCTGATGGAACCGAGCCTGTACTTGTGGTATACGGATTCCTTTTGCGGTCTATAGAGGTAGACACGCTTATTAGGGATACTTGTCCATTCGAGTTTCTCATCAGCCCACTCACAAGCTCTCTGGTTGAGTAAATTTTGCAACTTCTTGCGTTCTCTACGATTTGTCACACCGGCCCAGTCTTCTCTTTGGTCCTTGACAAGGACCTGATGTGTCATTCGCTGCAGCGGAATGCGTGATAGCGCACTTGGATTTTCAACATTGTCTGGAGCCATCTCGCGCAAAATTGGCGATCGATGCCTGTACGAGGTTTGATTGAGAATTGGAGAAAGCCAGTGGCCACTGCTAAATATGCAACTGGCTGACAGCCAAGCACAAGCACCGCCTTGACGATTTCGGGCCGGGGTGTTCAAGATAAGAGCGCTAGCCGAGCCTGACTCGCCGGCACATGTCGACACTAATGCACCTGGCTGACAGTGGGGCGAGCTCGATGGTGGCCGGGGAGAATCACCTAACCTTAAATAATAGGGACAAAATAGAAAACCGACTTGGCAAAAGCCGCCGCAGTGCGGAGGTATCCCCACGACTTTGTTCGCATAATGAGTATGTATGTATTTACACTAGGCAAGAGACATTATTATAGGAGGAATACCGACACTTTGAATGCCATTGGACCCAAAACTAATATTTTCTTTCTTGTGGCGACCCATTATATAGAATCAAACCCCCATTGACCGTTTTCATGTTTGCCTGCGGATCCATGGTCTCATCGATTCAAATACGCTCATAAAAAGCATATACAACCACTCAATCTGTCCTATTACTTCGTATATCAACGTCACTAATGGCTGCAGACAGCGCCCAGAAGTTTCATGGCTTAGCAGGCAAGACTGCTGTAATTACAGGAGGTGAGCAAAGCTTCAGAGGCATCTTGCAAACTATTGATAGATCTTTCGTCACAGGAGCAAGCGGTATCGGTGAAGCCTACGTTCGGGCGCTCGTGGATTCAGGGTCAGTCTCTCATGTATATGATATCTTCACTGCCACTAAACCAAGGCAAAAAAGGGTGCATGTTTGCTTCGGAGATAAAGATATCGCAGCTGGCGCCCGATTAGCGTCAGGACTACCCACGTAGGTCGAGTATCATCATCCTAGCATTGCGAATTACATGAATTGACGCTGTAAAGGACGCGATTCGTGTCTTGCGATGTTTCGAAATGGGAGGATCAGGTTCATCTCTTTGAAGAAGCAGCCAAGTTCTCCCCGAGCAAAAAGGTCCACTACGTAGTGGCCAATGCAGGTATTGCGCCAAAAGACGATGTCTTTGCATTTGAAGGTATGAATGTATGCGATCCATGAAATAACCCAAAACAAGTCTACTAACAAGAACTCGCCAGGTCCCGAAGGTCCTCCGAAGAAGCCCGATTTGAAAACTATCGACGTAAACCTGGTTGGCGGGCTATACACGGTCAAGCTTGCCATGCACTATTTCATACAGCAGAACGGCATTGAAAAGCGGCCTGACCAGGAAGACACGTGTTTGGTGCTCATCGGATCTGGGGCCGCCTTCTTGGACATTCCGCGTGGACCTTCGTACCCAGCGACCAAATGGGCGTTGCGCGGCGTCATGCATTCCCTTCGACGTACTGCTTTCTACCATGGCAGCCGCGTCAACATGATATCTCCATGGTTGGTCTAATTGATATCTACTCAACTCTCTGTAAAGATTTCTAACATGTCAATAGGTATGTAAGAACCGGCATATTGTCAAGAGATCAGTTCGACCAGGTGGAAAAGTCCGGTGTCACCCTGGCTGAAGCCTCTGATGCAGCACGCGCACTGCTACACATTCTGCAGGACAATGGAATCAACGGGCGGTCATTTTTCATTGCGCCTAAGAAATGGGCACCGCAAGGTTACATTGATCTCGACATTGACGATTATTCCGGCAACAAGTTGCTGCAAGAGATCCAAGCAGAGCAGATTGCGCCGGCGCCCGTAGAATTGGGACTCTTCCGTGTCTGAACAACGATAGATACAAGTTTGCGCATCTTGCACATACTGTGATAATATAATCAGTCTAAATGTTTCGTGGGACCTCCAAGTATCGGGATTTGAACAATTGGGGTTTCATAGTGCTTACGTCGGGGACTGGTGCTAATTTGCACAAGCCAACGCCGCCTGATGTCATTATTAGTCGCCCGTCGGACGACATGAGTGGGCTATATGTTCTTCACGTTGAGGTCATGTTTTGTGTTTCTCAGCAAGCTCACAAGTTCTAAACTCGCTACTAAAGAGCTCAGACAACAGTCCGCCATCCCATGGTCCATATCAATGTTGTAATTCCCAGCCAAATCCTCTCATTTACTGTAAGAAAGTAAACAAACTGCCATTCAGCGATCGATTTGATTCCGCCATGTCTAATCGCAACACTTTTATCCTCGAAAATGTCAGGATTTTCACCGGAGACGAGTTCATTGACAATGGCTACGTCTACGTCAAGGACGGGACCATCGAGGAGGTCAAGGCGGGCAGTTCTCCCGACAGGATACAACTTCATGCTCCAATTCGCTCTTACTCTGGTTATAGTGTGATACCTGGTCTTATTGACTCCCATATCCATGCCTTGTCAGGTAACATGGCCAGTATCGAGCAGTCTTTACGGTTCGGTGTCACGACAGTGTGTGACATGCATAACAATCCAGACGACAACGAGCGACTGAAGAAAGTAATCCTCTCTTAATCCAACCAAAATTACAATATTCACATTGTACTGATAATGATTTAGCTAGCTGCTGGTCCTGAATATAAGAGTCTCTATGCCGACTTCAAATGTGCAGGTCTCGGTGCCTTGATTCCAGGCGGATGGCCAATCCCGGTCATTAAGAAGAAATTTTCACACTCGGGCAAGAGCGATTCAGACCTGGCAGAATATACAGCCTCTTGGCCAAACCTATCGGTGCCCGAAGATGCGGTACCATTCGTAGAACAGCAGGTGAAGCAGAACGGCGCATCGTACATCAAGATGTTCCACGAGGTCGGCGACACCGTGGGCATGAATCTTCCGCTCCCGAGCCCCGATCTTCAAAAGGCTGTCGTGGACGCTGCGCACCAGCTCGGCGTGGTTGCCGTCGGACACGCCCTGAGCTACCAGGGCACCATGGTACTGCTACGGGCCGGCGTCGACGGCCTCACACACATTTTCTGCGACGAGCCGCCCAGCGACGACTACATTGCGCTAATGAAGGAGACTGGGGCTCACTGCAATCCGACGCTGGGACTCGTTGCCTCGCAGACGGATGAGGGCCGGGAGCTCTTTGAGTGGTTCATGGAGGATCCTCTTTCCGAGCGGCTGCTCATGAGCAGAGCAGCTTACCGACCGCATGGACTGGCGTCGTCGCAGAAGCCCAAATCGAGCATTAAACATGCCCGTGCCAATACACGCGCGCTGTACAAGGCTGGAGTGCCAATCCTGGCAGGGACTGATGCCTCCGGGACTGGAGTCGGGCTGCCATACGGCCTGGGCTTGCACATGGAGCTGTACGCGTTGATACATCACGCGGGATTGTCTGTCGCGGATGCCCTCAGGTCGGCAACTAGTATTCCTGCAGATCGCTTCAAGTTTCATGATCGTGGAAGGATTGAGAAGGGCAAAAAGGCGGATTTGGTTTTGATCAAGACGGATGTTGCCGAGTTTCTCGAGGATCGGCAGAATCGATTAATGCCACTAGCAGCAGTCTTCCGGAATGGCACCGTTGCTGCTCCTTACGAGCGGTTCTGGAACTGGGGCACTAGAACGTAAAACTTAGATAGGATTTTGACATCCTCTCGTCTCTGTCTTGAGGTATATCTATAGTAGTGTATACTCGAGGTTAATGCTGTTACAAGGAATACGACGCGTCATGATACGCTCCCCGTGTTAATTGAAAAGTACCTACTTCAGCTATTGGGTCTTCGAAATAGAGGATAATTCGGACATGCTCTTGAACGCATACATCTGAGTGCTGGTGTCGTTGATTTTAGCACAAGTGTGACAGAATCATCCTACGGCACTTGTCGTTAGCAGAGGCCATACACCCTGCCAAATGAGCTGTCCACTTGCCATGAATCAAAGTCGGAACCGTGGTCCGCCGACTTGGCTGCTTCTGAAGCTTGCTCCAACCCGTAGCAATTACCAATCAAGCGCAGGCAATCTGCTGCGCACGCCTTTGCTTCAGAAGATACAAGCTTGGCAGAAGCAGCCGAGTAGAGCGGGCCAATAAGAGAGCGTGCCGTGAAGCGTGGCTCTCCAGACAGATTGATGAAGAAGGGAACAGAACGAAGGATGCCATCTATCGAATCCTTGACTCTTTGGGTCATTACGTGCAGTAGTTTTGCCAGGGACGCGATCTGCTCGGCTTGACCCGCATCGCTAGAGGGTAGTGATTCCGCTCTCGAAATGAATGTATCCAGCCATCCGCACAGGGCGTCAGCCATGAAGATTCGTAACATGCGTAGGATGTTCCAAGCTTGTGCCCACCGTATAGAAGAGTAGGAGTCTGCGCTATCCATATAGTTTTTCACTGATGCAGGAAGATTCTGTAGCGCACCAGAGTTCAGTAACTTGATAGGGTCAACAAGAGTCATCTCCTCCATCTGACCGCCAATGTCTTCAATCATGGACTTGCATTGCTGAAACCTGGCCTCCTTGGATATAATCAGCTTCTTCTGCTGGTATTCAGCAAGCATTCTCAGCAGTCGACCGCGCCGTAGTGCCAAAAGGCACTTGGTATCATGTGGTGGCACAGTCTTGTCAACCTCGAGCAGGGCTGAGGGTGCTGGAACTTTTTTGATCACACAGCTGGCACTGATACTGTGGCTAGCATGGAGATACAGCTTCTGACCAAGCCAGCTGTCAAATTGATGACTGCCTCTGAGCTCCAACAGCGCAGCTGCCCCCTTGATGTGGGCATTCCAGTTAGCCATGTCCTGGTTTTCGCGCAAGGACATTGCCTCAAAGAGCGCCAGGCACAGTACTGAAACGAGGGTGCTATCACTCTTTGCTTGCTCCACAGCTATCAGGGCCTGTTGGGTCTTCTTGACGAGCTTGGAGTATCTTGCATATGCGAGTCGGAAAAGAGCTGGATCTTTGACTTGATAAGAGAGCAAGGCGATAGATGGCACCAACACAGCTTCCTCCATTGATTCTCCAAACGCAGGACCGAGTTTGTAGAGATCGGGTAAATAGTCAAAGAGACTATAGGGGGCATAACTTTGCATGAAGAACGAAAGGGAGATATGTTCAGGCGTCAGAGAGATTCCGGTGTTGGTCAATCCCGAAGTCATAGTCATGGCATCTCGATAAGGCCCCTGCAATCTCTTGGCGGAAGAGCTGTGAACGCCTTGAGACGATGGAATCGGATTGTTTCCCTTCCTCAAGCAGACCTTGGTTCCTGTGGCAAGTGTCTCGTCTCGCAAACGTAGAGCAAACTCGTCTCGATAGCCCGAGCAGGAAACTTTGGCTCGAATGCACTGGGAACAAGAGGGCACTTTGAAATCGCACTGAGCGGCAGTGAGTTGAGAGAGGGGAACAAGGATAGAGAGGCATGAAAAGTATGGCTCACTCACCTTCCGGCGCTTTCGGCGACATTGCTCACAAGCACGAGATGGAATGCTTTTGTCAGGCATTGAAAGGAATACAGAAAAAAGGCAATCGAATTCACGATTAAGACAGAGGATCGGGAAAGGGAAACAAGGATGAAAGACAATATTTGCATGATGGTAGTCGAGAAATGTATGTACCATGAGCCATGCACTTGATTAACGTGGAACATCGCGCTTAGGGGCTGGAGTGGGAGGAGGGTTTGGGCTAGCAGCACACTAATGGGGACAAAAGAGGACTCGGCCTCACAAGGAGGCTGAGTAAGTGTACCTTGCTACTAAGCTTGAGTCGGAATGGATGCATGGTGAGAACGCCGATCCTAGTGGTTGGACGGAATATAAAGGAATCAATGATGCCCACCTTCCGAGACTTCGATCTTCACACGCCTCTTGGCACTTTAGTGAAGAAGATATGAAGACGACACCTAAGAAACTTCGACTCTTCCAATATTAATCGAATGAATGACTCGCAGTATCCTTGTTGACCATTGAATGAACATGTTGATTGGATGAAGGTCAGTTACCAAAGATAGATACTGGATAATCAAATTATAATCTACAATTAGACACTAATGACCCAGGACATAGGGGTATAGAGAAGAAAAAGACGACAATTGTGTTACAAGATAGAACACGATGTGAAGCAACCTAGAAGTTGGGTGCTCCGTATCGCAAACGTGGCGTGTAGCAAGGAACAGTCCACTCCAGATCAGGAGCCACCTCTTCAAAGGTAGAGTTGCCACCAAGAGTGACCGCTGCCTGTCCTTTGCTGTCCCCAAACTCTGGCCACTGAATCTGTGATGAGTTGGTGGTGAGACCCTTGCTCGTGTTACTGGCGAAGGTAGCCAATGCATTTCTCCAGTACTCGCCGCCGGCCAGTTCGGCTGGAGTGGCGGCATACCCGGTAGCGAGTTCGGACGAATTGAAGATTACGTAGAGTTCTTGTCCATGCCATGGCTTACCAGGACAAGCGGGAGCGTAGAGGTTGGGGTAAGCGCCTATTCATATGAGCAATGTTAGATTGACTAGTAGTTTAAGAATTCTTGATTCAACTGACCTTCATAAAGATACTTCCAGGTAGGAACGCCAGCGTTGGCCCTCCAAGTGGCGCCCCACTGGAGTGGGCAAGCAAAGACAGCTTCATTGACACCCAGAACAACTTCGGGCTTATTCGGGAGTCTGCCGGACTCGGTAAAGAAACAAGCTTCATCATTATTGAATCCAAGAATAGCCGGAACCCTGCTCAGTTGACCGGCATTCACTCTATCGGTGTAATTGGCAAATACTGTTTTGTTGTCGATGGTTGGACCAAACAAGCTGGTGATACCGGCGTACAGCTGAGCAGCCGTATCAAGTTGAGAACTGACGACTTTGCTGGCCTTTAGAGAAGCGCTGAGCAAGGTCTGCGCGTCGGCATTTTGCATACAAGTCGCGGTCTCGGCGTCACTGGTGATGCTACAGTTGAGCAACTTGGCTGTCTCAGTCCACCCAGCTTGGGAAGTATTTTCAAACCGACGGCCAAAAGCATTGACCGAACCAGACATGGGTACGACACCGGCGATGATAGGATCTTGATAGAAGGCGAAATCGTAGAAGTCGACACTTGCGCCGCCAGCACGGTGGCCAAAGATGGAGATCCTGTTGGGATCACCACCGAAACCCCGGATGTTGTCCCGAACCCATTCAACGGCAAGACGCTGATCAAGGAGAGCGACATTTTGGGTAAGGCCAGGAGCGCCAGAGAAGCCAAAGATACCAAGACGGTAGTTGAATGTAACAAAGACGACATCTTGTTGTTGGGCAAAGATGGCTCCATTATAGCTCGGATCGTTGCCAGAACCACTGTGAAAGCCGCCACCGTAAAAGTACATCAAGACTGGTTTCAATTTCTTCGAGCAAGTCCCTGGCCGCTTCCGTTTGGACCAGACATTGAGATTCAGGCAGTCTTCACTCGTGTAATTGGTGTACTCTTGCTGACTACGGGCAATGTTTTGCCAGTTCTCGGGCTGAGAGGCATTGACAGTCGCGGGAGATTGAACACACGTGTATCCGTATCGATTGGCGACGAACTCGTCTTGGCTCTCGTATTTGACAGGAGGTTGGAAGCGGAGTGATCCGATGGGAGCCTTGCCAAAGGGAATTCCGAGGAACTCGTCAACGTCACTGTGCTCTGTTGAAGCATGGCCCTTTATGTACCCGGATGAAGTCTGAACTTGGAAGCCTCGGGCCAAGGTGGCACACAAAGACACCAAGATGGCACACTTTTCCGGCAGGAGCTTCATGGTGTTGGTGCTATTCGACGACATGTGTTAGCCATTTCGCTCTTGGAGTCATGTAAGAATAACATGATGTGTTGCATATCTCGATATAGACTACAGACAAGGCCGTGACCGAGTCATGTCTCGAAGGGCATACCAAGAAGGCAATCAATGACGCCGAGTACTTACCTAGAAAGGGTAATTCTTTTTCTTTGAGACAACGAAAGGGAGACAGTTGATGTACTGCTATGAATTCAAGTTGTGATCTTGTCCTACGATACTTATATCACCTCGAAGCCCCTTGGTCTCCCGACTCATTCCTGCAATGTGAAGTCACACTAATCCAAGAATGTTCATTTCTTCGAAGTTCGAGTAGGCTATCACGATCAGCATTATATGATGACTGAAAGACTGGCAAGTGGGTCATTAGTGCATGAACATGAGCCAGTCAGTGTGTTGGGATCTCTTAAAGTCATGCTAGGTTGGATTCTTCGGCCTCCAGAACTAGCTAGCTGAGGCGGCGGAGTGCCGTTGGTTATGATATGTGGCTTGGAGTATTGGAACCAGGAAAGCCTCCCAAGCGTCGAACAAATATCCTGAAAGGGATTAGATTAGCGCAGTCCTTGCTCAACCGCTGGCCATCGTTGGGGCTATAGGTGTCGGCAGTGGGGTTCTTAGCGCTTACCCGCTGGTATTTGAGCGCTATCGCGCCAAAGTTATACTGAGTACTACTGGGCTGGGCGCATGCCTGAATTGTAGCGTATGTCCTTGGGTAATGTCTCCTACAAAGCGATGCCTTCCAATTCGGTTTCTGTCCATTCCCAAAGTCTCTTTGAGAGATTGTCGTCCTTTGCCAAAGCGCTTTCGCGATCAGGTACGCCAACAGGCTCATAGTACTTGCCGCTGACCACTAATGGGCTTGTTGCTGCCCACAAGTGGTTCTTGACCCCAACTTGCACGGGTACACAAATCAATGGTGCTAATGGTGCCGACAATCGCACAAGAAGACTCTCCTTGGCAAGTGACAATCCCATTGCCCCAGCTATCCTGCCTGGATGCACTGCGGCGGTCGTCAGTTGAGGATGGCGGCGCCCGAGCTCCCTAACAAGGGCAATCAGGGCGAGCTTGCTCTGACCATAGCGATGCAAGTATGACTACAGCGCAAGCAAGCACGCAAGCATTAGCGCTATCATCTCCCAAAGGCCATAACTGCAACTGCTTGGAGAAAACCCACCATTTGCGAGCACTCTGTCTTCAACTTGTCAAACTGGATGCCGTTTTTCGGAACCATGGCGTGTCCCTCGCTAGAAACGACTACTAGCCGTGCAGCTGTTTGTTGCTCCGCTGTCCTAAGCATTGTCGCGAGCAATAATTTGGACAGCAGCGCATGTCCCAGGTAGTTGAGGCCGAAATGGACTTCATAGCCCTCGCGCGTGGTGCCCAAGGCGACACGTATGATGCCTGCATTCAATAGCAAGATGTCCAGTCGCTGTTCCATGGCATTAAACTCGGCTGCGCACGCCCTCACACTGTCAAACGAAGTAAGATCCAAATCAAGTAGCCGGAATTCAGTGTCTGTTTTGGCATCGGAGACATTCGACTCGGGTATCTCGCGCACCTCTTGATTTATTTGATCTAGAATGTCCTGCTTGGCTTCGCTGCTCCGGGGGACATCTGCAATGTAGATCCGTGCCGGGCGGCCATGTCTTGCAAGCTCGATGGCGGCCCGCCGTCCCAAATCGCCCAAACCTCCAGTGATGAGTATAACTTTGCCTGTCAGCGATGGAATGTCTCGTGCCGGCTCAAAGGAAACACCGTTCTTCTCTCGCGAGCCAAAGATGGTCACACGAGCTAGATCTTTGAATTCGACCATGATTAATGCGACAATGTAGATTTGAGTAGCGATTGGTGCATGGCAGGCAGAGCAGACAAGTCTGTGATGGTCTCTGAGGGTTTGACGGGCGGTGACAGTGACGCGTCAAGCTATTTTCGACGATAAGAGAAGGTGAGATATAGAAAGCAGGTGCATTTTTGACAGCAGATCAAGTTGTCCCTTCTGATGCTGCAATCAAGTGGCACAGTGACGCGCTATTGGTTCTTGGCTGTTGGTTCTTGGCTGTTGGTTCTTGGCTGTTGGTTCTTAGCTGTTGGTTCTTAGCTGTTGGTTCTTGGCTGTTGGTTCGCACCTGCTCGCCCTATGCCATGGCATAGCTTCCTTGACCATTGTCCTTGACTGCAGAACTATGGGTTTCGGTGCTGGCCACTTGGTATAGAACTGAAGCTTTTCTTCATTTTCACATCGTGCACATTGCCGAGTAGAGCTCAGAAACTGACGCCCCGGGCCATGACACCTCAGAGTCAGTAGAGTTGAAAGCATAAATACATGTTGCATTGAAGCAAATAGTACAAATAGCCGCTCCGGTATGTGAAAGACACTGGATGATTAGTGCAACGTGTAGAAATCTTCGAGTCAATTTCGTTTTTACCTTTCTCTCTTCTAAATATTCAAAAGAAAGCAATCGATGCAAATAAAGCATGAGTGATCTGATTTGAACTCTTTCCCGTCCAAGGGACATTTCCTCCCCCCCACTCTTTTGCTCACGAGACTAAGACAGCATGCGGGAGGTGGCCAGACTCTCAAGCCGCGCATCTCCGATTCTTCACAATCTCAAGTGTTGGTTGGAGTCGTGAATTGAATGTGCCATATAGTTAATTATATCGTCACTCGGCAACAATGAGAGGTTCAAAAGGTATGGATGGTTGTAATAACGTCCACCTTTCAATCTACGAGACAATGTTCTTATGGTGATTGGGCTTGGCCTCGATTTTAAGTTCTCGGAGCG